CGATTGCTGCGACATCATACGCTATGGCCGCTTCTTCTTGTGTAGCTAACACACACAAGATTAAAAAGGGGTGTAAATTGTCACAGTTGAAACATTGAGGACTTTAACACAATTTTATGGAAATTCCATTTCTTTTATTTGTCTATAATTGCATTTTACCCCAAACTATCATATAATTGCCTAATCACGTAAATGTACTTTTTTTACGTTGATGTAGGACAATATGGAAAGCGTATCATAAATAGTGGAATTAAATTGGCCAGTGAAATTGGATGAGCAACTTAAAATTTAATCCATACAATAAATATAATAAGAAAACAAAACTATATAATAAATTAGAGGCTTGACTAAGTGGTTGGGTTTGGTGATCTATTTCCCAACCAACACGAGATCTGATTACGTGTGTATCGATTTATCAACCCCTCTTATAGATTTATAAGTAGAAAAATTATGTTATTATGAAGACAAAAATCCACAAGATGCAACTGTTTATCACGATTAGCACCGTCAAATCTATAACTTATCACGATCAAAATGTTAAGATTAATTTAAACACCATTGAAAACGGATTAACTCCAGATGCAACTATAGATAAACTGTTTCAAGTGACTATCTCTATTTTAACATGTGTTTGTATTTTGATTTTGTCTTGAAGTTGACTGTTTTAAGTGTTGTGTTTGTAGAAACAAGAGATTGCACGAAGCATGATGAGCTATTTTTTTGCATTTAAATATGAAAAAAGTATTTAAAAGGTTACCATAAGTTCCGAGATATAAATACTTGTTGCCAAACACTCTTCCAATTCGAGCCTCCCATCTCCCATTATGATGATGCCTGCAGGTCCATTGCAACTCATCAGTTTTGTAATTAGATATATTGAGATTGTTATCTCGCTGTTCTTTAATCCTTATGAAAATATACATAGAGGATTTTGATTTTCTTACTTTGCAACGCCTCTGAATTTTGAAACGCCACGTGAAAACCCACTACTTTTCCTGTAAACAGTGTAATACAAAATTATTATTAACCAACCCTTGGTTTGTTACTTTGTTATCAGAAAAAGAATGATAATTAGTTAATTGCGAATCATTAAAAAAACAATAACGGATTTAATTATTATATACCTTCTCAAAGATCCGATGTACTCTTCTTTCGACTGGCTCTCCATTTCTTTGATGTCTTCTTCATAATTACACAACTAGAAACCACACAAGAAAAGAACATATAAATCAATGATTACTAAAACTCAAAACGAAGTTCTCAATAGATGTAAACAGGCTCTTTTTCTTTCTTTGTTTTGTTTCCCTTCTTTTTATTTTATTTTGAAAACACGCAAGCAAGAAAGATTGTGAAGCAAACAAAGATCATGTGAAATAACTCTTGTTCAGTTTAGTGTTGAGATTAAGTTGGAGTCCGAGAAAATTTACAGGGAAATTCAAGATGGTGTCTCGTCCCCAATATTTCAATGCTGCTAAGTCATAGGCACGTGCTGCTGCATCTTCCTCGTCATATGCTCCTGTGCAAATTGCAAACAAGATTAGTATATTCATAACACCTTATATTAAGTTTTATATTGAAATAACATTAGATATATTAATTTGTATTTACGAGTTAAAAGTTATAATGTTCACGTAAATGTTTAAAAGTTATCATTCGTTTGTTTTGTCACACTCTACAGATGTAACATTGTAACATATACACTTTTGTTAGAACCGCCAACATTTTCAGTCTACATTTGTTTGTCATCACATATTCACTCAATAAATAGCTGAGAAATAAAGTTTTCGTAATGAAGTGTCGACCAATTCGGGAGAGCAAAAAGATAACGCCATAAGAGAAATGGCCAAAACAAACTCACCTAAATATACTGCACGTGATGGAGTCAGCCAATATTCCGGTCAGCATCGTCAGAAAGAAAGAAAAGAACACATTAACAACACATTAAAACAAAATTATTCTCAGAAAGATAAAATTAATTTCAAAATCAAGAACAGTAACAGTAGCGACGAATATCATTCTCCGGATAAATCGGAGCAAGAATATAAAAAACACGACATATCTTTATTATTTCATAAATATGTGTGTGTGTGTTTGTGTAGACTGACCTTGTCTTCCTTTCTTGCTCTGTGTTTCGTTCCAACTGTTCTTATCCCACAAATGCGCTTCGTACCTTCCAGTCCATCTATGCCTAATACAAATTTAAATCGATTTTTTTTATTTAAAATATGAACTATGATGAAAACGAATGCAAATTTAAAACGGTGTTGTTGTGAGTGTGCTTTGTCCTCCTACAAACCTGGTGACGCCTCTATAAACGGAGCTGCGCTGTGGAGGAGCATCTCGCGGTTGTGATCGGCGTTTGCGTTTAGCTTTAAGGACTACTGATGCTGACTCATCTCCGGTCTCATTCTCCATGGAAGTCTTCTTGCTCCGCCGTGAGATCTCTTTCATTACCGGAGAAACTTCGTCGTCGGCGATGTGCATAAAGAAGAGGAGGAAGAAAACAATTAAGAGGAGAAATTTGATGGAATGGTTTTTTTCCTAAGCAGACTATAAAGGAAAATGGTTGAGTATTTTAACTTATAATTTTTTCCATTTCCGTTTATTTAAAAAAAAAATCTTTTATTGTTTTGTCAGTGCTTTAAAATATTTGTTTATATACGCCCTCTTTGTACTTCTGTATTTACTATTTAGATTTCGCATTAATTAAATTCCTAATCATACTCAAAAACCATTTGTTCCTGATTTGATTACCAATTCAAAAACAAAAATCAACCGTTTTTGTTCATGTATTAATTCAGAACAAATAAGAGATGAACACGTGGAGCATTAGATCCCCTTAGCCAAAAATCTTGGAGAAGGTAGGCAAGCAAATCCGGAGCTTCATAATTTCTCTGCTTCTTGGTTGATCTAATCTACTTTTTGGTCGGGCCATGAAAGATGCAATATGTAATGCCAAAGAACAACCTTATTATAATACTATAGTTTATCAATTTTCGGATATATATATATATATATATATATGTTAATATTTCCTTCAAATAATTTTAGCAGTTGTTTTTATCTAAAATCCCATTTACAAAAAACAATAATAATAATAGTTGTGAATTAGTCTATAACTCCAATTCTACAATGGTATTGACAAAACATACTTTAGATGGACATATATGAATTATATTCTAGAACATGCAATGCAAATATTACATGTTAATAGGTTATACATATGTCCTTTTTTGGGGGGATAAATCATAGTTCCGTTTTTGGCATAATCATAATCTATTTTAACAATCGGACGTATATGTAATGACTCATCCGTTATGGATGATAGATCCTCATTCAGCCGACAAAACAAAAAGATCTTCATTTATTAAAACTATTAAGATTTCATGATATATGAAATTAACAGTGTGGAGATGGTTTTTTGTTTTGTTTTTGGTGTATTGATATTGAAGAAGTCGTCACGAATCTTTTTTACGAGTGCGTTCCTTTTTTTTAAAATAAAGTGTTAAGACAGTTTTTTTCTTATAATTCGCAATATAAACAAGTTGTAATTTAATGTCTGTACCTGCCCCTCAATGAGATGGGAGCTAATGTTAACAATTATAGTAAAATTTGTTTACAAGAGTCCAATCTAAAACGAGCCACATGATTTTTTGCGTGTTAAGTGATGCAATTTGCTAACAACTTAAGAGATACTCACGACAAATATAAGTACAAAAACAATTTATGTGATTGTGAGTTACACCATCCTTGTTGACTTATGGAACTCCTTCTTCTTTTTTTGCTTAAAGGCTAACTAATGAATAGTCTTTAAATTTTATAGGAGCAAGACTAGTTTCGGCTATAATATATTTATCCCAAAGATATCATATGATTTAATATATTTTATATCAAATCACTTTACTAATACATGTCATCAAACAGTTTACTATATAAGTTTTTAGTCTAGTCGACCAATTACTGATACAAGTTAACCTATGTTGTTTTAGCGTTTGATATTATCTACAAAGTTTAAACCAATATAAAGTTCAGTTATCTCGTCTATAAGGGAAAACGAAAAAAAAACAAACGATGCGTGAGAGATATAAATGAGAAATGCAAGCAAAATGATCGTCACCGTTTCGGGTATGCCATCTTTTTACGGCGTTTTTATTTTTTAACATCTTTCAGTGTTCGCACTCACTTGGCAGCATTCAACAATTCATGTGAGAGCGAGACCCAACTGAGACCCTGCCAGCCAATCACCGTCCGCCACGTCATCCGACAGAGTGTGTCCATGATAGATGATGTAGCGTATAGTCAACACTGCGTACAAGTAGTACTGCTTAGTTTTTTACCTTTTTATTTATTTTTGGAATTAGGAAATATAGGTCGAAGAAGAACGGAGACTTTTGATATTACAGTCTTTATGTGAATTCTACAGTGACAAAAATATGTGCATACAAAAGAGTGGACGTGCCGGAGTGGTTATCGGGCATGACTAGAAATCATGTGGGCTCTGCCCGCGCAGGTTCGAATCCTGCCGTTCACGTTTTTATAATAAATAATATCCATTTGGAGGATATTTGGAGGATTTACCAAGCCCATTATCACTAGTTTATTATTTGAGTGGTTTTGGTATTAGATTGTTACTGAATCTTGCTGAGATAGATAGATATACTCAGACCTGGTCCTGTCTTCCTTTAAGAGTGAAAAGAATTACGAGAAACCGAAGAAAATTATTATTGGTGACGATACAGAGACTTAGAGTGAGAAGAAACTGACGAAGAAAATATACCAAAATATGTTTGAATTTATCTCTCAAGTCTGTGCTGGACTGACTTAAGAATTTTGCAATTCTACAACACTTGATTCTTTCTATGTGGAGAACAACAAAATTTGTTCAAGCTAACAAAAACCTTTGCCACACTGTTGTCTCTCAATCTACTACTACCAATCACGTAACAAAATGAAACTCTTTCTGCAGAGTGCGGAAACAGAGGCACCATCATTAATCTATTCTAGGCTACCTTCAAATTCTTGTGTTTCCTGAGAAAAGTAATCAAACTCAAGGAGACAGTTTGTCCAACAATGTAGCCTCCAATAGCTCCGTAGCTCACACTTATAGGCCACTCCTGTTTACAAGAATAAGATAAGCATTATCTATATACTAACCAACATGACAAAGAACAATAACCAATCTCTTGGATGGGTATATTAAGACTTGCGATAGAGAAATATTACCTGCCATGGCCTTTCCCAGTCGAGTGGCATAGGCCAAGCTCCAAACCATCCTCCAATCATAGCTCCATATGCTGGAATAAATATCATATACTCTATATTTCCACTTGGTCTAGAACAAACAAAAAAGAAGGGAATTGTGTAAATTTCTTATGTACCTCAATGTATAGAATAAAGGAGAAGGACAAACTCTAAGTGAGACAAATGTGTGAATTATGATATAATGTAACTTACTTCATCGAAGCGAATACACGATGCCAATCTGTCCATGACGCACCATAAACGGCAGTTGCTGGTACAAACTGCGAAAATCAAAACTATTAGACACATACACCCCCATAAGAACATTGTTTACATCTTTTCAATCATAGGAACTGCAGCAGGCACCTTACCGTGAAAACAGACATTAGAAAGGACCAGTGAATTGTTTTTGGTAGATATCTGCAAGAGATGATAGGTAATGCGCTCATGTTATCATTTGAAAAATCATGAGAGCAAAAGGGTGAATCACAAACAATATTCCAAGAACGAAATAAAGTAGGGTGAAACTTACTGCATTCCAATAGGTGCACCCAAAGCAATTGCTCCCATTACATTCAAAAAGGCTCCTGTTAGACAAAGAAAGCAAAGGCTTAGAGAAATCAGAAACAATGGATACTGAAACAGCTAATCGAGCGGATTTCGATCCTTCATGGGTTTGACGAACAAGATGAGCTAATACACATTGCTAACTCGGAAAACTGAGTGATCATTCACATAGTCAGATCAAGCTAATTGACTTGAATTTACAAGTGAAATCACTGAGCGATTGACTGTTTCCTCACAAGAATGAAGAAGTATCAACTACAATAAGCTGAAAAACAAGAAGCACTAACCAGAAATTAATCCTAATATGCTTCTCCCAACAGCTTTGGAATACTGAAAAAGCAATTAGGAAACATTAAGAGAGAGAGAGAGAGAGTTAAGCACAAGTAACCCAACGCATTATGCCTTTTCTTCTCTATGTAAAACCAACAAAATTTCTTCAGCTTCTGTAAATGCAAAGTGAATGAATCAATCAAAGGTAAACCATCTTTAGTAACTGAAATCAGCTCAATCTCACAGATAAATCACAAGGACTTAGAAACGAACTACACTCACCGAACATTTCTCTGGATTTTTTCGGAACGAGCTGTAGATGATCACCACAAGCGGAAACTCAATACTCTGAAAACATTTTTAGATTTAGAAATACTCTGAACATCAAAACAAAGCTAAGTCAACTAAGAAATCCACTTCGAAACGATTTAAGAACTAGGAATACCCATAGGAGACGCAGAGTGAAAGATGGATCAGAGATGAGATCGACGGAATATTTGTTTCGAGCCACCCAGAATCCAACAGCCAGAAACAATCCAGTAATCAAATGAACAAAAAACGCCCCAAGAGCTGATATCGAAACATCGCCAGATACACCAACGGAGGTTCCTGGCTTCTTCTTCTTCTTAGTCTCTTCCATGGATTTCACTTCTCGTCGTCTTCGGAATCAGAACGAGCGAAGAAGACGTAGAATTGAAAATCCTCCATTACTGTTAGCTCACATTGGGCCTAAATTTAAAAGACTAATGGGTTTTTATGGGCCAATTATTTGTTAAGCGGTGGCCGGAGATAAATACTAGAAACCTTTGCCGGCGAATCCAGAAGTCTCTGGTACTTGCCACATAGCCGTGGGTTGTTCCACGAGTCGTCGTCTCTCGAAATGTCTCGTCTCTCTCCTATTCTTCGTATATATAGCTGCTTCCATCGATTCGTATTGCTCATCAAGCAGATAAACAAAGAGAAATTCAAAAACTTACATCTTCAATCAGCGAAATCTACAATCGAATTTCATTTTACTGAAGCTTTTTCCCAGCAACAACAATGGCGACGAAATCAGAGAAAGCTATTGGTATTGATCTCGGCACTACATACAGCTGCGTCGGAGTGTGGATGAACGACCGTGTGGAGATCATCCCCAACGACCAACCGTACGACGCCGTCTTACGTCGCCTTCACCGACACCGAGCGGCTAATCGGCGACGCAGCGAAGAATCAGGTGGCGTTGAATCCTCAGAACACTGTCTTCGATGCGAAGCGACTCATCGGCCGGAAATTCTCCGATCCTTCTGTTCAGAGCGATATGCGACACTGGCCGTTCAAGGTGGTTTCCGGTCCCGGAGACAAACCGATGATCGTCGTCTCGTATAAGAACGAAGAGAAGAAGTTCTCTCCGGAGGAGATATCCTCCATGGTGCTAATCAAGATGAAGGAAGTCGCCGAGTCCTTCCTCGGCCAAACCATCCAAAACGCCGTCGTTACGGTCCCGGCGTACTTCAACGACTCCCAGAGACAGGCCACGAAGGACGCCGGATCGATTTCCGGGCTAAACGTTTTACGGATCATCAACGAGCCGACTGCTGCAGCCATCGCCTACGGTCTAGACAAGAAGGGCACGAAGGCCGGTGAGAGGAACGTCTTGATTTTCGATCTCGGCGGCGGGACGTTCGATGTTTCGCTGCTGACGATTGAAGAAGGTGTCTTTGAAGTGAAAGCAACCGCCGGAGATACTCACCTCGGTGGTGAAGACTTTGACAACAGGCTCGTGAACCATTTCGTTGCGGAGTTCCGGAGGAAACACAAGAAGGACATTAGCGGGAACGCGAGAGCGCTCAGGAGGCTGAGAACAGCTTGCGAGAGAGCGAAGAGGACGCTTTCTTCCACAGCTCAGACGACTATTGAGATCGATTCTCTCCACGAAGGTGTCGACTTCTACGCGACGATCTCGCGTGCGAGGTTTGAGGAGATGAACATGGATCTGTTCAGGAAGTGTATGGATCCTGTGGAGAAGGTTCTTAGAGACTCCAAGATCGATAAGAGCAGTGTGCACGAGGTGGTTCTTGTTGGAGGTTCGACGAGGATTCCGAAAATCCAGCAGCTTTTGCAGGATTTCTTCAACGGGAAGGAGCTCTGTAAAAGCATCAACCCTGACGAAGCTGTTGCGTATGGAGCTGCGGTGCAAGCCGCGATTCTCACTGGTGAAGGAAGCGATAAGGTGCAAGATCTTCTGCTTCTTGATGTGGCGCCTCTAAGCCTTGGGATTGAGACGGCCGGTGGGGTCATGACTGTGTTGATCCCGAGGAACACGACGGTGCCTTGCAAGAAGGAGCAGGTCTTCTCTACTTATGCTGACAATCAGCCAGGAGTTTTGATCCAAGTCTATGAAGGAGAACGTGCGAGGACCAAGGACAACAATCTTCTCGGGACGTTCGAGCTCAAGGGCATTCCTCCTGCGCCACGTGGAGTTCCTCAAGTCAACGTTTGCTTTGACATTGACGCGAACGGGATCTTGAACGTGTCGGCGGAGGATAAGACCGCTGGTGTGAAGAATCAGATCACGATCACCAACGATAAAGGGAGGTTGAGTAAAGAGGAGATAGAGAAGATGGTTCAAGATGCTGAGAAGTATAAGGCTGAGGATGAGCAGGTGAAGAAGAAAGTGGAGGCCAAGAACTCGCTGGAGAATTATGCTTACAACATGAGGAACACGATCAAGGATGAGAAACTCGCGGGGAAGTTGGATCAAGATGATAAGCAGAAGATTGAGAAGGCCATTGATGAGACAATCGAATGGATTGAAGGGAACCAGCTGGCTGAAGTTGATGAGTTTGAGTATAGGTTGAAAGAGTTGGAAGGCATTTGCAACCCAATCATCTCAAAGATGTATCAGGGTGGTGCTAGTGCCGGAGCTCCTAATGGAGGTATGCCTACTGATGGTGGCTCAGGTAGCTCCGGTGGTGCTGGTGGTCCAAAGATAGAAGAGGTTGATTAGACTGTGTGTGAAGTGTAATGACAAATCCTAGTTCGTATTGTGTGAGTGTGAGAGTGTTGATAGGTGTGAGACCAATGAAAGTAATTAAGTTGTATGCTTTACTCTTTTCAGTTTGTTTAAAGTAATAAAGAAAGTGATCTCTTTTTGTTATCTCAAGGTTTTAAGTTACATTGACAAATCTTCACAAAGTTATGTCTTTAGTCTTGGTTCCATAAACGCAACATCTCTAAGAACATATTCGTAGTTAGATAAACTTGAAGAACAATATATATGTTGATATCGGTGAATCTTTCTTTTGCTTGTTGGATCTGTTTTGTCCTGAAAAAGCAACTACAGAGAATTTTCGACCTTTGAAGTGTCACAAAGAAAAGCATCTACAATCCTTCACTAGTCATTTAAGAAAATGTTCTGTTTAGGCCCCCCACCTACACACATATATTTACCTTCAAAACAGTCATCTGCAATCCACCAAAGCTCAGATCAACAATGGAGGGAAGATTCCTCGCATTGTCCATCCTCTTCCTCTTCTTCCTCTGCTTCCCCATCTCGTCAGATTCCCAGAAGCTCGATCGATCAGCAAGCTTAGTCAACCAAGAACACGTCCATGGTGCTCTGTTTTAAGTATATTTTGATTCTTTTATGTTTATGAGCAGAGAAGTTAAGCATCATTGTCTCGTGTTTGTTCTTCTTGTAGCAGAGGTTACAATCAAAGAGATAAAAGGAGAAAAGGAAGATAAGAGCATCTACATCTTCCGGGCAGGTAAAGGAAGTCATGGAGTTACAGGTGGAAGAGGCGGAGGCCGGAAAGCACCTCCAAAACGTAATGCTGCCATGGACCATCTGCCACCATTGTTCTTCTCCGCCGCCTCTGTTCTCTTTACCGGTTTTATAATGCTTTCATTAACTTCTCTCTGACTTGTCAATAAAATTGTTATGTTGTGCCTAAATGTAACTCTTAACCAGAGAGTTTAACATGTGTTATTGAATATTGTAAAGTTTTTGTTGTATCCTTCTAAATCCTATATGCAAGACGTATACCACCACAGAACTCGAACATGGGTTATGACTTATGAACAGTGCCTAAACTTTCTCGAGCTGACTTTTAACCGGCCGATTATTGCAAAATAGTAAACTCAAGCTATCTCCACAAAATTAAGGCCCACCAGAAAGATGTTTTCTTCTCTACAAAAAACGATTTATTATGCACTGACTTCAATCACTGTTACAACTTACAAATCTACATGCCAACAAGAACAATCATCGTTTTCTCTTCTGCAATTCCTCACAACAAAATTAATGGCTAAGAGAGAAGAGTTCATTACTAGTTCTGAGATACATCTTCCCAAAAACCAGAAGAAACGAATCTCAGTCCATCAAGAACACTCCGCTGCAATACCTGATAAAATCCCAGCACTCGTTGTTTCAGAAAAGTCAAATATTTGTTTTCAAGGCAGAGTGTTTTGTTTGTAAGTAGCAATCTTTTACCTGTTGCTGAATTCTCCAACAGCGTCTGTGGCATCAAGAAGAGTGTCGCTGGCTTTCTCCAAAGCCATGTAAAGCTCCTTACCTCTGGTCACACGAGCGATGACCCACGCATTGTTCTTAGCTCTGATGCATATTTCCATGTTTTTCTCTTGCCTTTTCGCACGGCTTTTTTCTATATCCACTTCTTCTCTGAGCTTGTTTAGTGAAAGTAGAGACTCCTGCATTTTTCAAAAAATTTAAACACTTTGAGTCCAAGGCTGTAGTAATATCAGATACTAAACCATAACGTGAAAGACATTTACCTTTGCAAGAGTTGCTACTTTTCCTGAGGGAGAAGCTCTGGAAACTTCCACGTCATTATCAACTACCAAGTAACGGTAGCCCTTAACATGGTAGGCATTCTCACCGCCCCACCCTCTAGAAATCTTCTCTTCAATTTTCAAAATTCTCAGTGATGCCTGGAAAAGAGATATTGGGTATAATATTAGACGACATCACGCCAGAAAAGAGATTCACAGAGAGTTAAAACAAGACATGTGCTAACATCTTCAACAACTTTCTGTTTCACTGCTGAGACGCTCAAATCTCCATTGACAATGGCAGTCGTAGGCATGAGAAGAAGCAAGGTGAGACTTTTATACTGATAAGCAAGGAGATACACTCTCTCTTGTGTCTGCTGAAGCCAGATTGTAGGGATGGCAGAATCAGGTGAACCACCAGTCTCTAGACTCCAAATATCGGTTATAAGAAAACCATCTTTCCCCTTTGTCCACTTCTCATTTTGCAGTGGCCTAATAACATGCATCATGTTATCACCATTTCCTGAATCTCCAGAATCAACTGAACCAAGTTGCGCCGGAGTAGCTCTAGCAGAGATTTCAGGTGAAACTGGCCCTTTCCGTCGATATGACCAGGTACTCGCGCCAGAGGATAACGCATTTGAGGTCAACCTCATTACAGCAAATGTAAATAAGTTGACGGTATCATCAGCAGAAAGAGTTGTTGAGACCAATAAATCTTGATATAAGATCATAGAATGGCATCGTAAGCTCCCAGTACATGAATCCAGTACTTGAACAAGAGACTGTTCATCCAAAAAATGCTCGTCAACTACCGAAACACTAAGTGAGCAATAGTAGTCAAATAGACTTGGAGAAACAAACCTGAACTTCAAGTGCTGTCTCTCTTGCTAAAGTAAGCATTTGAACAGTTCCACGCTCTCTCAAAGTCTCTCGGAAAGTTGGTAGCTGAAGTTTCTTCCTAACAAAAAAATCTGCCCGAAACAGAAAACTTTTGCATAAGCCATTACAAACAAACCAAGATGAACATAATGAGGTTTTGCACAAATCCAAAGCAAGGCATTCGACACAGCAATTTACCACAACAGCAGTCTTCAGAGCGAGACCGCTTCTGAAATGCTGACAATCAGTGATATAAAATGTATTGAAGCTGTGAAACAATATAAAAATGCTAGATTTGGTGAGAATGGCTTACTTACTGCTCAAATAATCTGTGATGAATGGATAAAGCTGTGATCGTGTAAGCCCTCCTGTTGGTTCTTTTTCGATTAATGCTCTCATTGACCCATGAAACATCACAAAGAGTGAGTGCACTTCCTTTAGCACCCTCCTCAATGCATCAATCCTCCATACCGCTCCTGTCTCCTTATTTTTCTCCACAACCTGCCAATGTTCATCGACATTACTTCATAAATTGCACCATTCAACGAAAGAATATGTGCTATAACAAGTAAAAGTCAGAAGATGCCTAACCATCACCATCCAGATATCAGATTCAGCTTCGTAGAAAACATGGGAATGTCTTTCTGCTTCTATCACCTCACAAGCTGCCTCCGGAGAGAAAAGTCTGCATTTTATATTCACTCAAAGATTAACACACAACTGACGCAAGATTGATAAAAGAGCTTGATCTATCTCCCCTGACTGATTTCATCGAGAGAAAAAAGGAAGAATGTGTAGGAGCTGACCTAGTAAAAGTAATAAGACCTTCACTGAGGCCGATCACTGATAACTGCGTCGAGAAGTCTAAGTCAGCAGGATGGAAGAAGAGAATCTTGTCAAGCTCCTGTCCTTCGGTTTGGCCTCTCCTCAAATCAAACACGCAAAGTCGGAGGCTTTCATCACCAGAGCTCATGGACGCCATTTCCTGAAGCGTCTACGAGCTCAGTAAACACCTAACATACAATTCAAGGTCGCATCACAAAATCGGTTGGTTTGTGATCATATGCACTCGACTTCAAATTCCGAAGAAATTTAGGGGTTTCAAAGGCACATTGGTGATTCATATCCGAAAGAACATTCCTACCACCAAGACTAATGAACTCATAAATCTAGAAGAGGGAATTTTACTAATTAAGGATCAGAAACGGAAATGTAATAAGCTGAAAACAAGGGGGAAATTGGGAATATACTAACTTGAGGATGTATCCAAAGAGGAGAGTCAAATGAGTGAACAATCGTCAGGTATTGAGATTAGTTCAACGATCGGAGCAAGATTCCGATAAGCCCAGAGTTGGGTTTATCTTAAGAACATAAATGAGATAGCGAGATGGAAGAAATTGGATGAAGAAAAGTGAGGAAGAAGATTAAAGACGCTACTCTCTACTCTCTACAATGGACTTTAATTCCATAGGCCCAACTAGGCCCAATCGTATCAATGCGACTGACGATAATTCGCGGTAAGAATCAGATTCGGTTATAAAAGAAGCGGATCAACGTCTGAATTAAGTCGCCGAGCCCGAAATCACATTTTCAAACTTCCATTATCTCAGATGATACATATCAAATGGAAAAGATCAAGCAGCAATAAATTAATGATCATTTTGCAGCATCTTTCAAAAAATTTAAACAAAAATTCCTAGACAAAAGGTTCCGGTAGTTTTAGCTGAAAAATCTTAGAAAAAATAAGAGAAATTTACATAGGGATAATGGTCTCTCTTTGTCAAATTATGCAGGAGCTTATTTTCATCTTATCTGGTTAATCACACTTAGTTTAAATAATGTACGGAGATTTATAGCTGCAAAAGCTATTGTCAAAATGACATTTTAAACCCTACTTTTTAAGGCTAAGCGCAGAAAACGAGAGTGCAACAGAAGGGCATACCTGTCATTTCAAAGAGAGTCTTAAGGCTTTTCTCTCCTCGCCGGGACACTCGAAAGCAAGGTTTTTTCACTCTCCGCATCTTCAGCTATTTTCCGGCGACGTTGTTTACTCTGCTCTCCCTCGCCACCGCCGTTTCACTCCATCGTTATAATCTAGGTACCCATTTGCTCGATATCACGCTTTGATTCTGCTTTTTAACCCTTGAGATTCCCAAAGATTACGCCTTTGTTCAAAGTCCTGTGTTTATGAGAATGTCTCGTTTCTGGTGAAAACTTTGATCGCGTCATTGTTCGCGACATGCGTTTGCGTAGCACATGATTTTAGCAGCTCCTTCATCATTTCTCTGTCTTTGTTTGTGGGTTTGCTTGTGATTCTTACAGACATGCCAGCGATGGGTATTGACGAAATGGACATTGAGGAGCTTGAAGCTGCTGCGGAGATCGATCTCTCTGAGATAGGAGAGCCTTTTCTCCAGAATTTCTGCAAAAAGGCTGCGACTTCCTTCTTCGATCAGTATGGGCTTGTAAGCCATCAGATCAACTCCTACAATTTCTTCATCCAGCACGGGCTTCAGAGACTGTTTCAATCCTTGGGCGAGATGCTGGTGGAGCCGTCTTTTGATCCGACAAAGAACAAGGATCACGAGTGGAGATACGCGAGCGTCAAGTTCGGAGAAGTCACCATAGAGAAGCCCTCGTTCTTCTCAGACGAGAAGGAGCTTGAGGTTCTCCCATGGCATGCAAGGCTTCAAAACATGACTTACTCAGCTCGGATGACTGTTAACGTCGAAGTTGAGGTAAGGAAACTAACAAAATTTTGATAAAGCTTCTGTTTTGCTAATTTTTTTTTTGTCTAACTGCTTCTTCAATTCACAAATTGGCTAGGTGTTCATACAAAAAGTGGTGAAGAGAGACAAGTTCAAGACAGGAAAAGACGAATTTGTGGAGAAGGAGATACTACACAAGAAGAATCAGAGCATTCCGATTGGTAGGCTACCTGTGATGGTGAAATCAGTACTTTGCAATACAGAGGAGAAAGGCAAGAAAGGGGAAAACCAGAAGAAGGGTGATTGTGCATTCGATCAAGGTGGCTACTTTGTGATTAAGGGAGCTGAGAAGGTGAGTTACTCTAGTTTTGGGATTTGAAAATGCTTACATACAAGCATAAGTTGCTTATGCAAATTCCTGACGTGAATATGTTGTGTGTTTGCAGGTCTTTATTGCTCAAGAACAGATATGCACAAAGAGACTATGGATCTCTACTTCACCATGGACAGTCTCCTACAGGTCCGAGAACAAAAGAAACAGATTCATTGTGCGTCTCTCAGAGGAGCAGAAATCAGAAGAATACAAGATAAGGGAGAAAGTACTGACAGTGTACTTCTTGTCGACTGAGATCCCAGTCTGGATCCTGTTCTTTGCGTTGGGAGTTTCGTCAGACAAAGAGGCGATCGATCTGATTGCATTTGATGGTGATGATGCAAGCGTTACCAACAGCCTCATAGCTTCAATCCACGAAGCTGATGCACTTTGTGAAGCTTTTCGCTATAGGAGCAATGCCGTAGCGTTTGTTGAGCAGCAAATAAAGAGCACTAAGTTCCCATCTAGCGAGAGTGTGGAGGACTGCCTAAATCTGTACTTGTTTCCCGGCCTCAAAGGATTGAAGCAGAAAGCAAGATTCCTGGGCTACATGGTGAAGTGCCTTTTCAAGGCATTTGCTGGGAAAAGAAAACCTGAGAATAGAGACAGCTTCAGGAATAAGAGGATTGAGCTCGCTGGAGAGCTGTTGGAGAGGGAGATGAGGGTGCATCTGGCACATGCTAGAAGAGCAATGACCAAGGCCATGCAGAGACACCTCACGGGAGATGGCGATTTGAAGCCTATCGAGCACTATATGGATGCATCCATCATCACAAATGGGCTTAGTAGAGCCTTCTCCACTGGAGCATGGTGTCATCCTTTCAGGAAGATGGAAAGGGTTTCAGGTGTTGTAGCTAATCTCGGTCGAGCAAATCCATTGCAGACTCTGATTGATCTGAGGAGAACGCGACAGCAAGTTCTGTATACCGGAAAGGTTGGAGATGCTAGATATCCGTAAGTGACATTTCTACGTCCCTTGGTTTATTTTAATTGTATGGCGTAATAAAACTATGCTGTAAGATCTGCATTTGCTCAAGTTTTTATGTCTGCAAACTGTTTTATTGAATATCCGTACTAACTTATTTCATTTAGATTATGATGGTAATCACCTGCAAGACCCATTTGTGATTAATCTAGATTTATCCTGATTTTGTATAGAGGACACTCTATTGCTCTGAATGCTGTTTACAAGAAAATATATGCTCGTAATTCTTGTGAGGGTCTGAGATTGTAGATTTTGTAAACCATGTCTCTCATGGATTAGATTTTTTACTGTTTTTCTAAACCATTTGATGGATCCTGAAGCATTTTTTCTCATAACAGACACAGACCCATGCTTATGTCTGTTCAAAGCTATGAGTTTCTTTTTCCTTTAGTCACTTTTATCTTGTTGAATCGTGTTGACACTGCACTGTATTGTTTGTAATGTTGGCCACAGGCATCCCTCTCACTGGGGCCGAGTATGCTTTTTGTCAACTCCAGATGGTGAAAACTGTGGCCTTGTGAAGAACATGTCTCTCCTTGGGCTGGTTAGTACTGAAATTTTGGAGCCTGTGGTGGAAAAATTATTTGCTTGTGGAATGGAAGAGCTGGTGGACGATACCATCACACCACTGTGTGGGAAACATAAAGTTCTTGTCAATGGAGACTGGGTTGGAGTAGTTTCAGATCCTGAATTCTTTGTTGAGGAGGTAAAAGGCAGGCGGCGTCAAAGTGAATTACCTCGTCAGGTATGTTCTGTTAATGCCTGTGTTATTTCGATAATCTTGCGCTGCTTGGTGTTTGCCTTGGATTTTTTCTGCTTCACAAATGTGGCTACGTCGTATATCATTATAACACGTATCAAATTGGTCTTGGCAGATGGAAATCAAGCGAGATAAAGGTGAAAATGAGGTGAGGATATTCACTGACGCTGGTAGACTTCTCCGACCTCTCTTGGTTGTGGAGAATCTCCACAAGTTGAGGCAAGAAAAACCTGCACAGTATTCCTTCGAAAGTCTTCTTAACCAAGGGATTCTCGAGATGATTGGGGTTGAGGAAGAAGAAGACTGTACCACAGCATGGGGAATCAAACAGCTTCTGAAGGAACCTAAGAATTACACTCACTGTGAACTGGACATGTCCTTCCTGTTGGGTGTGAGCTGTGCAATTGTCCCATTTGCAAACCATGATCATGGGAGGAGAGTTCTTTACCAGTCACAGAAGCATTGCCAACAAGCAATTGGGTTCTCATCAACAAATCCTAACACCCGCTGTGATACGCTATCCCAGCAGCTGTTCTATCCCCAGAAGCCACTTTTCAAGACGTTGGCGTCTGAATGTTTACAGAAAGAAGTGATCTTTAATGGCCAGAGCGCCATAGTGGCCGTGAATGTTCATCTTGGGTACAACCAAGAGGATTCAATCGTAATGAACAAGGCTTCACTGGAACGCGGTATGTTCCGCTCGGAGCAGATCAGGAGCTACAAAGCAGATGTTGACAGCAGGGACTCGGAGAAGAGGAAGAAGATGGATGAGTTGGTCCAGTTTGGAAAGACTCACAGCAAAATTGGAAGAGTAGACAGCCTTGATGACGAGGGGTTACCTTTTATTGGTGCTAATATGCACAGTGGCGATATTGTCATCGGCAGATGTACGGATTCCGGGGCTGATCACAGTGTGAAACTCAAGCACACTGAGAGAGGGATTGTGCAAAAAGTGGTACTGACATCTAATGACGATGGGAAGAACTTTGCTACAGTTTCTCTAAGACAGGTAAGTTCCAGATCATACTGAAGTGAGAACTGTCTTTCAGATACCTCAGCTCTTTGAGTGAATGTAATTTTCCATTGATCTGTCTTTTACATCTCGTAGGTTCGTTCTCCGTGTCTTGGAGATAAATTTTCCAGTATGCATGGGCAGAAGGGTGTTTTAGGCTATATAGAAGAACAGGAGAATTTTCCTTTCACGATTCAAGGCATAGTTCCTGATATTGTGATAAACCCGCACGCTTTCCCTTCTAGACAAACACCTGGTCAACTCTTGGAGGCAGCTCTCTCCAAAGGAATAGCTTGTCCTATCCAGAAGAAGAAGGGCAGCTCTGATGCATACAGAAAATTGTCACGTCATGCCACTCCTTTCTCCACTCCCAGTGTCGGCGAAATAACTGACCAGCTTCACAGGTACTTTCTTCACACTGTCACTTGGCTTTTAGCAATGTATACAAAATATTGAAACAGTACACTGAGTAGAGGTCAATAGGCATGCTATATAACTGATCGACATTTGCTACCTAGGGAGTAAACAGGCATATCAAATACAAGCAAAGTGAGCCATATGCTGCACAAGGCGCTATTCTAATATGTGCACCTATAAGATCTAAACATCTCATTGTGAATATTGGTTTTGTTTACCTAGGAGACCTAAAAGATAGCATAGCTTTTTATGATGTGCACTATATCTGTAAGACTAGAATCCTAAGAAGTTTGATGTTCTTTAGTTGAGTTATTTCTTTTTGTTTCTGAACACTTGAAGAGAGTAGGCAAAAATGGGCTGAATAGATAAGAGCGTTGAGGCTGTGAGTAATTTGGCTTGTGATGATTATTTGTCAGGGCTGGCTTTTCAAGATGGGGAAACGAAAGGGTCTACAACGGAAGATCAGGAGAGATGATGCGTTCACTCATCTTCATGGGCCCAACTTTCTACCAGAGACTTGTCCACATGTCAGAGGACAAGGTCAAATTCAGAAACACCGGACCAGTCCACCCGCTCACACGCCAGCCAGTTGCAGACAGAAAGCGGTTCGGCGGGATCAAGTTCGGAGAGATGGAGCGAGACTGCCTTATAGCACACGGTGCTTCTGCTAATCTCCACGAGCGTCTCTTCACGCTGAGTGACTCTTCGCTTATGCACGTCTGCAGAAAATGTCAGAACATGGCGAATGTGATCGAGAGGACTGCTACCAGCGGGAGAAAGATCAGAGGGCCTTACTGTAGAGTATGCTCATCTCCGGACCATGTGGTTAAGGTTTATGTGCCCTATGGTGCTAAGCTGCTGTGCCAGGAGCTATTTAGTATGGGCATCACTCTCAACTTCGACACCAGACTCTGCTGATTTGACTTCCCTCATGTTTACTTTCACGCTATGTTTATCTGTGCTCTGTAGTTTGATATCGGCTCTTGTTTATGTTCGGTGTTCCTCCTTTTGACTCTTAACCGAATCATAATCGGTCTCGACTCTAACCGGCTTGTATAGTCCGGGTTTTTTGTAATTGGTATTTTAATCGCTGATCCGAGCCGTTTATTTCTGATGCCGCCATGTTAAATTCTCCATGGCTTACGTATGAAACCATTAATTAATGATGTTAAGCAATAATGATTTCAGTGGATTAATATTATAAGCCGTGAAATTGAATGTAAACCAAAGTAAATTAGCAACCCGGTTAGCCGGAAGAAGCAATACTTGGCGGCGACTTAGCGCTACTTAAAGTCGTGTGAACGTGTCCGTCGCACGTTTGTTTCTTCTTCAGCCGTATTTTTATATCCGACGAGCGATTCCGTGTGTACTTTTGGAAATCCCGAGAAGCCTCGATCGATCTCTACGATTCTTCTAGGTTTAGGGGTTTCCATTCGTTGGACTCAGTTTAGCTCCCGAGTGATGAAACCAATCTCCCTACCAGAGGTAAATTCATCTGTGGACTGGATTCAGATTCATCTGCTGGTGTTTTCGTTGTTTTCTATCGCTTAGATTCTGGGTTGTTTACTTTCCAATCTTCTCAGCTGTTTGATCCGGTGGCTGGTGTTTGTATCCCCGATACGTCTCTGTGGCTCGTATGGTTCTGAGTTTCGAAATTCCCACTTATCGGAGTCTGAGACTAGTTCATCATTTTCCTGGTTCCATCTGGCTTGGATAGAGTAACAACGACGACATCAACCTTGGTGTTTCTTCATTATTCGAGGTTTTGAATCGTTTCCTATCGATTTCATCATTTACAGAGGAACTTCTTCTTCTTTTGATGATGCTTGCAGTGATTCTTAGTATCTGAATATAAGCATCAGTGCATTCTTTATAATCATCTGTGTAATTATTTGGCTTCTCAGTATCTGAATATTTGCAACAATGGCTGATCTAAAAGAGCGCCTGCTTCCTCCGAGACCTGCGTCAGCTATGAATCTCAGAGATACAGCTGTTACTCGGCCTTCTGCTTCTGGAAGAGCACCTCTTCTTGGAGTTGATGTTGTGGGTCTGAAGAAGCGTGGACAAGGGCTAAGGTCATGGATTCGTGTTGATACCTCTGGGAATACTCAGGTCATGGAGGTCGACAAGTTCACCATGATGCGTAGATGTGACTTACCAGCTCGTGATTTAAGGCTGCTTGATCCCTTATTCGTGTATCCCTCAACAATCCTCGGCCGAGAAAAGGCTATTGTCGTCAACTTAGAGCAGATCCGTTGTATTATCACTGCTGATGAAGTTCTGCTCCTGAACTCACTTGACAACTACGTGCTGCGGTATGTCGTTGAGCTGCAGCAGAGACTGAAGACGAGTGGTGTAGGTGAGATCTGGCAGCAGGAAAGTGCTCAGCCGAGTAGGAGAATGAGTAGGAGTTTTGACAATGTTTTTGAGACTTCATCTCCTGATTATTTACCTTTCGAGTTTAGAGCTCTTGAAGTTGCTCTCGAAGCTGCTTGTACGTTTCTCGATTCTCAGGTTAGTAATAGACTGATAACTTCACTTCAATCTTTTGCTTAGATTTGACTTCTATACACTTAAGTTGATTGAGTTATTGTCCTTCTCTATAGGCTTCAGAGCTGGAGATTGAGGCATACCCGTTACTAGATGAGCTTACCTCAAAGATCAGTACACTCAACTTGGAACGTGTGCGTAGACTAAAGAGCAGGCTTGTGGCGCTGACGAGAAGAGTTCAGAAAGTTCGTGATGAGATCGAGCAGCTAATGGATGACGATGGAGATATGGCGGAAATGTATCTCACAGAGAAGAAGAAGAGAATGGAAGGGTCTTTGTACGGTGACCAGTCCGTACTTGGTTACAGGTCAAATGATGGTATGTCTGTTTCTGCACCGGTCTCTCCTGTTTCTTCCCCGCCTGATTCCCGAAGACTCGATAAAAGCTCGAGTATTGCGAGGAGCCGGCATGACAGTGCAAGGAGCTCAGAAGGCGTAACGGAGAACATAGAAGAGCTTGAGATGTTGCTGGAAGCTTACTTTGTCGTCATTGATAGCTCTTTAAACAAACTGACATCGGTACTTAATGCCTTCTCTCTATTTACTTTCTGATATCTCATTGCTGAGGAGAGCTTTTAATCACCTGCGTTCCTCTCTTTACGTTGCAGTTAAAGGAGTACATTGATGACACTGAGGATTTCATTAACATTCAACTGGTAATAACTCACACATTCAAGAGACGAATGTTAACATGAGACGCTCTGCTTAAGAAGTTTTGGGGATTTTGCAGGATAATGTGCGGAATCAGCTGATCCAGTTCGAGTTGCTTCTCACGACTGCGACATTCGTTGTAGCCATATTCGGGGTTGTTGCTGGGATTTTTGGGATGAACTTTGAGATAGACTTCTTCAACGTGCCAGGTGCATTCAGATGGGTGCTTATAATTACTGGAGTCTGTGGCTTTGTTATATTTTTGGCATTCGTCTTGTTCTTCAAGTATAGAAGACTCATGCCTCTATGAGAGAGAGGACATGAATGTGCCACCAGAAAGTAGTCACCAAGTTTTATTATTATGTTTGTTTACATAATGATGATGATTTGTTTCTTTTACACAATGAAAACATTGTCAATGAAAATGTGATAAAATATTTTATCATTTTGATTTTTATTAGAAACTGGTAACCAAACATAGACACATAGTGCATCAAATAAAAATTCATGAAAATGACTGTATCTGAACCACAAAGCCTCAGACTTCACTGAGCTTTTACTTCCGTGCGTATGAAAAATCACAGTGTAATAATAATCATTCACAGAGCCTGTAAAAGACTCGAATTCTTCAGAGACACTACTTGTTAGATGGTGGAGACGATGAGAGGCGTGCTTTTCGCGCTTTGTCGGCCTTGTCCATGTAATCTTGGTGCGATTGATGCTTTGACCCTAAAAGACACCAAGAAGTTCAAGTAATTAGCTAAAACAGAGTAATACTTGTAGGGATGTAACCAAAGAGATCATCTGGTGCTAATGGAACGTAGGAACTCAAAAATGACCTTAAAATGAAACAATGTGATCCATTTCCAAATTTCCATAGATACTCAGAATACCAATTGTTCAGTCAATCAAATGTAATCTAATTTAGCAATTAAAAATTCAAAATCAGCAAAGCCTATATACTCTCAATGAAAAAAAAAAAAGAAGGAATCAGTAGTACGATTATTAAACGATGAGAAATCGAACCTTGAGTCATCAAATACCAAGGAATTCCGAAGATGACAGCGAAGATCCCGATCCCAGCCATGACGTGCTTCTTCTCACCACTGTAGACGTAATGCTCCATTTTGGCTCTGAATCCTCCAGCTCCGGCCATACTCGCACCACCACCATTGGCCTTGGTCTCATTTCCCATCTCGATTTCGATTGACTTTCCTTTCTTCGATCGAATTATTTCCTAGGGTTTATCCTTTACTGTTGGTAGGTTTTAGGAACATACATAAATGGGCCTTAAGTTAAGCCCCATTAACTTTATTTTTTTTGTAGGTTATATAACATTTTTGACCTCATATTTTGTTAGATATTACTGTAAAGCGTTATAACTTTCTTGGATTACAGTCTTACCCCAAAAATACGCTCGTTATGAAGAAGACCCAATAAAGAGCGCGAGTTAGAAGAAGTTACAATTGCAGTGAAGCTAGGATGTAACTTGTAAACCAAACAAACACTTACCAATAACTGATTTTATACACATAAAAATGCTCTATATATATATAACATGTCACAGAAACTGTAAGATTATTTACACGAGAGCCAATGATGCTTCAAAGATCTCCATTGCATTTTTAACAGTTTTTACGTCAATATCTGCAAGTTTTCCGGTCTTGGAAGCAACAATCACGCAGTTATTCTTCTCTTCTGCGTCTGGTAGAAAAAGCTTCGCTTTCTCTTCTGAAGAGAACAACCCAACACTAGAAGAAACAGAAACATACATACACATGTCAAGTTCTTGAAAAACTTGATTGATTACTCTTTATCTTAATCAGATATCTTCACCTTGGTTTGTCTCGCGCATTAGCTAGTTGGATCGCAGCTGTGTTTGTCGCTATAACTCCAGCAGAATCGTTTATCAGAGCAGCCAACTATAAGTAAGCTCAAGAAAAGGAATCAAGTAAGATCAGAGTTTTCAACTTTGTTCTGTATAAATAGTTAAATACATATACCTGTCCTGGTGTTGTGATGAACACTATAGATGTATCATCCCCCACAATGTCTTCCACGTTTTCTCTTTCTTTCTCATGCGGAATCACATAAACCGGCTTGAATCCCCTGCCATCTATCTTTATCAAAAAACTAATCTCAGCAACAAAAAAAAGTTTGCATTGTCTAATTACCTGATACCCTTTGATATGCGAGCCCATGCTGTAAGTGGAAGCAAACTATCACTATCTCCTTTTGATTGCATTGATGCCTTTGAATCTGATTCAATCCCATGAATGACTATAAACTTCCCTGTCTCTGCTCCAGCCTTCCTATACTTGTCAGCCACAACTTCTTTCAGTTTCCGTGAAATCGATACCCTAAGTGGCAACACAGGAGTCCTTGGAACACTCCTAAACGGTCTTCCTAACCAATCCTCCATCTGATTATACCTGAAACCGCCAACACCCACATTTAGACTTCCCAAAAGTCTGCATTTTTGATTAATTTGTTAGGGCTATGAGAACAAGAAGAAAAAAACTCACATTTTATAGCCTAATTCTGAAAGGTTGGTGTTTTCAGCTGTAAAGGTTTCAGACAGAAACAGACCAGCTCCAGCAGAGTTAACGTTTGGGTAAATGTAACTAACTCTGTCTCGAGCCGTTGTCATGAACAAGAACGCTGCGTGGCCCCACCCCGCGAGCTTCGTGGACAGAATCATGTCATAGTACCTTCCCTGCAAGAATGACTCAAGTAAAGTTATTTTAACCTGTCTGATGATAGATAACGGAAAGGTATAATAAGATTGAGAAACTAAAAAAAGGTGCAAACTTTGAGAAGTCCGATCATGTCTGTATATTCAGCTGGTTCAGGCCAATGATCGTCTGGATCATACACATTTGCCCATCTCACGTTTTTGTTTAATTCGTATGTTTGTTTCCCTCTATCAGTCGTTAATATATCTACCTGAACACCAGGATACCTTAAAAACAAACAGAACACAAGAACAATGTTCTGCATTTCATTTTAGGATCTTAAAAAGGTCAATTTGGAGAGGATTTTTTCTACCTTTACCTGTCTTTAATCAGCTGGATTGTCGGGAAGAAGAGTAAATTCTCGTAAACGCCACCGGAGACAACGCAGCAACATCGTCGAACATCTCCTCTGATTTTCAACGGCAGAGAAGCGAGCTCGACTGTGTAACCCATCGGGAATTTCAAGAAGCCGTAAGGGTTGTCAGGATTATCCGGCGGTCTCGGATCTTCGTCTTGCTTCCCGTCGACGAACAAGGACCCATATTCGTTATCCGGGTCTTCACCGTCATCAAACGGGTCGAGCCACTGGTTCTTCTTCTTGAGATTGACCGATACATCGGAAGCTAGCCGAGGTTGAAAGTTGAGGAAGACGAGTGGTTTGGTGGAAAACGGCGGCGTTTTGAAGAATGGGGAAATGGGTTTGGGTAACAGAGGAAGTGAAGCCATTGTAGCCGAAGAATGAATGAAAGTTTGGATTTTTGAATGTTGAGGAAAGAAAAGAGAAATTCTTTAGGAAACTCAGGATAAGTGGGTCCCTTTTGTGGCTATTTTCCGACCTTAGAATATTTCATGTTTGACAATTAAAACTTTTGTCTTGAGCAAACATTCCTAATCTGACAAGCATTAATTAATAATGGTTACACAAGTAACTTTACAGTAATCAAACCATATTGGATTAACAAATTTATTGTCGGGTCGAGCAATAAATAGACCCGTTTCACTGTCGGGTCGGGGAAAAAAAATATCAGAAAAAAAAAACAGAAGAACCAATCGATGACGTGTTAAGCGGTGACTCGTGAACGACCTTTTCTTCTCATTTCTTTGCTCTCTCTCTCTCTCTCTCTCTCCATCGATTTGATTCGTTTCGTCATCGATCAGAAAAGCCCATTCTTTTTCTCTCTCTTTACTTTTCTGGGTTTTCTGAAGTCAAAAGGTTTTTTTTTCTCTTCTAAGACTGTCTTTGTGATTTTCCTGGCTCTCTCTCTCATTGCTTCTAATCTCACTTATCCCGTGAAACAGAGTAAGCAACTTGGCTTATTTTGTTAGAAGATTTCCTAAAAATGGGAAATTTGGGGGAGAGGACTAAAAAGTTTCATTAGCTGTTAAATGTAGCTGTAAAGTGCAGAGCTTTCGATATTAATCTCTCTATAAAAAGCAGTTTTTTGTAGTTTTGATTCAGTGATAGATCTGTGATAATCCGAGAAGATATTTTTGTTTGTTGTTGAGAATCAATCGGGTCAATGTCGGCTCCTCCTCGATTCCGGTCTGCGAATTCCGGTGAGAGAGAATTCCGATCGATTCTCGGTCCGACCGGGAACAAGCTGCAGAGAAAACCGCCGGGGATGAAGCTGGAGAAGCCGGCGATGGAGAAGAAGAGCGTCGAGTCAAAGGATGAGAAAACGAAGAAAGTGGATACTCCGGATTCACCGACGACGACTCTGAAGCAATGCTCGTCTCTTTGCTCCTCGATTCTGAGACGGAACAGTGCGTCGATGACTGCTTCGTATTCCTCCGATGCGTCGTCGTCTTGCGAGTCGTCGCCTTTGAGCGTTGCGTCGTCTTTGAGCTGTAAGAAGGCTGTGAGGCGAAGTGGGTCTGTCTCCTCCTCCGCGAGAAGGAAACAGAGTGATGAGAAAGAAGAGAAGGTCGCTGCTGCTGGTGCCAGCTCCGGTGATTGCTTCGCCGATGGTCGTAAAAGATGTGTCTGGATCACGCCTACATCTGGTGAGAATCTCTCTTTAACACCAATTCGTCTCTTAAATCTGGTGTTTCAACAATTCACCATTTCTGGAACACTAGAATGGAGAAGAAAGTAAATGCTAGATTGAAGTTGAACTGATTTGCTGAATTGAAGTGAAAATATTTGAGATTTGTTTGTTGGCTAAGTTTAAGACTTCATTGCTATATGCTGGCTACAATATGTTATTTAGTGACTTGTATGCTCTGAAACTTGGAGATAGTTATCTTCTTTGTTGTCACTTCCACTACTCTCTGTTTCTCTCTTTATGTGACATGTCTTTGTATTTGCTTCTTTGCTTGTAACTGACTGATAAAGTTGTTATTTTGGTTCTTGTAAAGATCCGTCTTATGTTGCTTTCCACGACGAAGAATGGGGAGTTCCTGAACATGACGACAAGTAAGTGGCTTCCTCAACAAATTTCCTTTGATCAGATATGCTCTTTTGTGATTAGAAGAGTCTCTCTTACCACTTCACTGAAATGTAACAGGAGACTTTTCGAGTTGTTATGCCTCTCTGGTGCTCTAGCGGAACTCTCCTGGACCGACATTCTCTCCAGAAGACAATTACTCAGGTAATAATCAGAATTTGAAATCACAACACTGTATTAACTTTTGATGCAAATTATCCAGAAGCTAGAGTGTTGTTGTACGAGCATTGATGCTCAGAATTGCTTCTTTATGTTAAAACAGGGAAATTTTCATGGACTTTGATCCAGTTGCTGTTTCTGAGCTTAACGAGAAAAAGCTGATGGCGTCCATTTCCTTACTATCAGAGGTCAAAATACGATCCATCCTCGATAACTCACGCCATGTTCGCAAGGTAACATAACATTTGTGCTTTACATGACTCAAAACTTATAACGATCTCTAAATATAATAATCCTTCTGACTGTGAATTCTTAACTTTATCCAGATAATAGCTGAGTTCGGATCGTTCAAGAAGTACATGTGGAACTTTGTAAACAACAAGCCTACACAGAACCAGTTCAGGTATCAACGACAAGTCCCTGTGAAGACGTCAAAAGCAGAGTATATAAGCAAAGATCTTGTACGCAGAGGATTTCGAAGCGTTAGTCCAACGGTTATCTACTCGTTCATGCAAGCAGCTGGTCTCACAAACGATCATCTCATAGGCTGTTTCAGATACCAAGACTGTTGTGTAGATGCAGACACAACAACGAAGGCAAAGAAGAAGAATGAGCGAGAGTGAATAAACAAGAGAGCAGTTGTAAAAGCTAATTAACGTGTTTTGAGTACCAATGTTGTTTGCTTTTGAAAGATTCATTTACACAACGAGGTTTTGCTACCGCCAAGTGTTTTATTTCTTTTTCTGCGTTGTATAGATGATTAGATGTTTCTTTGTTATCGGTTTATTATGCATACAGTAGGAATGTTGCTACGTCTTAATCCCGTATTAACCTAATAATTACCATGTAGAAAAAGGAGCGGTAATTTCATATTTACACGCAGAATGTTTGAGTAGTAGCAATCGTACTCTATACTGAGATGGGACTCTGCGTGTATTGAGCTAGAGAATATATCTCCTGACTATTTTAAATGTCTTGACGTTGATATTTTTTGGGTTTTATTACGGAGTCGTTGAAAAAAAAGTCTCTTGACAAATAACGGCCGTGCATTGTGGAGAGGTCGAATTCAACTTTGGCATATTCATTTTATAGGTTTTTCTTGTCCTTGTGCTTTTCTCGACATTTATGATTGAAACCAACGGTTCGTATGTTATATAGCCCATGGATTTGGTAGGCATCTAGTCGACTCCATGAAAAGTTATTTTTATTCTTTCGTGGATAAAACATACAATTAGTTACTAAAGTTATTAATTTCTTTGATTTGTCCCTCGATTATCATTTTCCAAATTTTTTTTTTATAACTCGCGGCTAATATGATTGTACTACTTACGTCGTAGCAAAAGAAATTACCAAATTACGTGACCTTGATTAATTTATGTCAACAAGACTTACGTTTCGATTATTACAGAAAGGCCAGAAGTATTTAAGTGTTACTATGGAATCTCCTAGACTCCTACCAAAATGAAAGTAGGACGGGACGGGGCCCACTTCGTATGGTCATACTCATATGCCACGCGCACTTCCTTGTGGGGCGCATATTTGGCATTACCGTTTACTTTCGGAGTTTGGCCACTTGGCAATATCTACTTCTTCTTTTGGTATAGCATTTTCTTTCGGGTATTTCGGTGTTTACTATTGCAGTGACAAAATAGCTTAAATATCTTTGTGCCTAACGTCCTCTCTGTTTGCTACAGTTTTGGGTGTTGTTGCGGAAGGTTTAGCGGCTGTGGTTTGGTCTTGTCTGGTATTTGTCTTCGGTACTAATCAAGTTGGTTTCGGGTGGGACTTTGTGTTTGGAGGAACCCTTTTGGTGTGGCTCTACTTGAAGCTCTTCGGCGTCAAAGGGTTGATAGAGTTCGGTTTTAGTGTATCAGTTTTTCTCTCTAACCTTGCTATGTATGCTTCTTTTTCCCCTTTGTTTAGTTCTGTTTTGGTTGATTTTATTTGTTGTAACCGAGTTTATTATCAATCAAATACGACAAACAAACAAAAACTGATTGGAGAGAAAAAGAGTGCTAAGGTAAATTTGAATAAAAATAACGTTTCTTTCCTCATAAAAATACATTTTCGAAAAATCAAGTACAAAAATCAGTTAAATTAGTTTCCACTTTCCTCTTGTATTCCTAGATTCGACCCCTCTTAATTTATTAAAAAAATTCTTTCCAAAACAATAGTTTTTTTGGAACTTGCATTAAATGGATTTCTTAGTTAGAATTTCTCTTACATTTGACCATACACGTGTGTCTATCTCTCTCTTTCTATATATATTTTCCTTTTTGATGTTGGCAATATAGACAGAGAAAAGAGACAAGAACACTAGAACAGAGAGGCGATGGCGGCTGCAACAGCAAGCGGTGGCAACACAAGTTTCTCCAACTCACCTCTCATCCAAAACTCTGATTCTAATCAGATTGTTGTCCCTGAGGTTTCTGTTTCTTTCCTTTTTGTCCCCTCACCTTCATATTTCTTAATGGTTGAAGGATATGTTTATATATATAATATGCAGAAAAAGAGCTGGAAAAACTTCTTCTCGTACTTAGGCCCTGGCTTTCTTGTCTCAATTGCTTACATTGATCCTGGAAACTGTAAGATTCGCTTTCTAAGTTATAAATATTCATAAAAGTATCTCACCTTTTTCACTTACATACACAAGCTACGCATGTTTTTGCCACAGTTGAGACTGATCTGCAATCAGGAGCTCAATACAAGTATGAGGTGCGTTACAATCGGTTTTAACCTTTACTTTCTTTACAAGTTTGAATTGTTTGTTTAAATTTATGGTTTGCATTTGAGTGTGTGTGTGTATATATTACTTTTTTTGACATGGAACAGTTACTCTGGATCATATTGGTGGCGTCTTGTGCAGCTCTGGTGATTCAATCTTTGGCTGCAAATCTTGGTGTTGTCACAGGTTTATTCTCAGTTTTTATTTACATTACAGTATTAATCAATGGCTAGTGTTCTTATAATATCCCATTTGATCCCATTGCAGGAAAGCATTTAGCAGAGCATTGTAGAGCTGAATACTCCAAAGTTCCAAACTTTATGTTATGGGTTGTTGCGGAAATCGCTGTAGTCGCTTGTGACATTCCAGAAGGTATGAGGTTTTCTCTGATGGGAACTTCTTTTGTTCTGTCAACCAAATGCTTATAAATGAAACAATCATTGGTTTTGCTTCTCTGTATACAGTTATTGGAACAGCATTTGCATTAAACATGCTTTTCAATATCCCGGTTTGGATTGGTGTTCTTCTCACAGGATTTAGTACATTGATTCTTCTAGCCCTTCAACAATATGGGGTATGATATAAATACTGTTACAAATCTTGGTTTTTTAATTCTTATATGTTTCTTGAAGCTTTTTGATTGGTGAGATGGTTCCTTTTCTGTTTTTGTATCTTTACAGATTAGAAAGCTTGAGTTCTTGATCGCATTTCTTGTGTTAACTATTGCTCTATGCTTCTTGGTTGAGCTTCATTACTCAAAGCCAGACCCGAAAGAAGTCCTTTATGGTCTCTTTGTTCCTCAGTTAAAGGGAAATGGTGCAACTGGTTTAGCTATCTCTCTCCTCGGTGCCATGGTTATGCCGTAAGAATCTCTCTCTCTCTCTCTCTTCCCCACTCAACCCAAATGCAAGAATTCTCGTCTGTTTTTTTTTTTCATTACAGGCACAATCTCTTTCTCCACTCAGCTTTAGTTCTCTCTAGAAAGATTCCTCGTTCAGTAACCGGCATCAACGTAACTTAATCACCTAGCATTATGCATACATTTTCATGGAAGATATATATGAGTCTAAGTTCCTCTGTTTTCATTTACAGGAAGCTTGTCGATATTACTTGATAGAAAGCGGATTAGCACTAATGGTGGCATTTCTCATAAATGTCTCTGTGATATCAGTGAGTGGTGCTGTTTGTAATGCCTCAGATTTGAGTCCAGAAGATCAAGCGAGCTGCGAAGATCTGGACTTGAACAAAGCTTCGTTTCTTCTACGGGTAAAATCCATAAATCCTCAGTTTCTTGCATGATTTTCCAAAAGATTAAAAGGATATGTATATTTCTTGCCTTCTTATGTTCACCACAGAACGTTATGGGTAAATGGAGCTCAAAGATATTTGCAATTGCGTTGCTTGCTTCGGGTCAGAGCTCAACAATAACTGGAACTTATGCTGGTCAATACGTAATGCAGGTGATCAATCCTCAGACAAATGCTCTCCCAAGTCTTAACTTGTTGTCTGAATCTTGTTCTGTTCTTGTTTTTCTTTCAGGGGTTTCTTGACTTGACACTAAAGCCATGGCTTAGAAACTTCTTAACTAGATGCTTAGCTATAATCCCGAGTTTGATTGTAGCTCTCATAGGTGGCTCAGCTGGAGCTGGAAAGTTAATCATCATTGCCTCGGTATAACCTCAATAACTCAAACAGTCAAACCCATTCTCTGAATCATCTTAACATCAATCACCTTATCTCTTTGCAGATGATCTTATCCTTTGAGCTCCCATTTGCTTTAGTCCCACTACTTAAATTCACTAGCAGCAACACCAAGATGGGAGCACACGCCAATTCTTATCTGGTAATATATAACTTTCATTTTCTCTTAACATTGATCGGAAGAAAGAAATCTCATATATCTTGAGTGTTTTATTGCAGATTTCATCTGTGACTTGGCTCATTGGTGGACTGATTATGAGTATAAACATATATTATCTAGTAAGCAGCTTCATCAAGCTGCTTCTCCATGGTCACATGAAGCTTGTATCTCTTGTCTTCTTAGGACTTCTTGGATTCTCAGGCATTGCAATTTACTTAGCTGCCATTGGTTACCTTGTCCTCCGTAGAAACAGAGAGTCCTCCACACGTTTCCAAGCCTCCGGTAACTCTCAGACCGCGGAAACACTTCCTAGAGAAGACATTGTGCACATGCAGTTACCTAATAGAGCAGTGGTTAGAAGCGACTTAGATTGAAGATTTATAACATTTACGATAGAAGAAACATTGTTTACTTATTGTAATCTATTACAGAGAATAAACATGAAGCATTGTATACAAAATCAAAATCCATCAAACGATTTGGTTAAAAGATCTTAGTATATAGATTCATAACCAGACAAGACATTTTTGAAACAGAGACAAAACCAAAGATAATTTAGGGAATAAACTTCAAGACTCGATCTTGATGCCGTTTTGGCTGGTTTCTTGTGATGATGTCGAAGGAGGAGGTGGTGGAGGGAGATGGCCTTTCTCTTGCAAGCTCTTAACTGTGTCGTAAAGGCTTTGCTTGGTGGGTGTGAACTCTAAGCCTAAGTCCTTAATCTTTTGGTTAGTGAACTTGTATGGCTTGGCTCTAGGATTCTTCTCGTCCTTGCACCTGAACAATTAATACACAAACCAACAATGTTGTTACTTAACACAAACGTTTTTGAGGTTAATTACTTAGTACATTTTTTTCCTAAACATTATTTACTCTAAAGCGATTGATTTGTCTAATTAAAGTTAGGCAAAGAACATAGACTAGCTCCATTACAACAACCCTTTTTAAGAAACATATCCATCAACATATGTATGCAAAATGTCCACGTTAGCAGTAGGTACCAAGTGCACTTGGACTTATGGTGTGAGTGGTTGGTACACCAACTTTCACCACAAACGTTCAAAAAAGGAACATGGGACCAACTCACACCCATCATTGGGCTTGTATAAAAATAAGAGATAAGATAAATTAAAAACATTCCTACTGTGAAAAGGAAAAAATGAAAAAAATTATGCGTTCTTGCATTATGTCAAGATTCGCGGAGACGTCACACTGTCGTCAAACTTAGCCTTACGTATTCATATTTGTGTTGGTGAGGACTTATTGTATTGTACACTGAGCACATGTGTCATATGTGTGCATGTGTCTCTATAATATAAAGTCCAACACGAAATATAATCAAAAATGTTGGTCACAAAGAGGAGTAATTGAGAGAGTTGAAACAGGTCATTGTCTAAGAGCTACTACCATCGTTATTAAAAGGCTTTATGTGATCTGGTTTTTCTTATTTATAAAAAATACATATCGAATATATGTCCAAAATCTATGTGGTGACTGGTGAGTGGTGACTAGTCGGTTGTTGGTGCATGGGTGCCAAGTATATTATTCGTCATTCAAAGTTTCAAACTTTTATTATTAGAAGCCACACGCTGCACATATTAAATTGGACTAGAATTTTTTAATTTTGTGGAAGTAAAATTAATTATATTTGGATTTTGGACCACAATGCTTGATCATGAACCTTTTACCTTTGCCTACAAGTTTGCTTGCAGAAAATACAAGCAATATGACCGCTATTTGTAGTATACTAGTTTATCGTTGTGCCAACTATAACTTGGAAAACTATTATTTTCACATAAATATTATAGTTTAATTAGTATCGAGGTTATAGTTTTTAAAGTACGAAAGAAAAAAACTATAGAGATGCTAGTGTTTTAATCATAAGAAAGTAATTATTTGTGAAGAACAGAATTAGAGTCTTCAAAGGTCGCTAAGTATAAAAACTTCAGATATTTTTGTTGTTGATAATCATTTATTAACTAAGCGGCGGGAAGTTGCACTTACTTGGTCGGGAGAGGGTACTCAGGGAATAACTTAGCCAGAATCTCAACAACTTCGCCACGGTGAAGAGCGCTCTCGGCGAGGAGATAACGTCCAGAGGCCGATGGGGCCTCGTAGACCAGAATATGAGCCAGCGCTACATCGCGAACATCCACGTAAGCCTGAGTCAAGTTAGCGTAGGTTTTAGCCGAGCCTGTTAGATACTTGAGGACGTGGAAGAGACTGGCGTTGATCGTCGGTTGTAACGGCGGTCCAAGAACCAGCACCGGATTCAAAGCCACCATGTCAACACCTTTCTCCTTCGCCGTCTCCCATGCCGCTTGCTCCGCCACCATCTTGCCGTAACAATACCAATTCTACATAATACACACACACACATTTTCAATAGACCAAATCCCAAAATTAATTATTTAATTTCTACGATTATGAGTAAAGACAAATGTTAATAAGTGTAAATGCAAAGACTAGAAAGCAAGACCTTAGTGTTTTTGCAGAACTCGAGATCACTCCAACAGCTTTCGTCAACGACCACGTCAGGGTCACGGTTCGGGTCCATGTAGACGGCACCAATCGAGGAGGTGATGACCACACGCTTGACCTTGGTTTCAGCCGCAGCATTTATTACGAACTTGGCTCCGTTCACTGCCGGCTCCACCATTTGCTCCTGAACAAATTTATTATACATACTTAATTAATACTCATCTAACATAGGAGTATTCATTGATTTGCCCCTTCCAACAGTATAATTTCTAACCATCTTTTTCTTTATGGTCTGAATTTCTAACCATCTTTTCAAATGTAATAAACGCATTTCAAGAAAATGATCTTCTCGGATGTTTCAATGGGGTTAACCAATGAAGAAAATAGCAAAAGATTTTTAACTCTTTTTATGCGATTGTTTTTTAGTAATAGATTTTCATAACTGAAAGCGATTTGATACCGAGTTACCGACACCACGCCCTTAGGACATCTCCAACAAGCCCTCAAATCCTCAAATTTTGAGGTTTTGGCATTCCAACAAACCCTCAAATCCTCAAATTTTGAGGTTTTGAATAGTGAAACCTTAAATTTGAGGTTTCACTATTCAAAACCTCAAAACTTATTTTCTCTTTCTATTTGGTCCTTATATTTATGGTTTTTCACAATTAGTTATACTAAACTTTAGTTTGAACAAAATTAAACATATAAAAATAAAATAGAATAAATGTTACCTAAAAACCAAAGTTCACTCAAAAGAAAATACATTTAAAAAGTTTACACAAAAATAAAAAATAGATTAAAGAAACTTAACACAAATTAAAGCAAATTACATAACACATAAATATTACATATTTTACAAATAGTACCAAAATATTTCATATTTTACATTATTATATATGTAATTTTATTATTATATCACTATTATTGTGAAATATGGTGTGTTGTCTAATAGTATAATAAATAATTATATATCAAATGTGTTTTAAATTTATTTATGAATTTTTATTATCATTAGTAATGTTTGTTAATATTAAGGACTATATTGCAAATTAAACAACTTTTAAAGATTTTTTTGAGGATTCATTGTTGGAGCAAACTACCCTCAAATCCTTAAAATGAGGTTTTGTTCTCTTTAAAATTTGAGGGCTTGTGGGAGATGCCCTTATAAAAATTAAAAATGACAAAGAAAATCTAAATGAAACCAGCTACCATAATTTAATTATTTTACGTAGAGGTCCCTAACTTTATAATATATTTTCTCTGAAGCCACAAAAAGTACGAGAAAGCTAGAAAACAAAACTTACGGGATCGTCGGTGACCGGAGAAGCCGTATGAAAGACGCCGTCGCAGCCATCGAACGCCGCCTTAATCGCCTCGTAGTCCTGAAGATCTGCTCTGCACAGAATTAGTCTCTCCTTGGCTCCTTCAAGTTCTCTCAAATGTGTATTCTTTGGATCATCTGCAAAATATTGATTAAAAGAGTTCCAATTATCAATCCAGTCAATAAACTAAAAATAAATAAACAGACTATTACAGTGAGCAAAAGGAGTATACAAAAAGCGGACCTGGATTGCGTACGGTTCCTTTGACGGTATAGCCTCTCTCAAGAAGTGACTTGACAATCCAAGAAGCGATGTATCCACCGGCTCCGGTGACGCAGACGGTTTTTCCGGCAGGCGAGGATTCCTCCACTGGCATTTTTAATCGTGGTCGACAAAAAAAAAAAGAGCTTTGGTTTTGAAGCAAAGGTGTGGAAATATGATTAATGGAGTCGTTACAAGATGAGTTACGTTTTGTATTTAAAAAGACTGAAAAGGAAGTTTTATCCTTACGATTACACTCTTGACAAGTTCACCTAACCCCGGTAATGTTAATGAGTCTGGTCAATACATTATTTTATTTTCATGTATCTATAAAAGGACAAACAAATCTATAATTATTTATTGAAAGAGGGGTTGGTGGAAGAAGAACTAATTTGGAAGTTGGAACTATACACCTTTGAAAAAACTCAAAACTTTTGACAAAACATTGAAATAATAGTGTAATAATATCTCAATCATTTTACTCTGGTGAAAATATCTACAAATTTACTCTTGATGAAAAAAATACATTTCTGGATGATGTATATACAGAAATAAATGAAAAAATCACAGATTTCTTATTTTCGTACGGATATTGTTACAAATATAGATACAGTTCTAGAAGAGAAGGGATATGTGGACAAGACAAGTCGCAAGTGTTATGTTATTTAGCTTCTCTGTCAATATCAGATGTTTAGATTAACTTCTTTATGTAAGCTCTAAGTTATATGTCCAATACAGGAAACGCTGAAACGACTACACAGAATCATTGTTTGTGTGTGTTTGTGTTTGTTCAATACAGGAACTGCTGAAACGACTAGACATACGATCATTATTTGTGTGTTTGTGTCTGATATAGCGATTCATACACACAGACACGAGCATGTCTTTAAATATAGATAAATATATGTTCCTAGCCAGGTGACATCAGATCAAACCAGTTCCATAGAAAGACAGGTCAGAATAATCTACTAACAATCACACCATTAGTCTCTAAACAAGCAGAGATTTACTTAACACAAAAGTTTCCTAAACCACAAGAACCAAATTCTTTTCCCTGAATTAACACTTCCTAACCATGTTTCATTCTTGGATCAACCTGAAACAGGAACAGTACCGACTTCTTCCTTAGCAGTCTCTTCTCTCAGCTCCTTAGTTACTCCCTTATCATCGTCTTCAGCTCCGTTTTCTGCTTTACCAGCCACATACACGTTTGTGCTTGTTTCTTTGTCACTCTCTTGTCTCTTTTCCTCAGATAGATCCTCCTCCTCAGTCAATTTTGTGCCTGCAGTTGGCTCTTTCGCTGACTCTTGCTCTTGTACCTCAGTTTCTGGTTTTGCATTTGGCCCTTTCACCGACTTCTCCTCTTCTCCATCAGTTTCAGGCTCTAGCTCTTGCACCTCAGTCTCAGGCTCTTTCAGTGGCTTATGCTCTTCCTCATCAGCTTCAGGTTCTGCATTTGTTTCCTTCACTAACTTGTGTTCTTCATCAGTTGTAGGTTCTGCAGGCTTAAGCTCTTCCTCATCAGTTTTGGGTTCTGCATTTGTTTCCTTCACTAACTTGTCCTCTTCTCCATCAGTTGTCGGTTCTGCAGTTGGCTCTTCTGCTACTTTGAGCTCCTCTCCATCAGTTTCCGTTTCTGTGTTTTGATCTTCAGGCAGTTCTTGGTCATCTCTCTTACGTTCAGGCTTTGTTTTTGATGCTTTCCTTGATTTCAGACTCTTTTCACCACTGATTTCAGATTCTTCCTTCACATCGCCATCTTTGTCACTTTCCTGGTGCATAGCTTGAGTCACCTTCTGCCTTTTCCCAGTCCTGCCTTTTGAAGATGTAGGATTCTTCCCTTCTCTGCTCGCTGGTTCATTGCTCACGGCCTTCACTGCACCCTTGTTTTTTGTCCCTTGCTTACTGGACTTTGTTACAGAGTCTTTCTTCATTGCTTGCACAGACGATCTATATCCATAAAGACAATCTAAATTCATTTAAACAATCAAACCTACATGTAACAATAACTAGAATTACTGTAAATTTTCACACCTGGCTTCTGGAGAACTGCTCAGTTCCACATTTTTGCGCTTCTTAGCTTTCTGCCTTCGTATTCTGAATATAACAGCAAAAACTCAATGAGACTAAAGAGGCACCAAGCTAATAGCCAATAGTGAGTGATAAAGAAGCATAGATGTTTAACATACATGTCACATAACGGAGTAGACTCGGGCAGATCATTCTCGGAATCCTGCTTAAGATTACGAGGGAAATCAATACACATACTGGTTTAGATATTTTTGTAAAAGATAAAGAATGTTGAATGAATAAAGAGAGGCTCAATGTAAGAATTTCTCACCTCCCTGGCTGAAGAATTATCGTTGAGTATCTCCCAACGTTCATTTTTCATATTAAGCGCTTCAGAGTCACCATCAGTATATACTATCTGCAACGGGACCAGCAGTAGTAAAATTCTATACGAATCAATTCTGCAACAAACAGATAATTTTTATATATAGCAATTAGATAAGTTAACTCACTTTATGAGTCTTCTTATGACTAGAATATGACTCTACGACGCCTTCATAAAACCTGTGCAAATATAATTGGTAAGATTGCCACCATTCATCACACAGTATCCAAAACGTAAGTTGGCATGTTTTGCAATACACTTACATCTTGTCGAGTGGCCACCAGACCTTAACCCTCTTACCAACCAATTCCTTACCAACAACACTCTTATTAGACTCCTGAAAAGAAGAATGTAGACCTTATAAAAAACCACATGACAAATCATTGCCTCGTACCATGGATAGAGAAAGTAAAATTACACACCACTACCTCTCCATCAGCTGTGCGTTTCCTCTTGGGAGTTTGTTCAGATTCTTTGGCTGAAGGCGTTGTTGCACGAGAATTCTTCTTCTGCATAGTTCACCCAAATGTAAGTTCAAAAGAAGTTCTCGAGTATTATATTTTGACAATAGAAATCAAGGTTCATCAAATTTGCTACCTTGCTCTTTGATAATTGGGCAAGAGGTGTATCCATGCTTGCACCTTCTGAATTCTTTTTCTTCGCAACTGTGTGGACTGGTTTTTTCCCACTGGTCTTTACCTCCGCAAGTGGCTTCTTTGCAGATGTTTTGACTAAACCATTCTGTGCTTTCTCATTTTTACTTGACTTGGCAGTCTTAATGCTATCTTCAGGTTTTTCAAGGTCAGACTCCAGAGACTCCTCTTCATCAGAAGAACCTTTCTTCACAATCTGTTTCTTTGATGTTGGCATAGCTGCAGAACGTACATCAAGATTCGTCTCTTCCATCTTACTCCGGCTTCGTTTACTAGACCCCGTCCTAGCCTTACTAGAGGGTGAGAGAGAAATCACGACAGACTGATTCGTTTGGCCAGCTTTACTAGGCAAAGATGCCTTCTTCGTTGAAGACTTCTTAAATGAATAGCCTTCCTCAGGATTCATCAGAGAATTTGGTTTCCGCCCTCTAGTCCTTGTAGACCCTGACTCGGTCTCTGCATCTGCACTCTCAGACCCCGCTTGCTTCAACAATTCTCCATTGGCTCGACTAGCTCCACCTCTTGCAGTTCTCTTGGACCTATTCCCCTTGCAAGAAATCCCCAGATCCATTTTTCCCTAAATCAACAGAATTTGAAGGTATTTGTTAAGCAACAAACAATGTGAAATGACGCTTAACACTTATAATGAAAAAGCCTACCAAATACAGTACCTGCAATGAATCACTTTGAACTACTTGTTCTTTTGCCTGAAAAACGAAAGAATATATAAAATCTTGATAGATGCAAGTTCAATACAACCACTATATTACCAATCAAACCAAGAGCCTCAAGGCATTAAGAATACCTCAATTTCTTTGGGGTTAACAACGTTGTGTGCATCAGTAGTGGCAGATTCGCTTTGGGATATTGACAAAACAACTGGAGAATACATGTCCAAGCTGGTCCCTGTGGACTTCAAAGCTTCCATGATGTATGGTTGAAGCGTAGAGGCACAAGTACTGAGAACCTTCTCCACAAGCTTCGAAGCCATTGGTGAGACATCCTACACCACGGCGACCAGAAAAATCAAATCTCAAGTCTATTAAAAAAACTTTGTTCTGAACTTGGGAGAAACTTACCTGACTATCCTTTTTGACAGCCTTCAAGAGAAGCTCGAGCAATTCCATGGATACTTCTTCGCTTTCATCTACAACTGTGATCATTATCGTTTCCATTGAGAGAACCACCAGTTGAGGATGATCCGGGCTTCAAAATGCACAAAAGAAAAGCCATCAGAGTTACATAAAAGCACACAAGAGGTTAACTCAGGTTCTATATCTCTACCTTATGATGTTCAAGAACTGCTGAAACATCTCTAGAATAAGATCATCGCACTCCAAGTCCAACATCACCAAGGATGATCTGACCCTAGCAACAGTATCAAGCACAGCCAGGGCTTTCTTATAACTCCGAGAGGATGCATCAGCTAGTTTCCCAAAGGCTTCTACTGTCTCCTGGAAGATCTCCTGTAAGCCAAAGAAGCAAAGCAAATGCCTTTGTCAGAGAATAGTGTTACTGGAAGCCAAAGGATACACAATTGTGGATTAATGGTTTATAGCAACCTTCATTTGGTCATCTTTGTATGGGGCCTCTGGGGCAGTTATCCTCATAATCTCGGTTAAGCAGGAGACAACGAAAACCCTGACATCGGAATCAGGGTTTCTCAAGAAATCAGCAGATATCAAAGCGTCCATTGATGGAATTAGGGCTTTTTGCACTGGTGGAGTAGGATCTTGCTCAACGCTGGAGAGCAGAGACTCGATTTCCTACACATACAAGAACCAAAGTCAGAAGATTGAACATAAGCAACAGAGAGAAATTTCCTCTAGGGATTTGAAAGCAACAAAACCCTAAAAGGTACAACCTTTACATATCCCAGAATGTCTTGTAAAACGCTACAGATTCACTTAAGACCAACGGAAAAAATCGGCTCTCGACACGAAATTTTGCAGCAAACATTGAAAAAAATCTAATTTTTCCGAATCGGGAAGAAATAGAAACCCTAATCGCATCCTCTAGTCTACTCCCAACAAAGGGATTTCACCAAAAGCAACAAAAACCTATCTGTACGAATAAATTTGACACAAAATCAGAGATTGTTTGCGAGAGAGAGAGAGGAACCGAACATTGACTAGACTGAGAAGCGCATCAGTTGAGGAATGAGGCTTGACGAGATTCTTTCCAGCCTCGGTGAGAGCTTTCGAAAGCTCGGTCGCTCCGACAAGAGGACCCATGTTTTGTTCTCCTGAGAATGTTCAAAACCCTAGAAAACAAATAAACATTCCCCGAACGAAATAAGCCCTGTCCTCGCCGCTTCAAATTCCAGCTGGTTCGACTAAAGTGACAACTTTACGAGTCCGATGCGCCTTTTATATGCGGTGGTGAACATGAAAGAACTGCTCTATCGACCGGTACAAAGAGACAAAATAAACTCTCATTATAGTTTATAAACAATTAAAAAAACAAAAAAAGTCAGTAAACACAATTATGTAGTCTTGGAGTGTTGACCAAAAAACAAAAACAAACTCTATTATGTGAGTGAGAGACAAATTTTATGGAACATGTGTTCTGTCATTAGATAAAGTTTTTTAGTGTTCTTCTTGATAAAGTAATTCATTTGATAATTTTAAATCATAATTTGCAAATTATAAATCACTATTGCTTCAATACCAAAACTGTAAATCCGTGTGAAGCTCGGAGTTGTCTCTTCCCGCCCTTCTTCTGAAAGTTATCACTTCAAAAAATTGAAATTTTGAGAATAATTTGGTATTCGTGTAAAATCTAAAGACCAAAGGTTACACTATAATAAAGTAAGAGCAAAAATGAATAATTCAAATACTGGGACAGGAAACAAATAAATAAAATTTGGCAGAGATTATTATACCATTGAACAAATTCGATCTCGGCCGATACTTATGGTACATACCAATAAATTAGACTGATAATTGGTCGGTTTATATTCTCCAATACTTCTCAATATTGATTTGAGTGGTAATTTCTTTTAATTAATTTGTGGGAAAAGTGCTCAAAATAACTCGAGCAAGCAAAATGGGGCTTTGAAGAGTAGAGCAACATAACAACAAAACTTGAACATGTTCAAAACAAAATCTCAAGAGCTGTGTCTGCTAAATATTAAATATCAAAACCAAGAGAAAACAGCGTTTGGATGAAAAACATTTGAAGTTCGAGATTCGAAATGCGTCTTAAATCTAGTTAGATTCAATATGCTTCTTCACGATGTTGAGCGCAGTCGTCTCCTCACCGTAGTCCTGAAACAGCAAGCAAGAACACACATAATATAAGCAAATGACCAGAGACAGAAAAAAAAACACAAGGAATTCTATAAAATCAGAGCTTCTTCAGTGAAATGGACTTATATACCTTGACTACAAGGCAGGAGCAACCAACAACCTTCCTGGCATTACCCTCAGAATCAATCTTGCAGAGCTGCAACAGCATCAAAAGATTCAATATTTTGTTTATAACAGAACACTCGTTCAGAAACAGTGGAAGCTTTGATAAGGTGATAGTATATAAAGAGTCAATAGATTAAGGAGTAGACTGGAGACTTACACCAGCCCATTCACCGAGGGTCTTGGCACTTGGAACAGTAAGCAAGTTGATGTTGTGATCAGCGCAGAGAGCCTTGACAAGCTTGACATAGTCAGGCTGGTTGCAGTCTTCAGCCAAAACACAGAGCTGAGCAGAACGCTTCTCAATAAGCTTGGCACTCTCATGGAGACCACGAACAACACCACCATAAGCACGAGCTTTCCTTAGAGTCAACTCCAACGCAGTCAACAAGTCCATGTCCTCTGGGATGATTGCTGCTGGCTCAGCAACGGGAGGAACAACAACTGGAGCAGCTTCATCACTGAGTTAGGAGCGAGTCAGTAAACAACCAACAAACAATTGAGACTCCTCAAGCATATCAAAATAACATATTGTATCTATTGCATCTAACTAAGGACAATCAAAAACTGGTCTAAGTCTAACAAGAACATTAATCAGAAGAGAATCTTAAACATAGAAAATGGTGGACGGTAAGAGACAGCAACATCAACAATCCAACAGAGACTGATTACGCAGATTCAACAATGCAAAAATCAAAATTAAAAGTTCGCTACTTATCACTGATTACAGATTCAAAAATGCAGGAGTATCTACAATGCAGGAGAAGCTTACCCTGACATGTTTCCTTTCTGATTGACTTTTCGAACGGAAGAAAAACAGGAAGTCCTTGTTATCTGCCAATTTCAATCAAGCATATCAATATCAATCTCAGCACAACACCTAAGTATCAATTGTAACTAATCAAAATCGGCAGCGGAAATTCAAATTTGGACAGCTAAATGGATAGCCTAGTTTACAGTCTATCAAAATCGTCGAAACAACGTTTGAGGAAATGAAAGACTAAACCTCAGAGACGGAAGACGGCTGCAGCGGAAAGGATGAGAAAGAAATTGCGAACAAACTTATATGGAGAGTGTACTAATTACTAAAACCCTAATTTCACACCACAGTATTTTTCACGGATTGTGGCGGACCCGGGCCACATTTTTAAAGCCCATATATTTCATTATCGCGGACCCAGGCCACATATCTGATGGGCTTTAATAAGGCCACATAGTTCATTGTCGTCAGTAAATATACGCTTACCTAATGGATTTGTGCTTTAACGATTCTAGTGTATCATCATCATCTTCAGACAACTATTGTCTGAACTCTTGCGTATCATATTTGCTTCGGACAACTATTTGTAATGCAATGGCCTAACCATCTTGTAAAATGTAAAATCAACCCAAAAAAAAAGAGAGAAGAAGACAATAAACTGTTTTAAATATTTTTTCTGTGTTTTTATTAATTTTTTTAATTGATTTTGTCAGCGACGACCTGAGGTTGGTTAACATTTCCTAATCCATACAAATGACCAGAATATCTATCCAATGGACCGGCGAAGTATTTCTCCTTCATCTTCCTGAACACACACGACGTCAGCAAGCTATCCGACCCAGCCTGGTGAGACACCCCAACGCGCTCCACTTTGAGCAGCTCCGCCACTTTGCTCAGTCCCCCAAAGAGCCCGTTGCAGAAATCCATCAAATGCTTGATATCGTACACCCTCGGGAAATACGTTTTCACCAGCGAGAAGAACTCCGACTGCTTCTCCGGCAAATCCTTCCCCGTCAGGAGCTTCAGCAGGTATCCGAAATCGTACCCGCAATGGAACGTCACCCACTGGACCTCGTCGTTGAGCACGACCCCTGATCCGGTGAGAAGCTCGGCGAATCTCTTGGAGTCGATGCCGAATTCGTTGTTCCTGGCGAAGTCCATGCCTGAGTCCTTGAGGAGCTGGATGGAATCGATGGCGAACATGTCGGTTTTGAGGTTGAATTCTCTGAAATTGAATTGCCAGACGCACCGCTTGTTGCTGGTCCCGCAGGTTGGGAGGTTCCCTTGGTCGTCGGATAAGGTGAGGCCGAGCTGGATCATGTTGAGCATGTTCACGTTCGTCATCAGGGACTCGTAGTTGAATCGGTTGCTGTTGCGCTTCGGGATCGGGCTCGGGTCCGCCGTCACTGGCTTGCACACGGTTCCGGGGAACTCCGTGTCCATGGCGACGTAAGGGAAATGGTCGATTTGGTTTGAAATCAGATGCAGCTCCGCTTCCAGATTCTCGTCCCACACCTCCCGGATTTCAATCGGATCATCGTTCGGAACCAGAGACATCTCTATCTCTGTCTCTCTCTCTCTCTCGTCGATTATAATGATGATGATGACGAAATTGCGTCGAGAGCTTGCATCTGTAAGCGAGAAATGATTGGAGAAATCGGGGGAAATAAACCTAGAACGGATCTAGAGAAAGATCCGATCCGGTTTCAACAGTATCTGCAATAAATTCCGAAGCAGAGAACGAATCAATCCCAAATACGAAAATGATTCAACGAAAAACCAAAACAGAAACACAGAAATCGATTGATGTATGATAGAGAAACAAGGAGGCGTTTCAAGTAGGGTGATTCGAACCTGGAAATCAAGCGAAGAAGATAATAGATAGATAGATATCTGGAGAAGGCGGCGAATCTCCAGGTTAGGGTTTCAGAGGAGGATGTGGTGGTTTTTAACGACGAGGATGATGAGAAATTGGGAGACGTCGTAAGAAGAAAGAGGGATTATTAATAAATAAAATCGAATTTTCTCGAGACTCTTGGCAAAATGATAAATCGATTTTTTGCCTTTTCAGGCTTTTGTTTCTTTCTTTTTTCTCCTCGCTCTGTCTCCCCCCTCTATTTTCCTCTGAATCTATTTGTTTTATCTTCGCCACCAGTTTTTCTAGTTTCCCACTCCAAAAAATAATTGTAAATCGATCTTAATATTCTCTCATTACCTTATTCTTAGGTCTCTCATTTCTTTTCCGAGATGAAACCTATAATAAACATCTCATTTCTTACTGCCTGAATGTTACTTTTGTTAAATGCCAAAATAATTTAAACCTGCCAAACCCACAAACTTATTTATAATCACCATGTTAATAAAAGCTAATCAGCTAAGATTAAAAATTCCCAAAGTTAATGATGGAGACTCTGAACATTTGACATCAAACAACGTGACTACTTCTGCTACAGAAGAACACTCTGGTAAAGAAGAGCATGGAGATCATGGAGAGACTGAGCCTTTGACGTCACCAAAAGCCCCCAATGAGGAAGCTTCATTACAACACAGTGATAAAGATTCCTCCAAGGTAACAGAGAGTCATAATACTTCAAGAGGATCACCGGAACTAAAGCATTATGCTTTTGTGGAATCTTTCGTAAGCGTTAGCAGCGACGTTGAAGGCGAAAATCTGGTTGATGTGTTAAAGCAACAACTAGAGGCATGACAGGAAATGCCTAAGAGATTTGAGTAAAGAGTTAGAGGAAGAAAGAAATGCCTCAACAACTATTGCTACAAATCAAGCAAAGGCAATGATCACGCGGTTGCAGGAGGAGAAAGCAGCTCTCCATATGGAAGCTTTACAGTACCGCTATTAAACATTAAACAAAAAACTAAAAACCAGACAAGAGTCTATAGTTATAAGTTTTTAACTAATAAAAATCACTGGCTGGTTAATTCAGATGTTCGAATTCTTTCAAAGAAAAAGATTCAAAGACACAAGTGAAAGTCTGGAAACAGAGAGCATATCAGCAACTCCATTATTTTACATTATTTATTTTAACAAGCATAAAGCTTAAACATATCTTCTTCTTCATCCTCCTCCGTCCTGCAACCAAAGTAGAAGACCAATGGATTCCTTAGATCAAAACTACATTTCTTTAACTGGATTCAACAAACGAGATCATGTCCATTCAGTATTTGTCGAAAAGTTTTTACTTTAACCCTTACCAAGCTTATTACAAGCTTCTCAGATCATGGAGTGTATTGCAAATTTAAACCAGCAAATACATATATAAGTTATATAAGGAGACACTGTGTCAAGTGAGAGAAGATAAAGCATACCTTCAGGTTCGTTTACGTTTCACAGTTTTCATGTCCTTGGATATGAAAGTAATCGCTTCCTTTAATGTTGCTTTCCTTCCTACTTTGAAGTTCCAAAGTTCTGGGACAGTGTAGCGACCACTTCCATTATATTCATTTATCTCCTCCAGAGCTGTTTTAACAGCGTTGTGCACCTCTGCTCCCCACTCTCCTCTAAGCTTCTTCAGCTGGCCATCCTCTTCGTCTACCACTTCCTGTAAGCAGAACCATGTAACAACACTATTACTGCCAACTTACAGAACAGCTGTACCAACATACCAAAATGAACCAAGACTCGTAATAATGGGATTGAGATAGTGAGAAAAAACATACCTTTGCTTTGTCCCCGGTTCCTTCAAGTTTGAACGGATGCCACTTTGAATCATTGACGTTATTCTGCCATTTAGAGCAAAGGGTGGCAGCTTCAACCGCAGCTTCGTCTGCAGAATATCTCTTCTTGCAAACATTCAGGAAGGGCTTCTCATCGAGTTCTCCCATCCTTTTGACCCCGATATCGGTTTCCGTACCGATCAATACTGTCAAGCCCTGGAAAAAAAAAAAAGAGCTTTCTTTTGAGTATTCAAATCACAAACAACATCGGCAACAATTAATCACTCACAGATTACTCCAACTTTGGTTGTTGGTACATGCAGTATGCAGTTTCTATATAAGATACAGTGGTAAGTAAGATAAGAACTCATCTTCACCCTATCCTAATCAAAAAGGTTTATTAACTAATCAGTTCATTTTGTCAAGTGAAGGTAGGTGAAATGCAAGTGTGTCAGTACCCAAAAACACTAAAGCATTAGAAATCCGTACCGCAATCATTTTTTTCCGGGCTGCTTGTATTTCATCATTGCTTTGACGTTCTTTTGTCATCAGGACTGAGTTCATCTGCTCTAGCTCTTCTAACTCAGATTTCTTGTCCTCCAGCTCGTCATTCATCTCCTTCATTTTCTGCTTGACCGCCTCATCATCATCATCTCCCAAGTGCTTCATCACTTGCAATTTGCCTTTTAGCTCTTGAATCTCCATTTCCAAAGTCTGTTTGGTGTCTAGCTGCGTCTCAAGCTGAAGGATCTTGCCTAAAGCTTCTTCTTTTTGCCTCTGGAATGCATAAGAAGGAAAGAGTTTAAAACTCAAGAGACAAACGAGGGAAGGCTTATTTTCCTCAATTCTGGAATTAACTTGCTATACAGTTTGAGTTGTGAAGTAAAAAATATACCTTATGCTCTTCTACAAGTCTCAACACGCTCTCGTCAGCCTTTTTCTGTTCACGGGTGGCTAGCTGGAGGGAGGTGTTCATGGCATCACTCTGCCAAGCCACGAAAACAAATAACTGATTATTGATACCTTGAATAACATAAATGCATACATATACCCACAGACTGATTGATGCCTATGTATGGTACTGACTACGAGTATTACCTTTTGCTTGTCTTCATCAAGCTTCTGTCTCTCCATTTCAGTTAGTGCCTCCCTCTTGTCCAACTTTTTGGACCTCTCCCGCAGCTCGGCTATCTTATGCTCCAGTTCATCGCTTAGCCTCTGCTTTTCTAACAGGATCCCCTGGATATGACGAAGCGACATTTGCTGCATCTTCTTTGTTTCTGAGGAGATAAAATAGAAACAATAGTCAGATACCGTTAAAACATGCTAGATGAATCATAAACAATTAGTGTTTCAGTAAAATACCGTCTGCATAAGCTTCGTGCAAGGTCTTTTTCTCGTTTAGGACCCTCTGCAGTGACATTTCCGTCCTGTTGTAGCTGTATTGAACCTTGTTCAGATCTTCATTTGTCAGAGCTATGGTGTTTGAAAGTTCGTCCAGGACACTGTTTCTATCCTGGTTTTTTTCTTCAGATATATCAGAAACAGTTCTCAGCTTTCCCTCCTTGGAGAGGTACTCCCCTATTGGCCCTCCAGAGTTAAAGTCTTCTTCACGCGCGCACCAACCGAAGGCCTTTAGCTCTGAATCTCCTCTCTTTTCTTTCCACTCCCTTTTGCTGCAACCTTGGTTCTCAAATTCCTTCTCAAGCTCTGTTGCACTCGCAAACCCTCTCCAGTCGCTGTTAAACTTAGCAATAACCCCAACAGCGGAATCTTGTTCGACCAAAAAGGCATTCACCTCAACAGGCTTGAACCTAGAAAGCCTCTTCATCCAATAAGCAGAATCAAGTAGAACTTCCTTGTCATCAGTTTCTTTCAAAGGATTCATGACGATCCCCATCCATGGCCAGACATAAATGTCCGCCAGTTTGGCTTCCGGCTTGTTTACACAAGGAACTGGAGGGCGTGGAAGAGGCTCCGCTTCACCAGCAAGGTCGTTCTCCAAATACTTTGCCAAGGCGAGATGATTAGCCTTCTGTTTAGCACTTCTGGTTGCAGATCCTTTGGAAACCCCAATAGCATGTGCGTTTAGCTCCTTGTACTTATAAGCTTGCTTCTTCTTGCCTGCACAAAACGGGCATCTCAGCGTTCCGTTCACCTTGACTTTGTATTCCCCGTTCTGTAATTGCAGGTACGGTTTTTCAGAATACTCCTCAATCTCTGAGTCGCTGATCTCAGACTCTTCATCCGATGAATGACTCATCCTACCTTCTGCTTTACCTATAACACAAATGAAACATTTCTTGAGACGGGAACTTGACAAATGAAACAAGCAAACAAGAGGGTGGTTCGTTTATCAAAGAAATCGAAATAAATTTGGGTTAAAATGAGTGTTTCAGATCAGAAAGCAAAACTTCGCAGGGATAGCTCATGCAGCAAAGTTGGTTGATAAACCTGATGATAGATTAAAGGGTACAGCCCAAAAGAGACTCATTTTCTAGCAGATTGAGTCTATGATCTCGAAATTTCAAGAGCAGGAGAAAACCCTAGGCAAGGAATGAGCTTGAAAACCCCAAATTTCAACATCGGATATGATATAGAGCAAAAGAGAAGAAATTGATACAACATTTAGAAGATCTGATATGATTTTAACGCATGCATGATAAGGAACCGAACGAAATCCAAATAATCTACAGATGCAGTGAGTAAAGCGTGAAATCACGAGCTGCCGAGAAGAAACAGGATTCGAAAAATCATTGGTAAATTTCACTGTTAACACAGAGTGTAGAAGAAACCTGGGCTGGAAGTCTGGAACTTACGTGAAACGGGGAAGAAGGGAAAAGCGGCGATGAAGCTGAGGATTGATGAAGAGAAGAGTAGAGAGAGTGACGAGAGGACTGAGGAATCCGACGAATTTAATGCGAAAACTTGGGGAAGAGCAAAAGGCCAAGATATTAACTAACAAAAAAAATTACTTTAGGAAAGAAAAAATATTTAAAGGTAAATGATAATGTCAATAATGGGTTTGAGCCCATGCCCTTTCGGCCCAGTACCTGAAACTGGCGAATTAGACCAATTCGGCCATCTTGACTTATGTTTGACCAAGTAACAGCCTTTATATCAATCATCACATACTGAATTGAAACCCCCATTATTACTTTTTTTTCCCATTTCTAACAACATTTTGAAATGGTTTTTTTTTTTCTGGTCAACAAACGGTTTTTGTAAATTGTTGTTACATCAGAACCGATGATAGTTGAGCAGCAGCCCAGTGCTTCTCGATAATTTCCACGATGAACAAATGGCCAACGAAATTTTTATTTGTTGGAGTTTTTAACTTTTCCTAAAATTTAGTGAAAGTAACATTTTGTTATCCGGGAAGACCAAGTTTACTTTTCCCTAATTAATTGAAACTTTTACAGGTGATCATCAAATCTCGAACGATTTTTCAAAACATAGCCAAGACCTTTTATTATACGAGTCGACCTCACTGCAAAATTTCAGACATTGGTCATCAAATGTAAATGCCATTTTATACAACAAGGAGATTACCAACAATTGTGATGATAATAAATCGACCAGTCTTTTGATAATAATACTGCGAGATTCTCAAGGAGGACATAAGAGAAGAATGGTTATATTCTAATCTGAATCCAAGGTGAAGACTTGAATCTTGTCGCATTTGTCTCGGTAACCAAAGCAGTAAATTAGTAAGTGGCATTCAAATGGGCAGGATCGGTCGGGTTTGGCCCGAATCCGAACGCGATCTGCGAGATTTCCAAAGGAAGAGGACCAAAGCAGCGATCACAACTCCAATAGCGTCTGCGACGGCGTCTCTAGCGGAGGCACCAGCGGAAGGGAAGATGCCAAACTGATCGCCAGCTTCTTTAGCCGCACCGGCCGCGAGTGAGAAGGCGGATCCGATCCAGATGGAGTGACGTCGTAGAAAGGAGTAGCGAGAGAGAGAGGCGAGCGCAGAGAAGAAGATAGAGATGGAGAAACAGAATATTACATGGTAGAATTTGTCCGGAGCAAGCCAAGGATCATCTCCTCCGCCATGAAATTGCGTTTCCATCTAACGAATTGATTGTGGCAGTGACAGTGGGAGAAGGAATGGTCCGAATGGAGGATCCGATAATCCGATTATCGAACGACGTCGTCTAACTCTTACGTGTCATCCGACGTGTCACTTGTAAGTTTGACTAGATTGCTTGGGTCAACTGTTTCAACGCATATAAGCTTAGGGTAGGGTGAAAAACAGTGGATCATAGACTCTAATCACGGTCATTCCAATTAATTAATTACTGATTGATTACGCAAAATGGAACCTATTTGCCGTTGAAGGGGCACGCAGCAATTCTGTCTGCGTCTCCGAACAAACTCTCTTCTTCTTCTTCTCTCGATCCGATCCGTTTCTACTTCTCCAGATATCGGACCCAATTGGATCGCATCTTTCTGGGAGACGAAAATTCGGTGACGAGAAGGAGGAAGTTTTCATCTTTGATCTCGAGAAATTTCGCATCTGGTTTATAATCGGGGAAAACGTCTCTTGCCTCAAAGAGACGATCCGCGTTTAGCAAAGGAGAGATTTTACTGATTCGGTAGAGACCATGGAGGTTCCTAGCTCTTGGGATGCTTTACGGAAACAGGTCAATCTCTTTTTTAAATTATTGTGTGGTTTGATTCGAAGCGTCTCAATTCCTTGAATTCCGTCTTTTGGAGGTCTAGATTGGGTTCCAATCAAATTGAGGAATTTGTTTGTCATTTCTAGTTTGCTGAATCTCAAAAAATCAGTTTTATCTTTCTACTGGATCCAAAAATGTAATGTTAAGATGCATTCGCCTTTCTGATGCTCTGTGTTTTTCTCATTTGAATTGAATCCCACAGGCGAGAAAGATTGAAGCTCAGCTTGACGAGCAGATGCACTCATATCGCAGACTTGTTTCCACAAAGGCTTTAGCGAAGTCAGATGGCGCAGAGAGTGATCTCGAAGCTGGGATCGACTTACTTCTTAGGCAACTGCAACAAGTAAATGCGCAGATGCAAGCATGGGTATCTTCAGGTGGGTCAGAAATGGTCTCACATACTCTAACTCGACATCAGGAGATCCTTCAAGACCTGACTCAGGTACTGAAAGGCTTTCCTCAGTCACTAATTCCTTACCTTTCGTTGAGTCTATGGCTATACTGATTAGCAATGGCATGAATGTTCCACCTTTTTGAATATGACTCATTTCCAAATGCAGGAGTTTTATCGACACCGGTCCAGTCTTAGAGCGAAGCAAGAGCATGCTTCACTTCTTGATGATTTCAGAGAGTTTGACCGGACTAGATTAGACTTAGAAGAAGGCGATGGGGAACAAGCCCTGCTTAAAGAACATATGGGAATCAACCGCAATACAGCGCATGTAAATAAACTCCCTTTGTTTAGACTCTCTACGGCTGTAATCAAAAGAAATTAAGCGTGACTTTCTAAACCAACTGACTATTTTATGTATATGGTGCCAGATGGATGGTGTCATTTCACAAGCTCAGGCGACACTTGGTACACTTATGTTTCAGCGTTCAACTTTTGGAGGAATCAACTCAAAGCTTAGCAATGTCACCAGCCGTCTACCCACGGTATAAAGAGAGCTTTCCTTTCTTCTTAGCTATAAATTTTTTTGCTCTTTGCTTTCTTTATTCCACTCTGCAATTGTATGGTTAAACTCATTGCAGGTGAACACTATTCTGTCGGCGATAAAGAGGAAAAAGTCGATGGATACAATCATTCTTTCACTCGTTGCTGCTGTGTGCACATTTCTCATATTCATCTACTGGTTAACCAAGTGAAATTCGCCCTTTTCTTTCGATTCACATCTCTCTGTTAGACCACGTCTGGTTTTCCCATGATTGATGTTAATTTGTTCTGTGATCATCGGTGTTCTAGTAAAAATATCAAAAACATATATATATTTTGTGTACAGCAAATTTCATCACTATATTTGCAGTCTAGTGGAGCTTATACGACCATCTGTTTCTCTCATCCTTTACCGGTTTCTTTAGCTTTGTACTAACATTGAAGACACAGCATTTGCAAATAAATCTGGCTTCAATATAATCTTAATCATAAACCTGTATCCAGTTAATACATGTAACAAATCTGGAAGCTAATACCAACATTCATTGGGTGATTAAGAATGTGGTAACGAAAATATTTTATTTTTGCTCAACATACGACTTAACAGTCTCCATCCATCTGATATACTCGGCTTTATCTTTGTTCTTCATGTACTGATGCAAGAACACAGCAAGATCATCACTGATACCTCTTTCTTCCAAAAATTGATAAAGCAAGTTTTGAAGCTCATCTTCCATTTCCCTGTAAACAATCAAAGACCCAAATTTAGTTTCAACATATCACAATCTTCATGTTTAAGAAGAAGATCAAGTAAGCGACTGTACTCGAATTCTGGTCCAACATAGGCATTTGGCGAGCTCTTGCTGGTTTTACGAATAAAGAACTTGGATATCTGTATAGTATCAGGCCAAGCAGAACACATGATCTCTAAGGTCTCGCCATTACCACCCTTGGAGATATTGACAATGAAGGTAATGTGAAGCTGAACATCTTCAGGGTCACTGCTTGCAGATTTTGATGATGGAACTGATCCATCAAACATGGTTGCTTCGATCTTAATATCTTCCTTCTCCCCAAATTTTCTTCTCAAGCTAATCCACTGCTCCCCTGGCCGCTCATCCACCGTGAATGGACCAAACTTGTCCTCAGGCTGCGATTTTTGTATACAAACAACAAGTACACAGATAATCAGACACCGCAGACAAAAAGGATCGAGACAGGAACCAGTTTCCCAGTAGGATTATTGATCAAATCAGAGGCAATTAATCTATACTTTTCAGAATAGAAACTCAATTCAATGGGCAGCAAACATGGTTCGAACCGAGGAATGAGATTTGCTCACAAAATTTGGATTCCATTTTCAAAAAGTCTCAACCTTTCTATTAACGAGTAACAGAGAGGAGTCGAAACAGAGCTAAAATACCTGAAGAGGAGGCGAGTGATCGAGCTCGGACTGAATCTCAGAGCGGATTAATCGGAGAATGTTACCCTCGAAAGCTGATTTCCGCATTTCCGACACGTAACTCCCCGAGCTTAGAAACTTGCGGCTGATTGAGAAATTAGGATTCTGATTTAAGTGGACACATACTCTAGGATTTCGGAACAGAATCGAAGGCGATGAAGTATATATCACTGCTCTCCTCAGATATCTAACGAGACGAGCCATTGACAGAGAGATGAAGAACACAGGAGTAAAAGTAAAGATCGGGATTTTTCCTAGGGTTTAAGAGAACATATGACATTCAATGGGGATGATTCTCTTTGCGTGGTTTAAGGAATTCTTAAGAATAGGTCTGTAAGCTAATCTTCACCGTCCATTTCAAAACGAGTCTGATGGTTAGTTAGAAACTTAGAATGCGTGTAGCAGAGAGACGTCTGTTTGAGTTCAGGTAACTTTGCTAACATATGAAATTTAAAATCGTTGGGACCAATTTATCATTGGGTTACTAACACAACATTTCAAACATAATGTGTTTCCCTCTATTGAAGTTAATCACATGTAACAAAAATCATATAATGTGTTCTTTTTTCAATGTTTGAAAGATGAAAACTGAAAGTAAATTTGCGACTGAATCTGCTTTTGTTGAGCCCAATGATCCTGCAAACCAAACCGAAACAGAGAATTTATCATCAGTACCGGAATAAAGCACAAGACCTGAAGAGGATTCGAGTTTTACACTGTGTTCTGAAGAAGATAACTTACTCAAGTAAAGGATTTGACGCTTTGAAGCTGAGACTTGAGGAGATTGTAAAGCTTTTCAGGCTTGTTTTTCGCGAATCCACTCAACAAAATTGTCGAGAACCAATGGCCATGCAAGCTCTGGATTGTACTCCGTCATCTCCGGGAAACTTATCTGTAAATGTTACAAAACAATCTTAGTTAATTAGTCGATGAAGCTGCCAAAATCGGGAATTAAAGAATTAGGAAGCATACCTCATTGCAGAACCGGAAAAAGCCCATCCATTGGTCCATGTTTATGACTTTGTAGTCGTTTTGGATCTGTGTCAAACAACAAAATACAAAACCAGTCAAGGGATGATAAGATTGCGATTTGCGAGTAGAGAGATGAGACTTTTTAGCGATGCATACCTTTAAGTACTCGACAAAGTAGTCAACTTGGGCTCGGAATGTAGATCCCATGACGATGTCTAGGAGTTGACATATAGTCTCTATGTCTATGCTCTTCTGTTTTTCCTCTGCATTATTAAACAGTAAACAAATGTCACACAAACATTAAAAAAAAAGGTGAAATCTAAGCCGTAAAAAACAACCATCTCATGCAGAAGCTGAAGCTAATCTTACCTGTTAAACAATAGCGGAAGGCATAGGCATAGAAATCTGCAAAATTTGACTGCCTCCTGACCTTAAAGAGACAAAAACCCAGGAAGAAAAATTCAAATTGATTCAGTCTTTAGAGATGTCAATCAATATGAAGATAAAACAAAAGGATAAGACTCTGAACCTCTTTCTCGAGTTCTGGAAGAGCTTTCTTCAATTTATTGATTGTGTCAGCTCTTAAAGCCTTCAGGCCTCTTCTCCACTCTTCCTACAGTGAGTATCAAGCTTAATTCGAGTATCAAAAAGGAAAAAAAGATCTCTAGCTCTAACATATTCTGCGCATATCTTACATTTGTAAAGTAACCTTGTTTCTCAGACTTCATTTTCCTGCGATGTGAGAGTTTATAAGTTTTAAAGATATGTAATTGTGGTAAAGAACAACCAACCAAACGTTAATCAAATTACCAAGCAAGCATCAAGATTCGGATATCAGTATGAGACACTTCCAAATTGGAGCATAGTTCCTCAATTCCTTCAGGGCTGTTCACGTAATACCAACAAATATTAGAAAGCGGCGATCTCGAGATCATGAAAATAATCTTATGCCAATTCCGTAAGAAGCTCAGTGGTAGTGAATTCACATAAGACGAAGTCGAGCTTGAAAAGATATGCAACAAAGGATACTTACTCAATCAGATTGGAAGATTTGTTGGCATACTGATTAAACAAATGGTCTATTCGATCCATCTCTTTAGTCGTAGCCTTACTCGAAGCTGAAGAAACACACACACAAAAAAAGAAGAGAGTAAGATTATACACAAAAGTCATCACAAAGGAGAAACGTTTATACAAAAGCTCTGGCGATTAAAAAGTTGGTGATGACGAAAAAATATGCAGAAAGAAAGTTGATTCAACTAGGAAATTCAATCGTCAACTACTGATTTAGAGTGTTGAATTGATTCAAAACCCACGATGATCCATTAATCAGCTCAGTTCCAATCACAGGCTAATAAGACTTCAATCCGATTTCGAATTGGGAAAAATCAGTAGAAAATTACAAAATCAGAACCAAGAAGAAATGAAGAATTCAGCTCCCAGCATAATTACATAAACCCTAGACTGATTCCGTCAAAGAATCGGGAAACGGAGGGATTAAGAGAAGAAGAAAAACCTGAGCGAAATAGATCCGTGGTGGAAGATGGGATTGGATCAGCGGGGTTTGATTGACCTGATTTCTTCTTGGATGCGGAACGACGCATCTGGAATTAGACAGAGTCACAGAGAGAGAGAGAATCGCACAGAATTAGAAAAGAATCTTGTGGAAGGAGAAAAGTAGTAAATACGCAGAAGAAGAAGAGTAGAATAAATTAACAAAACACACAGAAAAGGAAAGAGAAGAGAAGCACCACGAAAGAGGGCAACGCGAAGAGAAAAAGATTTCTAGATTGGGCAAAATCTGAGACAAGGAAGCACCTGATTGGAAGACGCTTACGATTTTCTCTCTTTTATATGATTCTCCTCGATTCATATGTATCTATCTACTTTTTATCCGGATTTATTATACATACGAATTTTAACTTTTACTGTTTTCACTTTTTTTGTATCTATGCACAATAAATTCATATCTTTGCGTACTGTGTGATTCTCTGATAAACATACAGTATGTCTAGTTTTTGCATAAAGTGCTAATCCCTCAAATTTATTACATAGTTTTTCTAAATTTACTTTTTACTCACTCTAAACTTTTCAAGAACACTGCTATATAGCGCCTCCTTGCGTTTAGGAAAATGAGCTACAACAAAAGATCATCCTTGTACACAATTTTATAATAAAGACCTACAAAGTCTAACAAACAACAACGATTGAGCATTTTCGAATAGAGAGGCTACTACACTTTTGAGCTCTCTGAGTAGATCTCATATCGAATGTTAAGTTAATAATCCACATCACATGGCTAATAAACAACTTCATCCTTCACGTTGCCTGACTTCGGCGGCCAGAAGCTTTGTCTGTCTCAAGGGAATAACCAACATTCTTAAGATACCAAAGCGCCGCTTCTGCTGCCTCCTCAGCTGCGATTTTCTTCTTGTGCTGTTGATTCCCGAAACACTCCAAAGCACATGTCCCAGAATCCTCCTTGACTTCAATCGTAGCTTTCACTAAATATCTGAACAAAACAAAACAAAAGAGCCATGTTGTTCATTCTAAAAGATCTTCACACCTGAAAATGTGTAAGAGAAAGTGCCAGAGATTGTTTCACCCTTACACTCGCTTATGGAAAGGACCACCTTCGTAACACTCATACACTGGTGCTTTCCAATGCCTCATGCTACATAACTTATTCAACTCTCCTTTCGCTGACACTCTCCGTGTCTCTTCTACTTAACAAAACCAAAATGTCAGTACAAATGAGACAACTTGCATGTGCCATAACTAAATCTCAAACCTTGAGGAAATGTAGCAAGAAATGGAAGCAAATCACTCATATATAGCTTTATAAACCTAAACCAAGTACCTTAATACAAATCTTTTAGCTGATTACAAAACTAATGAACCTAAAACTAAGTAAGAGGCGAAGAATAACAATACCTTCAGGTGTGGGCTCAGCTGTATGAGGCATTAAACCTGATTGTGGATCTTGTGCACGTGTGATGTTTGACTCCATCTGTATGGCATTGTCTTCTTCTTCCACAGCATCATTCAGCTTCCTAAGCTTAGATCCAGCTTCGCAACTCTGTAGGATGATCAATCTCTTCCTTGGTGGCTGATTATTCAACTCAACAAAAGGAGGAAAACAAAACAAACTAAAATCAACAGATCCGACAGAAGAAAACACCAATTTAACTCAAGTTCAGGTCCTCTTCTTCTTTTTTCACATTTTATGCAATTTTGAACAAAATATCAACGAAACACCTTTGATTATTTTCTTCCCAATTCACAAGATTTCAGCGCGAAACAGAAGAGGAATTATAATTGTAAATGTTATCGAAATTTCTTACCACAGAGGACGAGGACGAGCAAGGAATTGATGAAGGGTCTAGAGGAGGAAGAAACATCGCTGAGAGAGACTGAAGAGATAAATGCCTTTTTTAGTTAGCTTCTTCTTCTTCTTACCGCATTTAATTCTTCTGATTCCTTTTTAGCTTCCAGAGTAGTTTAGTTCCTCCGTCTGTGGGAATCTGTTTTCCATTATACTTGGCAGGTTCATAAAGTTCATTGGGCCTATAATTATAATAATAGGCCTTTCTTTCGTTTTGGTATATCTAAGGCCCATGATATGGTCCCATTTCTTTCCTTGTTAATCATTTCAATTGCTTATCTTTTAAGCAATTCAGAAGTGAATGTTGAATAGCAGCATACGTGACTAAAATTACGTGAAGAATAAAAAAATGGTTTCGACTGAAAGAAGAAAATACGATAACGTTAAATTGAAGTCAATGTATTGAAGGAATAGGTAGAGTCTGGAGAGAATGAAGATAAACATGAAATGAATGGGCAAAGCATTCAATTACAACGGTGGCACATTATTCCAAGCAACCCAAGCTTTCAATAGGCATATCCAAAAATTTATCACTAAAACGAGTAGTAGTATGTACAAAGTACAAAAACAAATCAAAATCATTTCTCAAATTTATAATATCGACATTGGCTTGCTAAACAATGTGAGTTTTTCTTTATTACTGTCAACAAGATGAGATTTTCTTTCATCCAAAATGATGAGATATTCTTCTTCAGTAAAACTTTTAAAAACACTTTGGGGAAAAAAAAGAGAGGGAAATATGTGTAGTTGAACATAACACAAACCTAGTAGTAGAGTGTTAAGAGGAAAAGTGGTGTGACATAAATGAGGAGGCTATTCAAACAGCACTTTAATTCTTTAATCTTTGCCATTAAATTGTGTAATCAAGATAATTCTCATCTTTCTCTCGGCATTTACTATTACTCCATTTTCCAATGGGCCATGAGATGCATACACATTATTCATATATCTATATATTCGTGAATGGTCTTTATATATTTGTCTTGTACGTAGTACTTCTCTGTCGACAGAAGAAGGAACAAAGCAAACAAAAAAGAGATGATGAAAGCAAAACAACTGCTTGTGGTCGGGTTTTTGTTTCCACTGCTTCTTTTTATCATTCACACCACAAAGTCCGTTTCAGCTCACAAAGACAACGCAGTGGCTGTAACCATAGAGGATCAAAAGCAAACAAACAGAGGAAGACGAAGTGGTGGCGGTCAGAATCGTGGACGCAGAAGCTGCGATCCTCTCTATCAATACTTATTCGGAACATGTGGTCGCTGGCCTTTTCCTATCACACCTTCGCCTGATAATCCTTTTCTCCCTTTCCGACCACCGCGTCCACCACCACGTCCGAGACCGCGTCCAAGACCATCTCCACCACCGTTGGTCCCTTCTCCACCACCTCCGCGTCCAAGACCAAATCCACCGCCGCTTGTTCCATCGCCACCACCACCTCCGCTGGTTCCGTCTCCACCTCCACCTCCGCCTGCGCCGCTCGTTCCTTCACCACCTCCTCCTTCTCCACCACCGTTTTTCTCGTTCCCTTCACCACCACCGCCAGTGATGGTGTTTCCGCCTCCTTTAGTGCTGTCTCCTCCACCACAGCAACCAGGCTTGGATCCGACGTTACAGCCTCCGCCTTTCTGGCTTCCGCCCGCACCTCCTCAAGACGATTTTCCGCCGATGTTCTCTCTTCCACCGCCGTTGGAAGATTTTCCACCAATGCCACCAATAACTTGGCTCCCTCCTCCGGATGTTCCGGCCCAGTCCTCTATTCCCCAGTTGACGCCGCCTTGAACTTGTTAAAACATATCATTTTCCGATGCTCTCTTTTACGTTTTCCTCAGTCGCGTTACGAAAGTAAGTAGATGTTAAGTTAGGGAACAGTTTTGAGGAAGACGTGGGAACAATTTCTAGGCTCATCCTTTGCATTACCATAATGTTAGCTTACTCTCTCCTTTCTCTCTTCGTTTAAACTCTGAAAAAGTAGTATGAGTTTCAAGTCATAGCTAGTAATCCGTTTAGTTATCTTGAAATTTTGTTACTAAAATATAATGTTTGTGTGTTACTTTCTAATGATTTCATGCTTTATAAATAGGAGCATAATATGTACGTGCATAATTCTTGGATTAACAGTAGCATTTTTTGTTGCCAATTGCACAAAACAAGCTTGTTCAACATCATTCAGCTTCCTTAGCTTAAGAGTGACAAAACTAAAAAGGTATCTTGAATTTCAAGCGAAAGTCTCACTGTTTTAAAATTAAATGGGCCAGACTTATTAGACAGCATGGAGCAAGTGAACTGGGCCAAACAAATGAGTGAAGGCCTTTCGAGATTAAATGTGGTTGTCGTGTCAGGAGGTTGTTTCAAACGAGGTAATAAAACGAAGAAGAAGAGCAGCTGAAGTAACGGCGTGGGATAAGCTAACAATTCTCGAAGTGAAGACTCCTTTCTAATTCAATGCTCTTTGCATTTATTTGCTTCTTCTACTCTCTTCTCTTTTCGTCTCCTTTTTGTTTTGTTCATATCGATTATTAATCTTTTATCTCCACATTCATTTCTTTTAGCTGTTGTGAGGTGTGAACAAACAAAATACTTCTGTCGATATTCACTTCAATATTCTTTGAGTAGAGAGGCTGTGTGCTGGCTAACACTCACCTCAGAGCTCTAAATCATGAGTCAGTTTTAGTGATTGCCTCTCTACATTGGATTGTGTAACCAAATAAATATTATTCATTGAATCCAAACAAAAACAAGGTCTTCTTCAGTAGTGACAAACGTAAGAATCGCCAAAACTCCAACATAATCGACCGTCAATGATTCAACTATTAATATATACATACGCAGTTTAGTTCTTGAATGTCTTACAAGAAAAGAAACAAGAAGATGACAAGAATTGTAGTAAGATGTGTAGTTGCAATGCTTTTGATCAGTGTTTCAATAACAGAAGCAATAGAGACTATCGAGAGTCCACACAAGACGAAGACAAGAAAGGTTCTGTTAGAAGAAACAACAGAGTCAAAAGCAGAAGAAGAAACCGAAGTAGAAACGGAGAAGCTCTCTCAAATAAGTGCGACGTATTTTTCCGGTGCGTGTTCGACACTTGCGGCCAATGGAATTTCCCGATTGCGCCTTGTCCTCAAAACCCTTTCTTGCCTCCTCCCGTGGTTTTACCACCACCGCCATCACTCCCCGTTGTAACACCACCACCACCACCACCAACACCAGTTCCTTGCTCACCACCACCGCCACCGCCAGCCCCAGCCCCAGCCCCGGTTCCTTGCCCACCTCCACCATCACCACCAACACCGCCTCCACCACCGCCTTGCATAACTTGTGTCTCAGCCCCAACACCTCCTCCTCCCCAGCCTTGCATAACTTGTGTCTCAGCCCCGGAACCGCCTCCTCCGCAGCCTTGCATTACTTGTACCACAGCCCCGGCTCCACCTCCACCAGTACCTTGCCCACCACCGCCATTACCCCCAACACCGATTCTACTCCCACCTGTATTGCCAATTCTGCCACCACCAGCAACGCCATCTCCGGTTCCAACCCTCCCTCCACCAACACCGGTGCTAGCCCTTCCTCCACCTTCTGCTCCTCTTCCGCCACCATTATCTTCCTCTCTTCCCTCACCATCTATTCCTTTAGTTTTATCGCCACCTCCTCCTCTTTTAGGCGGCGGTGCTCCGGGAATCTTCGATATACCTCCTCCTCCTCTTTTAGGCGGTGGTATTCCGGGAATCTTCATTTCACCTCCTCCTCCTCTTTTAGGCCGCGGTGCTCCGGGAATCTTCGGCTCACCTCCTCCTCCTCTTTTAGGTGGGGGAGCTCCGGGAACCACCATTTCACCTCCTCCTCCTCTTTTAGGCGGCGGTGCTCCGGGAATCTTCGGTTCACCTCCTCCTCCTCTTTTAGGTGGGGGAGCTCCGGGAACCACCATTTCTCCTCCTCCTCCTCTTTTAGGCGGCGGTGCTCCAGGAACAACCAATACACCTCCTCCTCCTCTTTTAGGCGCCGGAGCTCCGGGAACAACCAGTACACCTCCTCCACCATTGGTTTCCGACGTCCCGCCCATGCCACCAATGACATGGTTTTCCCCGCCTGATATAACGACCGGATCACCTCCACCATCTCCAGTGTTCCTCCTTCCTCCACCATTAGACCGGTCAACAATAACGCCGCCGGCTGCACAATTTCCACCGCCGGATATATTCACCGGAATGCCACCACCCACACTAGTTTACCCTTCATTAGTTCCTCCACCTGCAGATGATTTCCCACCGGATATAGTTATTGGACAGCCGCCGATTCCATCACCGCCTGACCAATCTACGCCGGAACTTCCACCACCTGATGTAACCATCGAGCCACCAATTGACGACTCAACACCACCTTCGCCATCAGTCCTTCCCGTGATCATGCCTCCACCGGTTCAAGACCTCCCTCCAATTTTACCTCCACCGGTTGAAGATCTCCCGCCGATTTTACCTCCACCAGTTGAAGAGTTACCGCCAATTCTACCTCCACCAGTTGATGATTTCCCTTCGATTCTACCTCCACCGGTTCAAGATCTCCCACCAATTCTGCCTCCACCAGTTGATGATTTCCCTCCAATTTTACCTCCACCGGTTCAAGATCTCCCGCCGGTTTTACCTCCACCGGTTGAAGACTTCCCTTCGATTTTACCTCCACCCGTTCAAGAGTTCCCGCCGGTTCAAGAGTTGCCTCCCCCGGTTGAAGACTTCCCACCAATTTTCTCAACACCACCTATCGTTGAAAATCCACTGATAGTTCCAATATTCTCCACGCCACCAATCCTCGGAGATATACCACCGCAAACTCCCGTCTTTACCACGCCGCCAGAGATCACAAATCCGTGGCTGCCGCCGGAGCAACCGCCAGTGACGTCATTCGCACCGCCAATCGAGTCCATCCCAACGATACCTGAAAATCCATTTCCTGTTACACCAAACCCAGACATGGGTTCTAATCAGCCGTTGGTTCAGCTTCCTCCGCCATCGTGGGATTCACCACCTTTTAATCGTTAATTTTCAAATTCTCGTTTTTATTAGTAAATCATAAATATGCAAAGTAATCTAAACGTAATAAGCACGCAATCATTGTACAAATTTTATGTTTGTCATTTGCATTTCAGTAAATTTGTAAGAAATTAAAGTTTCGAATTCAACTAAACGAGTGTGTCCACGTGTCATTAATGTTTTTCTCTCATAAATCAAAATAAAATAGATAACGAGTACTCGTGAGTTGGCAAGTAGACGACAAGTGTGGGTGATGTGGATATGGTGTAGTAGTTTCTGGCTTCTAATTGGTCAGAAATCTATCCACGCCAGCCTCTGAGATTTCGTCTATAGATTCTCTCATCCATCTCACATTGTCCCCTCTAAATCTCCTCCCTTTGTTTCTTTTTGCTCCGAAAAAACAGAGAGAACAAAACACTCATTTCCACAACCTTGAGAGTAAAAAACAGAGTATACATATTAGAGATCTCATGGCGATGGCCGTCTCCGGAGCTGTGCTCAGTGGGCTTGGTTCTTCGTTCCTCGCTGGAGGCAAGAAGAGTGCCGCCGCATTGGGAAGCGGTGTAGGCGCTGGAGCTGCGAGAGTTGGCCGGAAAACTCTGATTGTCGCTGCTGCAGCTGCTCAGCCCAAGAAATCATGGATCCCCGCCGTTAAAGGTGGCGGCAACTTCCTCGACCCTGAATGGCTCGATGGCTCGTAAGTCTACTCACTCAAACTTCTCAGTTACTAGCATGAACAATTGAGAAAGATGATTTTGAATACTAGGATGAACAATAGATTGCGATAAGTCTGAAAGTCGTGAATACTCGTTTGATTTTCACAGGCTACCAGGAGATTTCGGGTTCGACCCGTTGGGTTTGGGAAAGGATCCAGCTTTTCTGAAATGGTACAGAGAGGCAGAGCTGATCCACGGCCGATGGGCGATGGCAGCTGTTCTCGGGATCTTCGTCGGCCAGGCCTGGAGCGGAGTGCCGTGGTTCGAAGCTGGAGCTGATCCACGCGCGATCGCACCCTTCTCCTTCGGGTCGCTCCTCGGGACCCAACTGCTTCTCATGGGTTGGGTGGAGAGCAAACGGTGGGTCGATTTCTTCAACCCGGATTCTCAATCGGTCGAGTGGGCGACACCTTGGTCGAGGACCGCTGAGAATTTCACGAATTACACCGGCGATCAGGGATACCCAGGTGGAAGATTCTTCGATCCGTTGGGTCTCGCCGGGAACTTGAGCGACGGTGTTTACGTGCCGGACACAGAGAAGCTGGAGCGGCTGAAACTGGCGGAGATTAAGCACGCGAGGCTCGCGATGCTTGCAATGTTGATCTTTTACTTCGAGGCCGGTCAGGGGAAAACACCTCTCGGTGCTCTCGGTTTGTGAAGAACCATGTTTTTGAGTCTGTAGATATAATTTCTCCTCCAAAAACCTCTTCTTTTCAATGTGACATTTCGGAAAAAAAAACATCAAATCATTGCTTTAAAATGGCACCAAGCCAGAGTTTATATTAGCTTGTGAAATATGTAAACCTTTTAAGTATTCGTGAATTACTTTATTATCACAATCAAAATGTGAAGAGCTCCACAACTTCATTTCTCTGCAGCAAAAACATGACCGAAGAGCTAAAAGTGAAACAATGAAGTAAGAGAACAAAATAAAAATGCCTAACAGCTAAGTCTCAATCTCTCAATCACAAGAGTGCCGTTGCCAAGAGATTGCAAAGATTGGAAACATGAGGGGTCTCTAGCGCAAAAAGCTTAGAACTTGTAATCAGGGTTGTCACGAAGGCTGAGTTTTGACAGGACAAGGCAGTAAGAATCCCAGTCAGTTCGTCTAAGGTATTTCAACAGCTTCTTTCGTTTCTGCACCATTCCTAGAAGTCCCTTCCGTGAATGCTTGTCCTACGAGTTATATACAGCCACCGGGTATGTCACATTACGTGTAGAGAACAATATCGAAAACTACTTGGGAGATTTTACCTTTTTGTGCAGAGCAGATGACAAATGCTTGATTCTAGTAGTGAGTTGCGCCACTGCAAGGAGAGATCAGAGACATCACAAACCAATCTGTCTCAGGAAATGTAAGCCAACACTGATCAGAGTCATCAGACCACTGGCCTTATATAGAATTTACCTTGCACACGTGCAGAACCACAGTCTGATTCCGACATCTTGAACTCTTCCCTGACTTTCGTGAGCTCGCATTTCATCTTCTCCGCAGAGGACATGTTATCTGGGTGGAAATACTTTGTTCATGCAGTCACATAAAACAGATCAACACCGAGCATTGCAGAATATATCATAGACAAAAGATCAACAAAAGAAGAGCCTTTTGATTCCGGCTAATTAGACTAACAAGCTACGGTCTAAGAGCAAAAAAACTTACAGTTTCAAATAGTTCCTCTTTTGGAGGATGAAGCTTGTACTCAGGCGTACGCCAATTGACCATACCCATAATGTCGAAATTCTGCTCTGCAAGCAAAGGAACCTCCTTAGATGACATAAATATCATTTCAACAGCAAAATATAACTAACAGAAAACAAGATCAAATATCTCAACGCCTCGAGTCCTAAGCCTCAAGATCAACTAAGCAAACTTGGGTATTTGAGGTTTCATTAATCATTTGTAGTTAGACACACAGAGAGTCATCAGAGGCTCAGAAAGTACCTTCGTTTTTGACACCATCCTCCTTCATTGTTGCTATAACATTTGTGAGTGCCGCAAAGTTCCCACGCCGATTCAGGGCCTCTTTCTCTTCCACTTGCCTTAGCTTAACCAACCTCTGATTCAACTCCTGCAACGAGAACCATCCTTCTCCTTTATTTCCCTCCGGCCTAAGCATCTTCAGCTTCTCGCCTAATTCCTCTTCGCTATAAAACTTTAGGAACTCGGTCACCATTTTCTCTGTTTCACCTTCTCTTCCATTCCTACCATTCATTTCTTCCCCGGAGCTAACGTTTTCTTCGGGTGTCGTCTTCAAAGTATCCTTGAAACCTCGTAAAGATAATCCCGCCTTGTCCATGTTGAATGAAGTGTAGGACTGCGACTTCAAATTCTTCAGATCTTCGAATAGGTTCTTCGAATTGAAGTCCTGGCCTTTCCGATTTCTAGGTGCCGATGAGTTCGGTGCAGCGTTCTGCTTAAAGAGACCTTCCAATGAAATCTGCGGCCGAGGCTGTGATGGCAGTACACCGCCTGAATCCCTCGGTGGTGGAACGGTGGATCTCCGCTCGAAATTGGCGAGGTTCTTCCCCAAATCATGTGACGACCCGCGCGACTGGTTATCGGAGAACCTAATCGGACCCCGATTCTGAGCTGGGGCATCGGATCTGGGAAATGGGTTTCTCCCTTGCTCCTGCTGCTGCTGTAATCTCTGCTTCAGGGTTGTTTTGATGTCGGTGAAGGGAGAAGAGTACGAGAAGTCCGACGGAGAAGACGGTGACTGGGAGGGTTTTTCAATCGATTCGTTCACGTCTTTTGGAGGTGAGTCCGATGAGGAATTGGAGAGAAACCGAATGAAAGATGGGTTCGAAGGGAACCTTTGCTGGCGTTTGGCGAGGAGAAGCGCCATGATTTTGGCTGCTGCCAAAGATTTAGGGCTTAGGGCTTTGGATGCGTGTGTGTGTGTTCGTAGTGAAGTACATGATGACGAGTTGACGACGATAACTGAGTAATCGAATTGAAATGTTGACTTTTTCCGGTTTGTTGTTAATTAGAATCTGGTCAGGCAAAATCTGATAAACCGGTTATAATTATGAATTAGTTTACAGAACGACACACGTCTTATGCGTATTGGTTTTGATGAATGTCACTTTACATGTGAAAAAGCCTTAGCCCATTGATATTTCCATTTCAATCTGTGAGGGTCATAACTCATAACGAAACCTTTATTTATCTTCAAAGTATATGTATTATTACACCAACCATTCAAAAGGTATGGAACAAGACAATTTGATTAAAAAATTAACTATTATGCAGAATCAATATGAATATACAGAATTTCATCTATCCAACCTTCCGCCAAAAGGAAATATAAACAGATTTCGATACTTTATGTAAAAGCATTTCTTACAAATCATAAATGAACACAAGAAAAACAAAAATAATGATGCTAATTTCGGTGCTAAATATGAAGAATGCTTCCAATAAGTAAGACCTCACACGTCCATAAAATTATGCGGAAACTGCATAATAATGGATGTAACCGAACCGTCACGCAAGCACAAAACACGATCGCACTCACCGCGCGTGAACCGCAGACGCCGTCCCCAGAGCACAAATACTCCATGATGCCACGTATGTATTCCCATGGGTCCCACTTTCACCAAGAAAGAAAATAAAGACAAATTTACAAATAATTTCAATCTAACTGCGTGTGAAAACGTTCCCAATTGTGTGTATATTTATAAATCCACCCATTAATGTGCCACGGAGATTTTTCTTCTTCTCCACTTTTCGCCACCATTTCTCATTCTCTCTCTCTCTCTCTCTCTCTCTTTCTAAAATCGGTGGAAGGTCCAACCTCAGGCTATGACCGGCGGAGACTGGATTCGGGAGGCTATGAGCGATGATTCATTGGTGGCAGAGGCACTGATCTGCCTCCTCCACACTGAGCCGCCACCTCCTGAGAAGAGCGGCCTGTCGGATCTCAAGCTGAAATGGAGCGTGCGTCAACGGAGGAGCAAGTCGGCTCCGTCGAGGAAGAAGGGAGATCACACGCGTGCTAGCCCCACGACGCCTCTTTCCTGGAGCGGCGCCACCTCTTTAAGCGGCGGTGGAGGCGGAGGCAGCGGTGCTGCCGCCGTGGATGGAGTCGAGGAGTCAAGTGGCGCCGTGAAACTGTCCGAAGCCGTTAGATCTAAGGTTCGTTCAATCATATTCATATCATTTCCCTCGGTTCCGGTTTTCGAAACTCTGCGTTACTCTGTCTGTGTGTGTTCTGACGAATATACCCCTCGGGGATGTGCGGCGGAAAACGCCGGTTGTCGGAAACTAGCCACCGTTTAGTACCTGAAGCCTAGTCATTTTTTTAAATATTGGCGTTATCCACTTCACGTAATCTCAGTCTTCCGCAACTAGTGCCAGTTTTGCCCCTTTCCTATCTCTGTTTCTCTTCATTCAAGAGAGTTGTTCTCGTTATTTCAGTCCGGGATCGGCTTCTTCGCCGGTCACGCAATATTGGCTTTTCTTCGATCTATATTCGGACTATGCGTTGACGAAACATATCCCTGAGTTACTCTTAAAGTCTCAGAGTCGCACGTTCTGTTGCTTCAGAGAAACTCAAAATCTATCTTTTCTGCTTTCTGCAATTCAGTGTCATTTTTTGCAGCTTTCTATAAAAGATCCTTCACATAGACAAGGGTACTTGTGTGTTTGGTTTACGTCACCATGTTTGGTTCCTCAAAGTGTTCGCTGAATCCAAGCAGAGGAAACCCAGTCATCAGCGATCCAATGACGAGACTACCCCCTGTGATAAGAGTGTGGTTAGGGGTAAATAGGTCAATAAGAGAAGTCGTGGCTGGCGTTATTTATAATTGCTTATAATGAGGGGGTTGCCTCTTTTATGGGTCGAGAGGCGTTTTCGTGGCGGATTAGGTTTGGGGGAGTGTGGGCTGGGGTTTGGTGCGCCTGTGTGGTGTAATCACATGCGGCGTAGCGCATAGTAACTCTCATAGGTAGTGGCTGACTTGGAAAATAAAATAAAAGTCAACAAATCCTCCACACACACGACACTTTGACTGAAATCCAAACTCCAAAGCATCTTTTGGTCAAAACCACTAACACGTTTCCTTGTCCGTGAGATTTATATTGGTGACAGCCCTGTGTGCTTAACTTAGCTAATTATTCTTAATGGTTTTTAAGCTGAATTATCTTTAGCATTACCAAAGTTGCCATTTTATGGGTTTAGCAATGGAAAGGAAAAGAAAGTGATAAGGAAAGGTGGTTATATGGATAATAGGTGAGAATGGGTAAGAGGAGTGGTGTTTGTAGGGTCTCGTGGCCATAGTGAGACACGCGTAAAGTCACGCTCCAGTCACGTGATTCTATTCTTTCTTTTCGAATTTGGTGTGTCTCTCGATGTAATGAGAAAAAGAGGCTCTTCTATTCATATTGCTTTTTTGGGTCTAAGTACAGTCGTTGACCAAGAAAGAAGATTCCTTTTAAATGTTTTTAGTTATTTTGTTGTCTTAAGATTTGACTATTTGATTTAGTTCTTTATATAGGTAGGGATATCTTGTAATGGATCATCCATCACTTTATGCTTATGATCTTGTTGATTCTTCAATCATCTTGTCATTGTGTATCTTCTACACTTACGCTCCAGTTAAGAACTTGAAAATGTGAAATCGAAATTTAACCTATAGGCTCATTATGTATCTGTGAATGAAATGTCTCGTAAATTCCCACAAACTGATTATTTTTTTATTATTTTTTTTTGCTGGGATTGATCATTGATGCAGATATCTCAAACGAGTGTAACAACAACTACCCCTTTCAAGAGATCACGAAAGAAAAAGGTAAAATAACCAGAAAAAAAAAATGAAATGAAATTCAGAATCTGGTATAATCACCATCATTATAAGTTTAATAACTTTATGTGGCTGTCCACAGACGCTTGCTGAGCTTAAAGAGGAGGAGAGTTTGCTCTTAAAGGAAAGGAAAGCCTTGAAAAATGTAAAATCTCTGTTCCCAATTTAATATCAACTCCAAAAGACACAAATCTTTAATATTTTACTTGTTGCGTGAATCAGGAACTCGCAAGTATGAGGGATATGCTCAAGCAACAAAGAGCAAGAAACGAGTCGTTAAAGAAAATGCAGGTGAAACACACATCTTTTTCGCCATATCATGATCACTCTTTAACATGAAATCTTTTAACAAATCATATTATATGTGCAGGCTGAGTCACGGAAGAATGCTGATTCCTCTTTCTTGCTCCCTGACCTTAACATACCTCTTGAATCATGATAACAGCCCGAGCCCCAAAATGATCTATGGAACCAGCTGATATATAACTACAAGTCATCTACAAGACTACAACACAACCATCAACCATCGATATTCTTTCTTTTCTCGGCGACGCGTTCTAGACTACGCATAACTGTAACTATATATAGTATATGGATAAGAAACATATATAGATAATCGTCGTCCCATTCCATTGGCTTTTTGCACAAGGAAAAACAGATTTTAATGACAGTGGAGACGAGTTAAATGTTTGAGTTTTTGGTGGCTTTTTTTTCTAATAGACTTTAGTTCTTAGGTTGTAGTAAGTTTTTTGCTATTGTCCTCCTATATACTCTCTCGCACTTTTTCCACTCTTTTATGTTAGTTCTTAAGATGAGATGTAATTAACAGTTACTAATTGTCTACTACATATATAGTTCATTTCTTCTTTTATTGTTCGTTTATAACTGTGTTGTAACGTACTCATTTAGACATTTACTAATAGTGATTACTTGGTTCACAAAAAGAAGCTGTGATGGATTAAGGGATTTAGATGTGTGGAGACGTTACATGTTTTATGTGAACATGGCCAATTGGTTTTAAATTAAGACCAAAATTCCTTAAACTGGTTTAGATGGGATGGTTAAACAAAAAACCTAGCTTCGACTCAAAATACTGTAAATCCATTTCCATTTTGGAACCGTAACGCTCTTCGCCTCTCCGGTCGTCGTAACATTGATCCCAAACTACGAAATCTCGTCGACTGGCTCTGGATTTGAGGTGACATAATCGAATTTCGTTCTTCTCTTGTGGTTTTGCATGCGAGACAAGTATCATAATTATGGCTTCGTCGAATTGTCTGTTGTCGTTTTTCCTTCTTTTTTATAATCACAATTAGGACAATAGATGCAAGTGTTTTCAGCTGATCAGCTCAACAGTTTGTGTCCTTGTCTTGTTATTGTCCATAAATTTAACTTTTTCTCGGAACACAACACAAACCTTTATGTTCTGCTTCCATCTGATCGCATCATTATAACACATTTGGGTGACTTTTCTTCAAGCAGCCATGGACACAGGTGACTGGAGAACTCAATTACCACATGATTCACGCGAGAAGCTCGTCGACAAGATGTAATTTTTATCTCGTATCTTTCTGTTTTGTCTCTGCAAAGTTTTCATCTTTCACACTCTTTTTTTTTGTTTCTTTGATGTTACTATTACTTGAGATTCAACTGCCACTTGCGCAGAATGGAGACACTAAAGAAGCACCTTCCATATTCTGGACCAGAGGGACTTAACGAGCACAGGAGAATTGCTGCTAGATTCGAGGAGAAAATCTTCAGTGGTGCCGTTAACCAGGTATATACAATTGAATCCACAACATGTGAAAAAGAAGCAACTTTCGGCTTCCTGATCTAGTTTTCTTACTTGGACACATTTCAGACTGATTACCTTCGGAAAATATCCATTAAGATGCTGACTATGCAGCATAAATCGGAAACTGCTGCTGGACCTGCTTCTACTTCATCTACCATTCCTGCTAATAGTCAGGGTAAATAATAACTGTCATTTACCTAAAAGTCCTTGTAGGAGCAAAACTTTGTTTTTGGTGTCCTAGATTGTAATGCAGTCTCCTGGTGTAAGCTATGTGTAAGCTCTAGTTTTGATGGTGTTGTAAATCTATGAGCATAGGTACGGGGAATGATAATTCAAGTGTTTCTGTTATTCCGAAAGCAGAGCCTGGAGAGAACACAGGTGATTGGAGAACTGATCTGCCACCGGATCCACCAGCTCAATAGTTTGTGTCCTTGTCTTCTTATTGTCCATAAATTTAACTTTCTCTCGGAACACAAACCTTATGTTCTGCTTCTATCTGATCTCATCATTATAACACACTTGAGGACTTTTCTTCCTAGCGGAGAAGCAGCCATGGACACAGTTGACTGGAGAACTCAAATGCCACCTGATTCACGACAGAAGATCATCAACAAGATGTAAGTTTTATCTCGTATCCTCACTGTTTTGTCTCTGCAAAGCCTTCATCTTTCAATAAGTTTCTTTCTTTGGTGTTACTATTACTTGATTAACACTCCACTTGCGCAGAATGGAGACACTAAAGAAGCACCTTCCATTTTCTCTACCAGAGGGACTTAACGAGCTCAGGAGAATCGCTACAAGGTTCGAGGAGAGAATATTCAGTGATGCCGTTAACCAGGTATATACACAAATGACTCCACAACATGTGAAAAAGAACCAACTTTTGGCTTCCTGATCTAGTTCTCTTACTTGGACACATTTCAGACTGATTACCTTCGGAAAATATCCATGAAGATGCTGACTATGGAGATTAAATCACAAAATGCTGCTGGACCTGGTTCTACTTCATCTATCACTCCTGCTAAGAGAAGCTTCCTCTCAAGTCAGGGTAAATTATAACAGACATTACCTAAATGTAATCTAGTCTACTGGTGTAAGCTATATGTGTATATGCCCTAGTTTTGATGGTGTTGGAAACCTAAACATAGGTTATCATCATATGGAGAATGTTAATTCAAGGCTTCCTATTCCGAAAGCAGAGCCTGGCGAGATCACAGGTGACTGGAGAATGTATCTGCCACCGGGTTCACGCCAGAGGAATGCCCATAAGATGTAAGTCCGTTTACATCTTTCTGAAAAGTTGTCAATCTTTTTTTCTGTAGAAGTACATAAACGTTGTGTCATATTGTGGTGGCCTATAGATATATGTATGTCTTGTGTGTGCAACTAAGTTACTTGTGATTTGAGCAGAAGGGAGACACTAACTAAACATGTTGGGCAAGAAGGAAGTTTCGAGCTCATGAGCATTGCTACCAGCTTAGAGGAGTTCATTTGCAGAACTGCTATTGACCAGGTTTCATCTTCTTATAATTTTGCCACTAGGAAAGGATCTGACTTTTGGTGCCAATGAAGTTTGATAATCACAAGTCTTTTTTTTGTTTGATATTCTGTTTATTTCAGGTGGATTACGTTCGCAAAATATCTTTCAAGATGCAGACTATGGAAGAGGGAAACTAAGTCGGTCTATTGCGTACGAAACCAGTCAATTGTGCTGGAAGCTTTCAAGGAAATTCCACATTTATAAAAAGAAAGAAGGCCCTGAAACCTCCAAAGTTCAAGGCATGAATAAACATGTTCTTTACAACGAACATAAATCCTCAACAAGTAAAAGAAAGTCCATTTAATTGGTGATCATAACTGGTTCTTTATATTTATATAACATTGACTTTTCATCTTTGGAAATGTACTCATTTCTCTTTAAAAATTGACCATATTTTGTTCTTTTAAGAATTGACCATATTTAGTTGATGGTCAACAAACAAATCCCCCAAGAAATTCATTATTTATTTGGGCCTCTATATGTTTGGGCCGGTTTACCAAAACTTGGTTTTGATTTCATTAATTCTACTTGTATCTGCATTTCCATTTACTTTCACCTCTTCGTCTCTCTCTGCTCGTCTCAAAATTGACGAAGTCGACTACCTGATCGTGATGGCACCTGCTCTTCAAATCAGAGAACCAACCATGGGCACAGTTGACTGGAGAACACAGTTGCTACCTGCTTCACGCCAGTATCTCATCAACAAGATGTAAGCTTTATCACATCCCGTGCTCTGTCTCATGCAAAGCTTTCATCTTTTTCAATCCAGTTTGCCATTTCATAGAAATTGAAGGTTTTTATTTCATAGATCTTACTTGATTTCACTATTCCCACATGCATGCGCAGATTGGAAACAATAAAGAAGCGCTGCCCGTTTGCTGGACCAGAGGGGCTTATCGAGCTCAGGAGAATCGCTGCTAGATTCGAGGAGAAAATCTTCAACCTTGCTGAGAGCCAGGTAAAATAGATATATACACAGACATCTGTATTTGCTTCGTTAGTGTGGACTTTTGCCTCATTTACCTTTCGACTTTCAGAATGATTACTATCGGAAAATAGCCATGAAGATGCTGACTTTTGAGACTTCTTCTTTACCTATCCCTCCTGCCAACAACAGCCTACCTTTGGATTCGGGTAAAAACAACGGCTTTCTTTATTACTTTTAGCCCATTCATGCAGTAGCAGCCGCAAGTTTTGTTTTTGGTGTCAGTTTGTATGCATGTTTGTGGTCGCCTTCAATTTGGTTTGTTTAGCGTTTTGGTTTGGAGTTGACTGAAATATTATGTGAATATAGGCCATGTTGTGGTCAGTGACAACTCAGTGCCTTCTCTTCCGAACGAAGAACCTGCCGTGAACACAGCTGACTGGAGAACTCAACTGCCACCGGATTCACGCCAGAAGAGTGTCAAGAACATGTAAGTTGGTTACATTTCTCTCTCTCTCTCTCTCTCTCTCTAAAGTTGTCATCTTTTCTCAGTCGCTAGTCAGTTCCTCCAACGCCAACGCCAACGCCAGTTTAATGATTGAATACTGTAGAATGTTATAATGTAAATATGTTTATAGATAGCTAAATGACTTTGTGAATTTTGAGCAGAGTGGAAACACTAAAGAGAAATGTTCCATACACTGGGCAAGAAGGAATTGAGGAGCTCATGAGAATTGCTGCCAGCTTTGAGGACTTGATTTTCACCACTGCTAAAAACCAGGTTTCACTTTCCTCTTCTTCATTATTCCATTTTGGCTTAACACTCTGGAATATTGGATTCATTCTTGTTTGATATTCTGCTGTTTATTTCTACTTTTTCAGGAGGATTACTTTCATAAAATATCCTTGAAGATGGAGACTAATTCAGCGTTCTAAGCAGTCAATTGACTTGGAATCTTTCAGGCCAATTCCATATGTAAATTAGTAAAAGACATGTACCTTGAAACCTCTGAAGTTGACGCCTCAAGGCATGACTAGTATTTATGTCAACTGCTTATGTATTTTGACACCATTTCTCGTTTCTCCGATAAATCAACAACAAGTAAAACATTCATTCAATTTTTTGGGGTGCAAAGTAGGTGAAACCACATCAGGATAAATGTTTTCTGAGCTAAGTATTTAGAAATTACAAGACCAACCATTGTCAGAGTCCAGACAAATAACCTCGAAATAATAAATAAATAATTGATTATATATAAAAATGGCGACCAAAATCGACGTTAAATTCGCCTAAAATTTACATTATTTTTTTTAGTTGTGAAACGAAGAAAAAAGAAAGAAATCGTGTTATAAAGCAAAACTGCGAGGGGACAAATAAGACGAAGAAGTTTCCTCTTCGTTTTCCCAAAAAGGATCCGATAAATTATTATTCATCCATTTCTGGATCAACCTAAACCCTAATCATCTGCCTACCAATTTCTCCTTCTCTCCGCAATTTTCCCAAACCCAATTCCTAATCGTTGTAGCCAACCTTTCACCCCCAAACGATCTCCTCGATAACTTTGAGGTGAAATTCTCGAATCTCTTTTTTTTTGTGGTTTTGATTTCCTGTGCTTAAGCTTTGGTTTTAGAGTTTTTTTCATGCTGTGATCGAGATTCCAGAGAAGACATACTGTCGCCGTTTCTAATAGATTAATTAAGAGATTAGATCAACGATGTTGATGATGCAATAGAGAGTATGCTTGTTTGTTTTCCTGGATTCTCGTTTCGGGATAGGCTGCTTGAGGGTTTGAGTTTACTGCTTAAAATGAAAAAATTGGCTGATCACTGAACATAAACTGCTTTTAATCTCTAATGGGGTTGGCGATTTCATATTTAACTTCTGATGGAGCAGATTTCTGTTTTCCTCAATGGTTATGTAAGCTGGGCTGGTATGATTCTTGGCGTAAATGGAAAAAGGAAAGGGGGTTGAACTATGCATGACCTAAACATATATTAGGAAGTTTTGAGTGTCAATCTAGTGTGGTCGTTTGTTTCCAGTAAATTTCGTCATTTTCTCTGTTTTGATTGAGTGATAAGTGTACTTCGTATTGATGCTTTGTTCTTCATGGTGTGTAAAATGTAGAACACTCGATGGATAATAACAATTGGAGGCCGTCTCTTCCAAACGGTGAACCTACCATGGACACAGGTGACTGGAGAGCTCAATTGCCTCCTGATTCACGCCAGAAGATCGTCAACAAGATGTAAGTTTAATATTACCTCGTGTTATGTCTAATGCCAGTTAGCTCCTGCAGAAATAAAAGCTTTATATGGTGTTATAGTTCATTTACCAATGATTCTGTTTTGTTTTGCTTATTTACTTGCCACTTGTGCAGAATGGAAACACTAAAGAAGCACCTTCCATTTTCTGGACCAGAGGGGATTAACGAGCTCAGGAGAATTGCTGCTAGATTCGAGGAGAAAATTTTCAGTGGTGCCGTTAATCAGGTAACTACACAACATGGAAAAAAGAACAAACTTTTGGTACTCGTAAAGCTTAGACCCAGTATATGGGGCATGGAATCCATGTATATCTTCCTGATTTACTTTTATTTCGACTTTCAGACGGATTACCTTAGGAAAATATCTATGAAGATGCTGACTATGGAGACTAAATCCCAAAATGCAGCTGGTTCTTCCTCATCTATCCCTGCCGCCAATAATGGCACATCCATGGATTCAAGTAATCACTGCATGCATATAGTGCTTATGTCTGCTTATCTGGTTTTATGGATAAATTTTTAACCTTATCAGTACTGTTTTAACCTTATCTTGAATAGTTCCCGCCAATCAAGGTCACCTTCTTCCAGGAACGTTACCAACCAATCAATCTCAAGCACCTCAGCCGTTACTCTCCCAAACCATGCAGAGTAATACAGCCTCTGGGATGACGGGTTCTACTGCTTTACCATCTTCCATGCCGCCGGTTTCTTCGATAACCAACAATAATGTCGCAAATTCTGTAAACCAGAATTCAAATATGCCAAATGTAGCCGGAATGTTGCAAGATTCATCTGCGCAGCATGGCCTTTCATCGAACATGTTTTCAGGATCCCAAAGGCAGATGATGGGCAGGCCACATGGGATGTCTTCACAGCAGCAACAGCCGCCACAGAATGCACAGATTCTTTATCAGCAACAACTGCAGCAGCAGCTTATGAAGCAAAATTTTCAGTCAGGGAATGTTCCCAATCCCAATTCGCTTTTGCCATCACACATACAACAGCAACAAAATGTGCTGCAGCCTAATCAAATGCATTCGTCTCAACAGCCTGGTATTGCAACATCTTCTACGCAGCCCTCTACTGTGAGTTCAGCTCCTCTCCAGGGTCTACACACAAATCAGCAATCCAGTCCGCAATTGTCTGCTCAGCAGACGACGACGCAATCTATGCTTCGTCAGCATCAATCGTCGCTGCTAAGGCAACATCCGCAATCACAACAAGCCTCTGGTATCCATCAGCAGCAAACAGTTTCTCCTCTACAACAGCAGCAAGCACAAATGATGAGGCAACAAGCTGCAAATACCTCAGGCATCCAACAGAAGCAGATGATGGGGCAGCATGTTGTCGGAGATATGCAGCAGCAACATCAGCAAAGATTACTGAACCAACAAAATAATATGATGAACATTCAACAGCAGCAGGCGCAACAGCAGACACAGCAGCAGCAGAAGCAGCAGCCACCGGCCCAGCAGCAATTGATGTCTCAACAAAACAGCCTTCAGGCAACGCACCAGCAGCCGCTCGGCTCTCAGAGCAATGTTTCAGGATTGCAGCAGCCACAACAACAGATGCTCAGTTCCCAGGTTGGCAATTCGAGCTTGCAGACTAACCAGCACTCGGTGCACATGTTATCACAGCCAACAGTTGGGATGCAACGAACACATCAGGCTGGCCATGGCATGTTTTCTTCTCAGGGCCAACAGTCACAAAATCAGCAATCCCAACAGCAGATGATGCCCCTTCAATCGCATCATCAGCAGGTAGGTTTGCAACAACAACCTAATCTACTACAGCAGGATGTGCAACAAAGGCTACAATCTTCAGGCCAAGTCACAGGTAACCTGCTTCCTCCTCAAAATGTAGTGGACCAACAGAGACAACTATTTCAATCCCAAAGAAACCTTGCGGAGATGCCATCATGTATGCTTTTGCATTCTTGTGAATACTGTAGGTTCTGATATTCTACATAATCTCTCAGTAGGATCTGATGTAGAACAAAACCCCTTTTTATAACTTTCAGCATCGCTGGATTCGACGGCACAGACGGAAAATGCAAACGGAGTTGATTGGCAAGAGGAGGTTTTCCAAAAGGTAGGTCTCTCTTTTTAAGTGGGTAATGCTTTCGGCTACTTAGTATTGCTCTTTCTCTTTTACCAACTGTGGCTACCCTTATTGAATCTTCAAGAGATATATGCAACAGCGCTGGCGATCTTACATAAGTATCACTGTCATGAGTAATTGTATGACCATAATGCTTGTCTTTGCAGATCAAAACAATGAAAGAGGCGTACTTACCAGATCTAAATGAAATTTACCAGAGAGTTGCAGCCAAGTTGCAGCAAGTAAGTTACACTTTTTTTCTAATATGAGAATAGTTTGCACGTGTATGTCCTCCGGAACTTTAGGAAGTACCTTCTAAAGTTTTTTTTATGAATTCAATGCAAGATAGGGTCGTTATTACCGAATAAAGTCATACAAGTGTAGAATCTTGTTACCATATAACAAAATAAATTGCTCTTGAGACCGTATTCTACAGTCTGTCTTTTAGAAAGTTAACCTCGGACATCTATGTTCCTTCACAAACCTACAGAGGTTGTAGCTTGCATCTATGTGTTTGTTTCGTTTCTTAATGAATATGTTCTTTTTTCTCTTGAGCAGGATTCTATTCCGCCGCAACAAAGATCAGAGCAGTTTGAGAAATTGAAACAATTCAAGACAATGTTGGAGCGAATGATACAATTCCTATCAGTTTCAAAGAGCAATATTATGCCTGCATTAAAGGATAAGGTGGCATATTATGAGAAGCAGATTATCGGTTTCTTAAATATGCACAGGCCGAGGAAGACAGTACAGCAAGGGCAGCTTCCGCAATCTCAGATGCAGCCTATGCAGCAACAGCAATCACAGACCGTTCAAGATCAGTCTCATGATAGTCAAACAAATCCGCAAATGCAATCAATGGGCATGGGGGGTTCTGGGCCAAGGGCACAACAGAGTGGTCTAACAAATATGCAGAACAATGTTCTATCATCTCGTCCTGGAGTTTCAGCTCCACAGCAGAACATTTCCAGTTCCATACCGGCTTCTAGTTTAGAATCAGGCCAAGGAAATGCACTGAATAATGGCCAGCAGGTTACCATGGGATCCATGCAACAAAATACTTCTCAACAAGTAAATAACAGTTCTGCCTCTGCTCAAAGCGGGTTAAGCTCACTGCAGTCTAATGTTAATCAAACGCAGTTAAGTTCTAGTTTGCTTCAGCAACAGCAGCTGAAGCAACAGCAAGACCAACAAATGTCGCAGCAGCTCAAACAGCAATTCCAACAGCGCCAGATGCAGCAGCAGCTACTGCAGAAGCAGCAGTTAATTCAGCAGCAGCAGCAGCAACAGCAACAGCAACAGCAACAGTTGCAAGCAAGACAGCAGCAACAAAATGATATGAATGATTTGACAGCGAGGCAGGGGATGAATGTCAGTCGTGGGATGTTTCAGCAACACTCTCTCCAGGGTCAGCGTGCTAATTATCCTCTTCAACAGCTAAAACCAGGATCCCAACTTCCTGGTTCGTCGCCTCAACTTCTGCAAGGTGCATCTCCTCAGATGACACAACAACATATGTCTCCTCAGGTCGACCAGAAAAATCTGTTATCTGTCAACAAGATGGGAACTCCATTGCAGCCTGCAAACTCCCCTTTTGTGGTCCCATCTCCTTCAACCCCCTTGGCTCCGTCCCCGATGCAAGTTGACTCTGAGAAACCTTCTGGTGCTTCTTCATTGTCAATGGGGAATAATGCACGCCAACAAGCAACTGGCATGCAAGGTGTTGTTCAGTCCCTTGCAATTGGCACTCCAGGGATCTCTGCTTCTCCTCTCCTTCAGGAGTTTACTAGTCCTGATGGGAATAATTCAAATCCTTTGACAAGTACATCTGGAAAACCCAGCGCTACTGAGCTGCCTATTGAACGCCTTATTAGAGCCGTAAGTAACATAACCCAAGTTTGAATGTTATATTGCAACACGACAGTGTTATTGCTCCCATCCCTCTTTTGTAGTAGAAACATTTGTTCTGATCATGATGTTTTCTTTCTGTTGTTTTCAGGTGAAGTCCATCTCACCGCAAGCGCTCTCTTCTGCAGTAAGTGACATCGGATCCGTTGTAAGCATGGTTGATAGGATAGCTGGTTCAGCTCCGGGAAATGGTTCAAGAGCATCAGTTGGCGAGGACTTGGTTGCAATGACTAAGTGTCGTCTCCAAGCAAGAAACTACATGACGCAAGATGGAATGATGGCGACCAAGAAAATGAAGCGCCACACAACCGCAATGCCAATAAGCGTTGTTTCGTTAGGAGGGAGCGTTGGTGATAACTACAAGCAGTTTGCATGTTCGGAGACATCAGATCTGGAATCAACTGCGACTTCTGATGGGAAGAAGGCAAGAACTGAGGTATGTTTCTAGTTAGCCTTTTCTTATGTATATCTAAAAATTGACCAACAAAAGAATATTCGGAAGCGCAAGGTCAGTTTACTAATTTTGAAGACTCAACCTTGGACTGCAGACCGAGCATGCCCTTTTGGAGGAAATCAAGGAAATAAACCAGCGGCTGATAGATACAGTTGTCGAGATTAGTGATGATGAAGATGCTGTAGATCCTAGTGAGGAAGCAACAGCAAGCAAAGGGTGTGAAGGAACAACAGTTAGATTCTCGTTTATAGCTGTTTCTCTCAGCCCAGCCTTGAAGGCTCATCTCTCATCAACGCACATGGTAAGTGTGGTCATCTAGTTAACTAATCTTTGTGAAAGAAAAAAATCATTTCATTAAATCCTTTTTAAGATGTGTCCTGTGCTTCCTATTACAGTCTCCTATTCAACCATTGCGTCTGCTGGTTCCATGTAGCTACCCCAACGGCTCTCCATCTCTTCTGGATAAACTCCCGGTGGAAACCAGGTACAAGCAAATATGGTAGAGTCTCAAGTAAATAGAAACATAGATGTTTCATACCAAGTCGAGCAAACTTGTACCATATAGTTGAAAATTCATCTGCTCATATCTCTAGAAACACTTCTTACGGTCTGGTTTCTTGTAACAGCAAAGAGAACGAGGACCTCTCGTCAAAAGCTATGGCAAAGTTCAACATATTGCTAAGAAGTTTGTCTCAGCCAATGTCGCTCAAAGACATAGCCAAGACATGGGACGCTTGTGCTCGGACTGTCATCTGTGAGTACGCACAGCAATTTGGCGGTGGGACTTTTAGCTCAAAATACGGTACTTGGGAGAAATATGTAGCCGCTTCCTGAATCTGATGGATCTCTCATCAAGTCCTTCATGGTTAACTCTGTGAATTGCGATTCACTGTTTGTCATAAGTATTATACATGAATATTTGTATTCATAACCTGTAGAAAAAAAAAGAAAAAGGCTTTTGCGCATTTTGCCTGTATAGTATAAGTTTTTCTCTTGCTCTATCTATTAGCCAAAGCTGAAACTGTGTCATTGAATATTTTTCAATAATATTATCAACTTTGTTGTATGTATTTTGTGTAATTCGGTTGGTCTGTTCGTCATTCTATTAGCTATGTATGACTCGTTGACAGCTTTTTTATGAATGATGGGAAAGAAATCAGAAGCATTTACTGCACTTATTTGTCTTTTACTGGAAACTTCCTTAAGTGTCACGATTCATCCCGCAAGAAAGCTTAATGGACCTTGTCAACGGGTCATGAGAATAGAATCAAAGAGTGATTCAATGAGAAAAGTCAATTAAAAAGAAATGAAAGCTAAAGTTCGATAACCCTAAGTAAAAACCCTCGGCCTCTACCTCGTAATTATACTCCAAGCTCATAAACACAGAGATCACAAGATCATGGAGGATGGATGTTACACTAAGGATTTCTTCACCCTGGAGAAAATGAAGGTTAATTCGACTTTCTTCGATCTAAGTGTTTGTAGGTTTCATTTACAGAGATGTGATGATTTGACATTTTTGAAACCGTGCATGTTTCTCTGCTGTCAATGGCTCTTCCTCATGTTATCCACAAATCCAGTCGGAGTTGGAGCTGAGGAAGAGAGTAGCGGATCTTGAGGAAGAGAACCGATCAATCAAACAACGGCTCGAGAGGATAGAGATGATGTTCTGGCAGCAACAACAACAATTTATGTCAATCCATCAGCAACCAATGGTCTTTCAAGGTCATGCTCCGAGATTGCAGCAACACCAACAACCTTATCTGGTACAAAAGGATGTGCAACAACAAAGGCTTCAAGCTGTTGGTTCCTTGCTTCCGCCTCAAAATGTGACTCACCAATCCCAAAGAACCCTTCCAGAGATGCCATCAAGTAAGCTTTTGGATCCTTGTCAATGTCTAGTGTAGGTGCAATATTATCATTAGTGTATTACTTGAGATCTCTTTGACGTTTAACAAATGTACTAACCCTGGCTTTTATTACTCTTAGCGTTGGTGGATGCAATGGGAAATGTAAATGGAGGTGACTGGCAAGAGTTGGTTTTCCAAAAGGTATTTCTGGTAATAGATGTATATATATGATGTAATAAGTGGTTGTATGTATGACCATATAAGCGCCTCTGTCTCTTCAGATCAATTCCATGAAAGAAATGTACTTAGCAGATCTGACTGAAATACACCGGAAAGTTACAGCCAAGTTTCAGCTCGTAAGTCAATATAATTATCGTTTTTCTTCACTAGAATCATAGTTTTATGGACTCAGTGCAAGAAGCTCGTCAAATGCCTTATTATTACAGAGGTTGTAACTGCACCTATGTATGTGTTTGTTTGTTTGTTTTCTTGTTGAACACGTTTCGTTTTGTCTCTCTTAAGCAGGATTCTCTTCCGGATCAACAAAGATCAGAGCGGTTTGAGAAACTGAAAAAATTCAAGGAAATGATGGAGCGAATGCTGCAATTTCTATTTGTTTCCAAGCGTGATATCACGCCTGAATTGAGGGATAAAGTGGATTATTATGAGACGCAGATCATCGGTTTCTTAAATATGCACAGGCCGAGGAAGGCGCAAGAGCAAAAGTAGCTTCCGAGATCTCAGACAAATTCTAGCTCCCTATCTCATTGGTTTGCTTAATCCCGGATCGCTTATGTTTCAGCCTATGGATTCGTGTGATAATGAATGAGTTCTAGGAAGACCTTCTTCATCATTGTATTTCTTTCGTCTTTGTAGTAGAAATACAATGTATGTGAACCGCCATTGTATTTCTTTCTTCTTCATCAGGCCAAAGCGAGTGATAATGATTGAATTTAAGTCATTAGTATTCTACATGATCTTAGTCTCTGAAAATGAACTAATGATCTTAGCTTTTGAGTTTGATTATGCTTAGTAACACTTAAATTCAATGGCAAACGCAAATGGAGATGATTGGCAAGATGTGGTTTTCCAAAATGTAATAAATTTCATTCTTAAGTCTTGTTGTTTGTGATAATTCATAGGTATTTCTCTGCAAGTCTTTTGCCTCTATATAAATTTGATTTAAAAACAAAACAAAAAAAGTTTATGAAATTAGAGTTGTAACTCTCAAGCAATAAGCATGTGCATGTCGTATTTGTGTCTACCTTACACGTGCATATGGTCAAACGTCGTTTCCTAAGCAGAATCTTGCTATTTGACCCCAAAAAAACAAAGTAGATACGAAACAAGTAAAATTAAGATTGTTTTGCTAAACAAAATTCAAGAAAGCATAAATCTTTCATAACTAGAAGAGTCTAATTAGTAAGTTGTGATCTAGATGAAACTTACGAGGATTGGAGCCAGGAAACAAAAACCGACAACTTTATAGTACAGTATACTTTTAGAAACTCGAAAGCCATAAGAAAAGAAAAGGAACTTTTATAAAATCAAAGAGAGAAACTTTACAACGGTTTCGGAAATGCCGAAGCAAGTGATCAAATCGGGAAGCCGACCACCGTGGGTAGGTTTATCTGCGGCGGTATGGGTCGAAATCGCCGCCGGAAACGCTTACAACTTCCCCTTGTACTCTCACGCTCTGAAATCGGTGCTGGGTTACAATCAGCAACAGCTCACGATGCTTGGAGTTGCCAATGATGTCGGAGAGAGCGTCGCTTTGCTTCCCGGTTACGCCTGCAGCAAGCTCCAACCCTGGATGGTCCTCTTCGTCGGTGCATGTGCTTGCTTCTTCGGCTATGGACTCATTTGGCTCTCCGTTACTCAGACTCTTCCTGCTCTTCCCTTCTGGTTGGTGAGTCCAAAGTTTCCACCTTTCCTCTTCGAGAATCTTAGATTTCTGATTTTACCCCTAATTTGTGAATTGCTTGATTTTGTGTTAACCTTGTTAATCGATTGAAACGCCATTAGTTTGCAAAAAAATTATCTTTTTTGTTCACTGCAGTTGTGGATTGCGCTGATTGTGGCTACAAATAGCAATGCGTGGTTTGGGACAGCAGTTTTAGTGACGAACATGAAGAATTTCCCGCTAAGCAGAGGCACTGTCGCTGGGATTCTCAAAGGGTATGCTGCGATTGGTGGAGCGGTTTACACTGTGATCTACAATGTGTTTCTTGATCAGTCTCCTCCGAGGCTGCTGCTGTTCTTGGCCCTCGGGATCCCGGTTCTCTGTTTCGCTATGATGTACTTGATCAGACCGTGCGCTCCTGCTTCCGGAGAGGACTCATCTGAGCATGTACATTTCATTTTCACTCAAGCCATGGCGGTTTTAGCTGCTGTCCTTGTGCTGACCATCACTGTGGTTGGCCATGTGGTCTCAGTAAGGAGAAGCGTTTCGTATGCACTGGTTGGTTTAGTGGTTGTTCTGCTGCTCTCTCCTCTTGCAATTCCTGTAAAGATGACATTTTTCCGGAAAAAGTCTACCAAGAAACAGGAAAGAGGAGAGATTGATGCTACAACCAGCCCGTTGCTGAGACCGTCTTCGTCTCTTGGGAGTTTCATTGAGATGGAGGATGATGATGCTTCAGATGTGCAGACGCTTTTAGCTGAGGGAGGAGGAACAGTTGAGAAAGAGAGAAGGCCGAGGAGAGGAGAGGATTTTAGGCTGAGAGAAGCATTTGTGAAAGCAGATTTCTGGCTTCTATGGTTTGTTTACTTCCTTGGGGTTGGCTCTGGAGTCACAGTTTTAAACAACTTGGCTCAGGTTGGAATCGCGGTTGGGATTGATAACACAACGGTCCTCTTGTGCCTCTTTAGCTTCTTCAACTTTGTTGGCCGGCTTAGCTCAGGAGCTATCTCGGAGCACTTTGTCAAGTCAAGAGCAATGCCGAGAACCGTGTGGATGACGTTAGCGCAGATTCTCATGGTGATTGCTTTCGTTCTCTACGCTCTCTCTTCGTCAGCTACTCTCTATCCAGCAACCGCGCTTCTAGGCACTTGCTACGGGTTTCAGTACTCACTCATGGTGCCGACTGCATCAGAGCTCTTTGGTCTTGAACATTTTGGTATCATCTACAGTGTCATGATTCTAGGAAACCCGGTTGGTGCGGTTTTCTTCTCCGGTTTGCTAGCTGGTCATTTGTATGATGCTGAGGCTATAAGACAAGGAAGCTCGACTTGTTATGGACCAGAGTGTTTCAGGCTGACCTTTGTGATCTTGGCTTGCGTCTGTGGGGTTGCAGCGATTCTTGGCGTGGTTCTGACTGTTAGGATAAGACCGGTTTATCGGTCTCTATACGGCGCTAGATCTTCCCGGCTATCTCAAGAGTAAGACTGTTTTAGTTATGTGTGTATAACAGTTTCTCTTTTGGAAAAAAAAAAAAAAAAAAAAACAGTAAAAAGTGGAAAACTTTTAATTATTTGATAAACATTTTTTTGGGTTATGATTGAGTTTGTTTCTTTTTTTGGTAATGTGATTGAGTTAGTTTCTAGTTTTCTACAATATATTCTAAGATTTTGATTTTATTTCCAAAAATTAAATAATTTATTTAGAACACATAAAAATTAATTGATTATATCGTGATATTGTCTATCACATCTTACCAATGACGAAATATCGAATTAGTTAAGGTCTAATCACAAAGGCTTTTTAACTTCTCGTACTCTCGCAGAGTCTCATACATGTTGGTCGATGGTTGTGCTGAAGATCACAACCTGATAAGTACAATCGCATTATTAAACAATTCTGATGGCGTATATGTGGGCGTTAACACCATTGACGGCGATGAAGTGTTCCGAACTTTGTCATGGCAACTAGAGTTCGTAGGCAGAACTCCGATTAGAAATTTCATTAAGATTTAGGGTCTGAATTTTTTTTAAAAGCAATGTTTAACAAAATGAACATATACAACTGGAAAAAAAAATGCAGAGAATCAGGTTTACCAGTACAAAAAAAAAAAAAAGATGAAACACACGAGAAATACACAAAACTATATTTAAAAAGCTATTTTCACACTAAAAAACAATTAATATAAAGTAGCGGTCTATGGAACATTTGGGCAACTTGCTAAAATTTTCAAAGTCCATTGTTATTGGTTAATGAATTTTGACATTTTTATTAAAATTCATTGTTATTGGTTTGATGACTTTTAAAACCCATACAAAGTTCATTGTTATTCAAAAAGTTTGTAATTTGAATAATTTCATACATTGTTAAAATCTTTGGATTTTAAACAATTTAATTCATGAAACAAAAGTTTCAAAATACTACATATAACCCTTAAAATCTCAAAGTCCATTATAATCAAATATTTTGATTGATTTTCTAAATGTACATAGTCTTTTTAAAACTAACAAAAACTCTTTATAAATTTAACAATTCTCTTACCTTCTAAAATCTTTAAAATCTACACAAATTCTACTCCAATAACCTTTCTTAGTGTGTTGTTTTTCTTTCCACATCCACCTCTTGGACAGAACCGATGTGGAAGCAGCAAGACGTGTCGGAAGCTGGGAGAGGACTTTGCCAATGATCTCATCTGGCAGATTGCTTATTATATCTCTACCACTCATAGCGCAGAACGAGTTGAAATATCGGTTAGGTCACACAAGCTCAGAATTATAACCGAGTGTAAGATGTTGTTGAGCTTGAGAATGTGTTGTTCTTATCAATGAGGAGAGTGCGATATATCATATATGTATAAATATACAGAGGAAGAGATCTTCAAGAGAATATATAGTCTGACAAATATACAAGATGTTCCTATATACGCTCCTATATTCGTGTAACAGCTAACAGCTTGTAACTTGTGACACACGAGGTAACTTGACCAATTGCTGTCTTAATAAATATTTTTCATTTTTCATTTTTTGTTCTTACCTTTTGAATATGAAGCAAATTGTATTTTCCAATTTGAACATATTTAAATAAACAACAACATTGCTGCTATTTCGTGCTCTCGGAAACTGTAAAGAAGTTTTGACTGGAACAGAGACTTAGGCTAAAAGCAAAGAATGGAGTAGACAGACTCATTACACTGACCCACACTCATGCACACACCTGACCTGACACTTCCACTCAACTCTAATTTTTTATATTTTTTAGATTGTCAATTAACAAAAATTAATTAGCCTAACAACAACAACACATCATCAAAACACTCCGATTACAGATGCAAAAATTCAAAAAATTCCGTGGTGGAAGAATCCTAAAACCTCGTCTCTCACCATCAAATCTGATTCGAAAGAAAAAAGAAAAAAAAAAAAACAGAACATCAAGTAGGTTTAAGATTCTGAAACATAGAGTCCCATTTGATTTCTTCCATGTAGCTATCTTCACAAACTTTCTCTTCCTTGAAACTGTAATCGAAAACCACGGGACTTGAGAAGCTATCGACTCTACAAGGAGTCCCGTTGGTCAAAAGCAACCTCTCCGGCTTCTCGAATCCGCCATTTCCGTAGCTTGGCATCACAGATCTCTTGCTCCTCTTCAGAAATCCGCCTCTCCACTTCCCAATCCCGCCGCTGCTATTCCTCTTCGGCACCAGCACCAGAGCTCGAGACGACGACGACGGCTCTTCGCGGCGGATCCAGGCGCGTACGTGGTCGGAGAAACACTTTCCAGTTTTCCTGATCGCGACCACGGCTCTGTAGATCGACCGAGAGCTGAGCGGAGGAGATTGGTTGCGATCTCGACGAGCGAGTTTGAGGATCTCGAGGCGGTGTTTGGCGATGGAGATTCCCATGCTCTGGAGAAATTCGTGGTTGAAGTAAGCAATGTCTTCGCGTTCGAGCTCGTTCTGGGAGAAGGTGAAGCCGTATTCGTGGACGAGACAAGGTTCGAGGTCTGTTCTCGAGAGCCATGAAAACCAATCCATTGGAGTCTTTTGGTTTCTCGAGTCAGAGCAGTGAGGTTTGTGTTTTTTTACGATTTATAAAGGAAGGAAAGTGAGTGGGGGCTTTTTTGACTTTTTTGAAAGTAGCGGGCTTCGTCGTTAAGGTAGTTGAGGCGTAAAGAGGGACTTAATTTGATCAAAGTTGAAATAATAGGGTCAAAAGTGAAACACAAATCAAAGACTACACACACAAAATAGTGGTTTAATTGTCGTTCGAGTTCGAGAAAATGGTGACTACATTTGTAGTTTTGTATAAATTAATTAGGAAAAAAAATAAAAATTAAAAACTGCTGCCAACAAAAGCTTTTGTGAGTAATATAATAAAAACAAAAATAAAAAGATGGGAGTGTTTTGTACTTTGGAGCTTGTAGAAGATAGAGAAATAATGTGAGAGTGAGGACTGAGGAGAATGGAAGAGAGTGACCATGAATCACGGTGTGGGGAAAGGAGCAAAACCCAGTGGGATCTTACTTTATGTTTATGGGCCACTTTTGTTTTCTATCTATTGTGCCATTTACTATTGTCGTTTCTAACTAACACTTGACCATGTATGCAAACTATATACTATAATACTAGTGTTTTCGAATCTACTTTGCTTTCGTTTTCCAGAAAAACAAACATAAGTGCCGCCATAAATCTATAAATTTAGAGGATTCCTCATTGTGTCATTTACAAGAGATGGATGGACATATCTAACATACTCAATAGGACACAAGTGACAAGTCCAATCCAGTTATATCCTCCCTTATTGATATACCAACATTATGTACATCATCTACATTACACAAAAATGTATCTTCTGTGGTCAAAGATTATTTTTTGTCGGCTTATGGTCAAAGATTAAAATGGATAGAATCTTCCAATATATTTCCTTAGATTATAGTCAAAGTATGTTGTTGTTCCGCTTGTAAGTATGCGTTTGACAAAAAAATAATTTAATTGCTATTGGTATATGTTTGAAAACAATAACATCGTTAGTTTTCTCACGCATTTTTTTGTTAGTTCAGATATATTAGACGTTTATCTAGTTTTACTTACAAAAAAAATGATAATTTGTATCGTTTAAACTTAAACTTAAAATACATAAGTATTTTGTAATTAAGACTGGTTCGTCTTCACATTCCAAATAATTTTCTGGAGGAATCAAAACACCTGCTTGACTCTTTAGAGATCAGGATTTGGCAGCTCAAAATTCATCACAAATCAAAATGTTTTCAGGCGAATGTTATCTGGTGTATGAACAGTGGCTGGAAACGTACGTGAACAAACCATGGCTACTAGATCTAGATGGAATAAACCACCAGAAGGCGTGCTGAAATGTAAAGTGAACTTTCTCATTCATCTAACGCATAAATCTAACATGTTGTGATACATATAGTAGTGGATTCCTAATCCTAAGGAAAAACATATCATCATTATGTGGAGCGGAGGAACTTGGATTGCAAGATATCGCATGGGCTAAACCTCCTTTCGTGTAAAAAAGTGAGAATCATACTTTGGACAGTCCAAAGTTTGAGAGATCTACATGATATAAAATAAGAAAGATATAAGTCTTCTGACTACAAAGCTAATATTGGTGCCATACAAATATTCTCTAGAGTGGTTGAGATATCGTAGAGAACATTCATTGTTTAATGAATTTAATCAAATTTATTAGTTTTAAGATCATAGTATTAAGCAAAGCAAGCGTCATTTCAAGGGCTATTGCAAAAAGTGTCATTAGAAACAATCGCTTTCACTCTTACCTTGCTTTAGGTGGACCGGCTTGGCTGCATAACAGAGTCAAGAAGACGAGATGCTGATGATGAATCCTCTTACATTGCTCTGTTTTTAGTCACTTTTATACTCTTATTTTTTTTTTGCAGCTTGAACAAATTCCAACAGATGATATCGAGAATAGTAAAACTGTCATGTCATGTCATACATTTTAAATATTTAATATTTATAGAGAAATATCCCGATTAATAATTTCACAGGTTTTTATCTGGTTAAAAATATCACACAATTGTCCATATATCATCATACAGTAGGAAATCTGTCCTCTGCGACCGGATACATTGAAAACACCTGACAGATAACAAATACTTTCCCAAAATATGAGTTAAGAAGTTAAAACTGGAATTATAAATTCCGTGCTAAAATTGATACTCTAGTAAACAAGTTGTCATTCAGATTATCAGTCCACAAAAAGAAAGAAAATAAAAAGGGAAAGGTTAAATTCAGAGAAAGGATTGTTGACGAGAATAACGAGGCTTTCCACAATAAATAAATGAGTTAGTGATACAGCACGACCTGTGTGCGTCTCTGTTTCCAAAGGATCAATAAATTACTCAATTACTAATCAATTGTGCAACCTTTATTTCTTTCTTCTGATAACTACAATAATACAAAGTTCTTAAATGTAAAAAAAAAAACAACACTTTCCGCATTTTTATTTTTTTGGTAAACACTTTCCGCACATTTATAACCAAGAATTATGCTGACCAGAAAAAATAGTAATTTTACTGAATACGTGGATACGAGTCCACCTTATTGGAAAAGACTAAAGAAGCAATCGATATATCGCCAAATAACCGGGATATGAAAGAATAAAAATGAAAAATTGTGGAAAAAATCAAAAATAGCAAAGCAATAAAACTTTTAAGTGAACGTGTAAGAGACGGGGACACATACATAAGTGGAAAGTGACCACTCCCTAACAGGCTAACACCTCATCATCTCCATACCTATTTATTTATTATAAATAAACAATAATAATGCCTTTTAAATAAAAGAGCACTTTCTTGACGATCAACGCCATTGGTAAGATTTGTTTTTGTTGCCAAATGAAACTTTAGAACTTGAGAGTTACTCTAAATAAATCAGTATCTGGAGAGAATGTGTACATGGATTTATCATTAGATCGGGGATTATCGCGTGGGTGTGACGCGCTTACTTGAATATAGTGTGAAATGTATGGTACGAGTACGATCGACTACCGTTAATGATGATATTAATGACGTTTTCGTTTTCATTAAATGGGAAAAAATTAAAAATGTATTTAATAATGGGAAGTTAGGGCTGAGCTTCATTAAAGCGTCACTTATCTCGTGAGAGTGAGACTTTTGGACGGACATGCCCCCAATGGGACCCACTTGCTTTGCTTTTGGCCGGAGGCTTTCTTTATTTATAAAGAAAAGATGCAACCACCACCTTCTCTCACTTTATCCATGTTTTATAATTCCTTACAATTCAGTTTTTGTTTGTTCAGTTTTGTGGTAGCTTAGTTCAGTTAATTACTAGTATGTTTTGAACTATAACTTGTTTAATTTTGTAGGCATTTGCTACCAATGAAACACTGTTTCATAACACTGAAAAATTTATAATAGACGTTATTTGGCCTTATGATATGGTATTCATTTTATCGTTTTGGTGCTTTGGATATATTTTGTTTACACGTTCTTGGCATTCGTGATTAACTGATTATTAGTATAGTAGAATAGTCGTAGTAGACAACTACTCTTAAAATAAAATAAAAATAAAAATAGATATACAAACGCCATTTTACGATCATTCACATCTACTTAGCGAGAAGCATGTAATTTTGGCAGAGGAGTTGTTATCTCCATTAAAGGTTTCTCGGTATATTTTTTAATCTTTTGAAATTTAATTATATAATTAAATATTACACTACAAGCACTCTTTTAAATTTCTTACCAGTCAAAATCTCTAATTTGCTAAGTCCTAAATTCCTAATCAATGTTATTCTCGTTAATTTGTTTGTATTAGTTTTCATCATATATTATTTTGCTTGTAACTTTTAAAAACCCACTGATATTGTTTTTTGTTAACAAATCCCACAATGTTGAATTTGAAAAGCAAGTATTTATAGAATGCGATTTTAGCTTTTTGTATATTTAGTTTACCATTTTTAGTAAAATAATATCTTAATATATGGTTCCTAACTACACACACAGGTATATCTGTACTTGAATATTAGAAATGTAGTTTCACTTTACGTGTGGTGATGGTGAGACGACAGTGTTAGCGTTTGGACGGGATAGATGTCAAGTACTCAAACGTGCGACTCTCAATACTCCAGTCACATACGTGAATAATAATAATATATACTGTATACAACACTCACATTAATTGCCCATCCTCCATCGAAATCTTGTCCCTACTCCAAGTTTAAATATATTTAAGTATTGAACATTTTTTTTTAACTATGAAAAGTTAAGACCTAGGCTCCAATCTCTCCTTTAGCTCATAACCATTATTTACTACTAGTACTTTGTGAACTATAAGCACAACAGTACCAACCACATTTGGTTTAAACACTAGCACACTTCATCTAGTAGTGGTATATCATGATAGCATAAAGATTAATCTCAGTTGTATTTTACTCCAAAATAAAACTAAATGTATTTATACTTTCTTTACCTTATTTTAAATTGTCAAACCTAGATAACCCACCTCACTCTGGTCTACCTGCTCCTAATAGCAATTTTAAAAATGTCAATTGAGTTTTTTAATAACTGGAACAAGTTGGTTATTTGTATACGGTGGTCATGAAGAGGTAAGGATTTAGATTCTGTGTAGTTCTTTTCGACATCTCCCCAATAATAGTCAATGCAAGTAGTTTGAATAGAAAAATAAGGATTACAATCAACATCCTTACGTGAATAACCCCAATCATACGCTAATTTTACCCGTATTGAAAAAGTTAAAAAGAAAACTATCAATAAGAATAGGGAATGATAATCTTCAGCAATATGTTGGACAAAATGGCCAGTCAATATTGTGTTTTTTATTTATTTTTAAAAGTCAATATTGTAGTACATTTTTTTTATTGGAAATTTGTTTTTCGTCTCGTGTTTTTAATTTTGTATGAACCTCATTGAATTATTCAAATTCTCCTATCTGGTACACCACAATCGTCTCATCATGTGTATGTAATTTCGCGAGTTATCATTTTATGGATTCTCTTTTCGTATCACGAGATAAAAGATGTATCCTCTCTCTTACGAGTTGAACATTTCTCCATCACGTGATGTTCGACGAGTACCGCATCTCAAGAGCAAATTGGCTCATCAATGTCATAAACCGTAATATTCAGTCAAACTGGAGGGTAATGACTCAAGAGAAAAGCTTTGTCGTGCCACGAGGGATCTGAGACAAGTCTGACACATTGAATGAAACTCTACCCGTTAGATCTCATGTCCTCCACGCCACCTTACGAAATCGACGGTTACCCAGACAGGTGTAAACTAACTCACGACGCAGATGATCGCAGCTCCGTGGAGAACAGCTGGCAACTAATATTCCGAGCCGATAACGTCGAGAAATGTAGCCGATTAAGTCATAGGGATAAGCGTATCTACTTATCACTTCTGCTTACTGCAGTTAGCTTTTTACTAGAGTGATAGCTTACCCCACTTATCAGCATCCAATTATCTGTCACCTTCTCTTATTAAAATCTCCATTTCTGCAAGTTTTAATGTCCGTATATATATTTCGAAGAGAGAGAAAATCCCTTCTCTAGACAGAGAGAGAGAGAGAGAGAGAAAGAGAAGAAGAAGTTATTTTTCTCTTTCAAGTTTCCTTTTTCCGGTAGAGAGAAAAAGAGTCCAAAACTCAATCCATCACCTCTTTCGTCTCTGGTCTTCGTCGATCTCTCTCTTCCTTCATGGTAAGTAAGCTTCACGCTTCTCTACCTTTACCTCTGTTCATGGAATCTAGCTGTTTCGAGTTTATTCTTAATCAATTCTCATACTTTTATTTTCCCTTTTGCCCTAGCTTTTTCTGGGTTCTGCTTTTTTTCCCCCTTTCTTACACTTATAATTATTTTTATTTCTTCATGTAGTAAAAAATATATTTTGTTTTTAAAGCTATTTAATTTCCATCGGCAATTCCAGGGAGACCTAAATTTCCCGATTTTTCGTTATCTGCAGAGAGATGTGGTGTTTTGGATGTTTTCTCAGATATTGGTTCAATTTCAATTTGTAGTTATAAGTTTTCATTTCCAAGTTTCCATAATCTCGATTTTAGCTCATTTCCGTCATTTACGTTAATCGTCGCCATTAATGAAATCGCAGATCTGGTGATAGCTTTGGTAGGTCTTGTGAATCTGAGCTGAAAAAGTCGTGAGGGAGTGAGAGAAAAACATGTCTTCTCTTAGTAGAGAGCTCGTTTTCCTGATCTTACAGTTTCTCGATGAAGAGAAGTTCAAAGAGACTGTTCACAAGTAAGTCTTTTGCTCTGTAGATTTCTCACGCGCTCTCCTTCGATCTAAATTGCATTTATTTAGCTCTTTTCCTGTGTTGGTTAATGCATTGCTTTCTGATGTTTTAGGCTTGAACAAGAATCTGGGTTTTTCTTCAATATGAAGTATTTTGAGGATGAGGTGCATAGTGGGAACTGGGATGAGGTTGAGAAGTATCTCTCTGGCTTCACAAAAGTTGATGATAATAGATACTCAATGAAGATATTCTTCGAGATAAGAAAGCAGAAGTACCTCGAGGCTTTGGATAAGTAAGTAAATGAGCTCTGATTTTTTTTTTCTTTTTCAGTGAAATAACAAAATAAAAAGAGTCTGATTTGTGATTTATTGTTTTTCCTAAGGCATGATCGTCCCAAGGCAGTGGACATACTAGTGAAGGATTTGAAAGTGTTTTCAACTTTTAACGAGGAGCTTTTCAAAGAGATAACGCAGCTCTTGACCTTAGAGAACTTCCGGTAAAAAGTCATGTTGAGATTATTTGCATTTTCAAAAGCTTTTTTTCTTAGCCAAAAACAGAGGATTTAAGTGTTTTGAGTTTGATGAACTTTTAGGGAGAATGAGCAGTTATCCAAGTATGGGGATACCAAGTCTGCAAGATCTATCATGCTGGTGGAACTCAAAAAGCTGATTGAGGCAAATCCGTTGTTCCGTGATAAATTGCAGTTTCCTACTCTTAGAAATTCAAGGCTGAGGACTTTGATCAACCAGAGGTTTATTGCTTTTGTCCATTAGCTGTTTTGGCTTCTTTTTCACTTCGAGTTGTTTGGCATTAACTCATTCCTCATAACTTGCAGCTTAAACTGGCAACACCAGCTTTGTAAAAATCCAAGGCCAAATCCGGATATAAAGACTCTTTTTGTGGATCATTCGTGTGGCCCTCCAAATGGGGCACGAGCTCCATCGCCTGTGAACAATCCACTCCTTGGAGGATTACCAAAAGCTGGAGGGTTTCCTCCTTTAGGCGCACACGGGGTAAGTTAATCTACCATCTTTTTTCTTTTCATTTACTTTCTCGTGAGGCAAAGGTGTTTTAATGTCTGTATGTATGTCTCTCCAGCCATTTCAACCAACGGCCTCACCTGTTCCAACGCCTCTTGCTGGTTGGATGTCTAGTCCATCCTCTGTCCCTCATCCAGCTGTGTCTGCAGGAGCCATTGCTCTTGGTGGTCCTTCGATATCAGGTACTACTTGCTTATCAAATGTGTTATTGCTTTCACATAAACTGTGTGTGATCTATGCAATGTGCTTATAATGGAGCTCCTTTTCTTATTTTGGTACAGCGGCATTGAAGCACCCGAGAACTCCTCCAACTAACCCTGCTTTAGACTATCCGTCAGCGGATTCTGAACACGTCTCTAAAAGAACAAGGTCTATGGGAATCTCTGACGAGGTGAACCTAGGTGTGAACATGTTGCCGATGTCATTTCCAGGGCAGGCACATGGTCACGGTCCGGCTTTCAAAGCACCTGATGACTTGCCCAAGACAGTTGCACGAACTTTGACTCAGGGCTCATCTCCCATGAGCATGGATTTCCATCCGATTAAACAGACTCTGCTTCTAGGTCCGTTTCTTGCTCTGTGTATATGACTCCATGCGAGAATAATAATCTTCGACTACTTTTTAACTTGATTGCGTTTTTGTACTTCAGTTGGTACAAATGTTGGCGATATTGGGCTGTGGGAAGTTGGTTCTCGGGAAAGATTAGTACAGAAGACCTTCAAAGTCTGGGATTTGAGTAAATGTTCAATGCCCTTGCAGGTACCTATGCATAGAAACAACAACATTTCAACATTGGTGTATGTTATGAATCTTTAGTGAACTGAGTTATTTGTGTATCTCCAGGCTGCTCTGGTGAAAGAACCTGTCGTTTCAGTCAACCGTGTGATATGGAGCCCTGACGGTTCCTTGTTCGGTAAAGAACTCACCTCTAAATTCATATGTGCTCAAGGATTGCAACTTTATAACTCTGCCCTACGTTCTCAAATGCAGGAGTTGCTTACTCAAGACATATTGTACAACTATACTCTTATCATGGTGGTGAAGACATGAGGCAACACCTTGAGGTCTGATAACATTCACAAGCCTCTCTTTTTGACATTCTTTTTTTTCTCCCGTGGAGATTGTCTTGTAATATTGTGATTATTTCAGATTGATGCTCATGTTGGTGGTGTGAATGATATATCCTTCTCGACTCCAAACAAGCAACTATGTGTAATAACCTGTGGTGATGACAAAACCATCAAGGTCTGGGACGCTGCGACGGGTGTCAGAAAGTATACTTTTGAAGGCCATGAAGCTCCTGTTTACTCCGTCTGTCCTCACTACAAGGAAAACATTCAGGTAAGCTATACTTTGATCTCCCTCCCTTCCATTACATGTTTTAGTCTTCTGATTCTTTCTGGTTTCTTTTTGTCTTCAAGTTCATATTTTCGACAGCTCTCGATGGAAAGATTAAGGCGTGGTTGTATGATAACATGGGTTCTCGAGTTGACTATGATGCACCTGGTCGCTGGTGCACTACAATGGCTTACAGTGCCGATGGAACTAGGCTATTCTCTTGTGGGACGAGTAAAGATGGAGATTCTTACATAGTTGAGTGGAATGAAAGCGAAGGAGCTGTTAAAAGAACTTACCAAGGATTCCACAAGCGTTCTCTTGGTGTTGTGCAGTTTGATACAACTAAGAACCGTTATCTAGCTGCGGGTGATGACTTTTCCATTAAGTTCTGGGATATGGACACGATACAGCTTTTAACTGCCATTGATGGCGATGGAGGCCTCCAGGTACGTGAACAGAAAAGCCTAATTTTTAGGAAACTTATCAGATATTATTTTGGAGTGGTGTCTTAAATTGCGTTTCTGATGTTAAACTAGGCAAGCCCGCGTATCAGATTTAACAAGGAAGGCTCTCTCTTGGCCGTTTCTGGAAACGAGAATGTGATCAAGGTTATGGCAAACTCAGATGGTCTAAGACTACTGCAAACTTTTGAGAACATTTCATCTGAATCCTCCAAGGTACTTAAAAATCTGTGCTAAGCGTCAGATTACTTATGAGCAAAATGAAAAAATTTCTTCAACACTTCCATTTCTTCATTTGCAGCCTGCAATAAACAGCATTGCAGCGGCAGCTGCAGCTGCTGCTACGAGTGCTGGACTCGGAGATCGATCAGCCAATGTAGTTTCCATCCAGGGAATGGTAATACATATCGTTTTCTTTGTTCTTTCACTCAGTTATATCTTATCTTTCCATCATTCATCATCACTTGCCTTTTTGTAGAATGGAGATTCGCGGAATATGGTGGATGTGAAGCCAGTGATTACAGAAGAATCAAATGATAAGTCTAAGATATGGAAGCTTACTGAAGTCAGCGAGCCTTCTCAATGCAGGTCACTTAGACTCCCTGAGAATCTGAGAGTTGCTAAGGTATATAAATATACATTTTTCAGATCAATATACAGGCTACATACATATGGATGCTTTTTGTGTTTCTTGATGATAAACCGATAACTTTTTGCAGATATCAAGATTGATTTTCACGAATTCAGGAAACGCTATCTTGGCTTTGGCATCAAACGCTATTCATCTTCTATGGAAATGGCAGCGGAATGACCGCAACGCAACTGGAAAGGTGAAATTGACTCACTCTTTCTTTGTCGAGTAATGACAATTGTCACTGATGTCAACATCTCGCTTTCCCTTGATTCGTTCTTGTAGGCGACAGCTTCTTTACCGCCTCAGCAGTGGCAACCAGCAAGTGGGATCCTCATGACAAACGACGCTGCTGAAAGCAATCCTGAGGAAGCTGTACCTTGTTTTGCTTTATCCAAGAATGATTCATATGTAATGTCAGCCTCCGGAGGAAAGATCTCCTTATTTAACATGATGACGTTTAAGGTATAGGGGAGAGACAGATGCTTACGATTTGATGTTTTGTGTATGCATTTTGACTGACTGTTCTTGGCTCTAATAATATGCAGACGATGGCTACTTTCATGCCACCACCACCTGCTGCAACTTTTCTTGCTTTCCATCCTCAGGACAACAATATCATTGCTATCGGAATGGATGATAGTACGATTCAGATTTATAACGTCCGTGTTGATGAGGTAATGTATCGAAATCTCAATAGAAGAAGAAGAAGAAGCAGTGTTCTTTTTTGTTTTTTTTTTTGGTTGATATGATGGTGAACATGTTCCTTGTTTGATCGACCAGGTGAAGAGTAAGCTTAAAGGTCACTCAAAGAGAATAACTGGTCTTGCCTTCTCCAATGTATTAAACGTGCTGGTTTCGTCTGGAGCAGATGCTCAGGTTCCCGCCTTAGAACCATCTCTTTTGTTGTTGAGACTCATTTAAAAGGTCTGTTTATACGATTTGGTTCTTTCTTTTTGTTGCAGCTTTGTGTGTGGAACACAGATGGATGGGAGAAGCAGAGAAGCAAGGTTCTGCCACTTCCACAGGGAAGACCAAACAGTGCACCTTCAGATACGCGTGTTCAATTCCATCAAGATCAGGCTCACTTCCTCGTCGTGCACGAGACACAGCTCGCTATTTACGAAACAACCAAGCTGGAATGCATGAAACAGGTATTTTAAGTTACAGTACTCTTCTCTCTCTCTCTTCAAGATCTACAGTGTATTGCATTTTGATGGATGATTTACGATTGTCTTGTTTTTCAGTGGCCAGTGAGAGAATCATCAGCTCCGATCACTCATGCGACGTTCTCATGTGATAGCCAATTGATCTACGCCAGTTTTATGGATGCAACTATCTGTGTATTTAGCTCTGCAAATCTAAGACTGCGTTGCCGGGTCAACCCTTCTGCGTATTTACCAGCTAGTCTCAGGTAAACTACAGAGGAATCTTGAATTTTGTCAAAAACAATCTTACAAGAAAACAGAGGAATCTTGATGAAGCTTTTGATTGTTCATTTGTGCAGCAACTCGAACGTACATCCACTGGTGATTGCGGCACATCCGCAAGAACCAAACATGTTTGCGGTTGGTCTCTCAGACGGAGGAGTTCATATATTTGAACCGGTTGAGTCAGAAGGTAAATGGGGAGTAGCTCCACCAGCTGAGAACGGGTCAGCAAGCGGCGCAGTGACTGCACCATCCGTTGGAGCCTCTGCCTCTGATCAGCCACAGAGATGATCTCTGATCTGAGAGTTTCCTACATCTCTGATTCTCTTTTCTTTTTCTTTTTTTAAAGGTCTTTCTTTTTTCTTTTTTTAGTAGAAAGATTTGTGACGCAGAGATTCTTTCTAACATGTTTAGTAGATGTAACATAAATTTGCAGTGATTTATTTAGTGGTTAAAGTTGGATAAAAATAGTGGCTAGTACTGTTGCTCTCCTTCTCTCATCTGAGATTTGACGACTTTCACATAGATAACCTTTTGTGCCTGGAAAAGTTTCAATTTCAATTATACAACTGCTTAAAAGTTAAAACTTACATTACATTTGAATTTACATTATATTTACAAGAGTGATTAGTTTCTTTTCGACAGTTTTTGTCCATTCACTTCAGCAAATAGACAAACCAAACAGATGATAAGCTTAGAAAGCTTTATTTACAGTTTCTTCTGCAAATAATCCGAAGAAGAGCTTCCGGACGACAAAATATATATACAAGGATAGCTTTGTCTGAGACCAGAAAGATCGGTCTATTTACAGAGTTTGTGAATTTGCACTTCCAACAAATAGCTTTTACTCGGGACGGAAGTTGACTAGGTTTGGCAGATCGGTCGCCTGAAGCTTCCTGATGTCATTAGCAGAGACCTTGCAGGACTCCAAGGTCAGAGATCTCAGGTTCTTCAATGGCTTCAGGTGGCGTAGCCCTGAGTTTGATACTCGAGAGTTTGAGACGTTTAGAGAGACCAATCCGGTCAATCCTGCGGTTTTTTATCAGATAATGGTTCAGGTTTCAGGTACATATATAAGACTCATCTCTGGTTAGATCAGGAATTGTGTTCGTTACCAGAAATCAACTCTAGTGTTTTGTCTGTGAGGTTGGAGTTCTGTGATAGATTGAGGAGTGTGAGGGATGGAAGATCTTTTATGTTCTTGACACCAGCATCAGTCAATCCACCACCACATATTTCAAGTGACTCCAGTTTCTTCAGGTCTGCATCCAAAGTAAATTATACGAGAATCTAGTATTTGAGAAGAAGCAATAAAAACTTACTTCGTAGATGATTTGTTCCAGAATCTGTGATACGAGCACCGAAGAGATCTAGGTGAGTCAACCCAGTCAAACCTATAACAAAAACAGACAGGACAGTTTGACTTTTTTTATTCAGAGGAACAAAGGCAAATAACTTGGTGACAGTCACAATTTATGGACCGAAGCAAGAAGCACTGGAAATGACATACTTGTAAGAGCGGAGAGGCCAGCATCAGTAATGTGACGTGCATCCAGATTCAGTGTTCTAAGAGATGTCAAGCCAGATAGCTTCCTTAAACCGCTATCCGTCACAACAGTGAATGACAAGTTTAAGCTCTCCAGGTTTGACAGACCTATGTAGTAGCAACATAAATGCGTTGATCAACACTGGCTTTATAAGACAGAAGATTCAAAATGAAAAATAGACAAAGGAAGGATGTCTGACCAGAGATATGGCGAAGCCCGTGGCTTCCTACTTCGGTATCGGACAACTCCAGAGATTTCAACGCAAGCAAACCTAAAACCACAGAAGTATTAATTGAATATCGGATCATTCTTGATAGAGAGCAAGAAATGCAAGTAGTAATCACCTGATAAATGTACCAGTCCTTCGTCACCAATTCTACAAGAATCCAGGTTCAAGCTCTCCAACTTTGTCAAACCTGAGAAGATAATTTATCTTGATTAGAAATATTAGCAGCCATAAGTGTAGAAATAGGAGCAGAGTAAGCGAGATAACCTCTCAGATGGACCAAGCATGAATTGGTAATGTTGTTCATCCCCAAGTTCAATATCTTCAAATTTATTAAATCTGCAAAGGAGTGAAATCAACTCATTTACAAGCAGAGAATTAAAGCAGATCAAGCACTTTCAACTTCGAGGAAGTCAGGTAAAACGCACCAGAAAACTTTTCACACCCGCTGTCTGAGAAATTGCATCTGTTTAGGTTCAGAAACATCAGACCTGTAAGAGCTAGAGAAAACAGAGGAAGACTCGTATGAGTTCATCTGGCATAAATTCATCAGATGAACTGTCCAAAAAGTATCATACATCCAATTGACTGGAGCATCACGGAGACACTACAAAGCTTGCATACAACCAATAAGGATGGCTATACAAACCTGTGAGTGTGTCCAGGCATGCAGCAGTAACATGACGGCACCCCTCCAAGTTCAATAAATTAAGCTTGTTTAGCCCTGAAGCAAGCATGTGGGAACAAATGAAAGATAAGGGAGTGTACCAAGGCGAGAAGATGTGATACAAATGATGAAAAAAGGAGTAAAACAATCAGTCAATTCAAGTACCTTTAAGGTAGCTGATACCAAAGTCGGTAATCCTACTGCAGCAGATTTGTAAGCTCCTCAGATTTGTAAGTCCTGAGGCAAAAAGTAGTAAGCACACTTGTTGAGAAAGGTTCAAAAATATATGAAGGGTGTGCACTGCACGTTCTGGCTACCTGAGAGAGGCTCCATGTCTGCATCCGTTATGCAGTTACACCACTTTATGTTCAAGGACTCTAACTTGGTTAAATCTGGTAATGAAACAAAAACAAAGCACAGAAGATAAATCAGAGGAAGGAAAGACATTGCTTAGTCAGGTTCAAAAACAGTATGCAGAACTGATATTAGAAAAACGGCAACAATCACAAGGAATGAAAATGATTTAAGTAGATAATGTACCTCGCAGATGAACGAGGCCACCGTGAATACCAGGACATTTCTCAAGATCTAGCTTCTTCATGTTGACCAAGTTGGAGAAGGCACGCATGCCTTGTGCAGTGATTGCAGCATTCCTTCTAAAGCTCAGGCTTGTCAAATTTGTAAGGCCTGAAATTGTTAGTAGATAGTTATCATTCCCATCAAACAAACGAAAGGAAGTGCATCAAGTATATGACTCTAATGTAGTAACAGTGCTTAAAAAACATCCTCATACAGAGTATAAGGAAAACTTTGATAAACAAAAAACAGTATGACATGTTGCATCACACACATCAAAGTGAAGATGTATGAAAGTGAGAAAAGTTTACCGCTGAGATGCTCCAGGCCACGGTTTGAAATCTGGTCACAGAAATTAAAGTTTAAGGATTCCAGGTTTCTGCAACCTTTTAAAGAAACCAGGCCAGAGTCTGTGACATCAGACCCTGAAAAATCAACAGAAAGCAACGATGTACTTTGCGAGGAGATGACACCCATCCATTCATCATTAACTCCAGGGTAGTCTCCCAAGTAAAGATCCTGCTTTCACAAATCCTAGTCAGCCAAAAATATACATTACACTAACAGTATACGAAGATGAAGGAGGTATTTACCTGAATTGCACAGTCTCGAAATGCCTCAAGAGACTTTAAACTTAACCGTTGAGTATTCACCAACTCATCAAAAATCTGCTGACTGATATCCCTCGGTAGGTCAGAGAATTTGGTATATCTATCGATGTCCTGTGAATGTTATGCAACAAAGTTAAAACACTTGATACGCTGATAACAAACAAAAAGAAGAAACTAGAGATTGGTAAGTGGAAACAATAAACCTCCTGAATCTTGCGGACACAGAGGTCCATAAGCGATGGGCATTCTCCATTTCCCCGTTTAACACCGGAGCCGGACCTAGCGAGCGAAGTCGCTAACCATTTCGAACTGGAACTCTTGCTGTATTTCCCTGAGACGCCTCTGTTTAATATATCCTCAACTTGTTGATCTCTCTTCCTCGAGCAAGCTCCTCCCATGATGATGTAGTCCAAAATCATCAATCTTTAGAGACTGAAAACAGAGTACAATCTCTTAGTCAAACTTCCCGGATTATTATACATGAAAAAAAAACTCAATTTCTCAGGAAACACAACCTTCTAATGATCATCCAAGAGAGAAAACTCATCGAATACGATGCAGTGGTTCAAAGTTTCATATCAATTGGATAGAAACAAGCACAAACAATACTATAATAGAACAGAGAAGTGTGAATCGACTGTACATGAAAGGTTTAATTCTCAACAATAAAAACCCAGAAAACCCAAAGTACACCTAACGATCAAATTAAAGTAAAAGAGATTTAGCAGCTCAACATCAAAGTCAGTAAAGGAACTGTTCACTACGAAACAGTTATTGAAGATGATCGATTTTCCACCAGCAGAATAAAACGATACGTACCGAATCATCGCGGCGATCGATCGCAGATTGTTTTGGCTAGAGGAGATTTTGTGGGGGTTTAAGAGTGTTTCTCTCTATGATCAAAGCTTTGTTTTTGGAGTGAATTTGAGGAGACGGTGGTGAGGAAGAAAGAGAGAAGAGTATAGAAATGTGCAAAGTGGCCGTGAGCCGAGCCTTGCTCTGAGCCTACAATCGGGTGACACGTGTAAGGTGAATCACCTTTAGGGCGGTACGGGAGTTAGGTTTGGGATAATCAAATGCGTTTGAGATAAGATGGACGAATAAAGAAGGCCGTGGGTCCCGTTAACTGTGGACCCCGCTTCAAAAACTTCAGCGATTTGTTTATTTAAACTTTATTTTATGTTGATGAACCTTTGTATTTTAGATTTGTTTCAAAGAAGAAAATCAGCCTAAATTAATCAACAAAACAATCTGCAGATCATGAATAATAACTCAATCTGCAATATACATACAAAAAACATCCAAGTTTGTTCCTCTAAAAACTGATCCATATATTCTAGCTTTTGAATTTTTAAAAAGGAATATCTTCATTTCTGCAGTAAACCAACATTATCTTTTATTTTTTATATATTTAAACTTCATAACGTAATTCAAAAGCCACAATTTTTTGTTCTAAACTGATATCAGAATTTAGCGGCGTAGAATTAGTACATAACTAGATTTAAGATTGTGCTCTTCTTCACGTCTTGTATCTAAATTTTTATGCACTCAAGGAACTACAATATTCTGACTAATAAAAACAAAATTGATTTGAAATTTTTTTATGGGCTACAGAATATCATTTGAGTTGGTTCTTTTGTGTCAACAATAGCACTACTAATCAATCATGGTCATATACGTTAGAAGTTAAAATTTGCAGAGTAGAGTTTTTTTCCTGGTAGCTGATTACATGGAACTGGAATTACATGAACTTCCTAGATTTTAAAAAAGTATAGTCTCCAAAGCTAAAATTATTAATTATAATATTTTGGAATTATGAGAATCTGAAAAGAAATATTTGGTCTGAAATTTGTATACTCTCAAGAATATTCATTCAGATAAAAGTGATAAGACATTCGTCAGTACTCGTCTAAAAACGAGGGAAACTCCGTATCAATCTCGACCGTTGAATCCAACCGTGAAAAAGAAAAATCCAATGTTCACAGAAAAAAAGAGCGTAAATTTTGAAGTTACAATTAGGGAGCAAATGTTAATCTAAAGGTCTAATCTTCAGACTCCAGGCGATTCCTTAAACCCTATCGAAAATGGCGACTCTGCTAAGACTCGACACAGCCACGGCTTTCCTTGCTTTCAACGTTCTCCGAGCGGATACGGTGTTGAGCCACCGGTTTTCTTCTGCTAGTCGCAGGAGAATCACAGTCTCCGCCAGAACTAAACCGTCGCCATTCTATTCCGCGGCGGTTAACTCTGACACCCGTCGGAGTTTCTACTCTGCCTCTGCTTCTGCTTCTGATTCCTCGTTGGCGGTTCTGGAGACCGAAGTAGATTCCTTCATCGATGTTGTTTCCACTGACAATCTCCCAGACAATCGAATTCCGGCCACTATAATCACCGGGTTCCTGGGTTCCGGCAAGGTGGGTCTTCTTGTTTAATTCTAAATCTAAGGTTCCATTTCAAGTGAGCAAATGCTGATTTTCATGGGTTTTGTATTTCCGGGTGAGCAGACGACATTGCTAAACCATATATTGACGGGAGATCATGGGAAACGCATAGCCGTGATTGAGAATGAGGTATTGTATCAATCTCTGTGTCTGCCAACAAGTTGAATAGAGATGGTTTTTTTGAAAATTATTCATTTCTAATTCGTGCTAAATGTGAATTGTTCTTAGTTTGGGGAAGCCGACATTGATGGATCGCTTGTGGCAGCTAAAACTGCGGGAGCAGAGGATATCATATTGCTCAACAATGGATGTCTGTGTTGTACAGTCAGGGGTGATCTTGTGAGGATGATTTCTGAATTGGTCAAGACGAAGAAAGGAAGGTTCGACCATATCGTCATTGAGACCACAGGTCCGAGTTTTTCTTTTCTTTTATTTTAATTGAATTAAGCTACGGAGCTACTATTATCTTGAGGATCGACTTATGAAACGTATTATGTTAATTTTGGTTTGTAGGATTGGCGAATCCAGCTCCGATTATTCAAACTTTTTATGCTGAGGATGAAATTTTCGATGATGTTAAACTTGACGGGGTTGTCACTTTGGTTGATGCTAAACATGCTCGTTTGCATCTAGATGAGGTCAAACCCGAAGGTTATGTGAATGAGGCGGTTGAACAAATAGCTTACGCAGATCGTATCATTGTTAACAAGGTATGTTAAGTCCTGTTTCGACCAAATAGCTTTGTAGTATTGTGTGTGAAGTTCTGTTTCGACCAAATAGCTTGTAGTGTTTGTTGTTCTTCCTCGACATATCATACAAGCTGAGAAATGTTTGTACTTTGCTGCAGACTGATCTTGTTGGTGAGTCAGAACTAGGTTCAGTGATGCAGCGGATAAAGGTAGGTTCTGCTTCTTTTGATTTTTCTCTTTCTTTTTGAACATCTATTTACTCTCTTTGCTCTGCGTTAACGTTTATGCGATGGTTATTTTCAGACCATAAACAGCATGGCTCACATGAAGCGGACAGAGTATGGGAAAGTTGACTTGGATTATGTTCTTGGAATTGGAGGTTTTGATCTAGAAAGGTCAGGTTTTATTCTACGTCTTACTAATATCTTATTACGAGTCATTCCGACAACTTCTGTCGATGTGTATCATAGGGCATAGATGCATCTGGTACGGTTTATTGGTTGCGGAACTCCTGATTGCTGGTTGCTAACTGTTTTGTCTTTCCAGAATTGAGAGCTCTGTGAATGAAGAAGAGAAGAAAGATCATGATGATCATCACCATGACCATGAGCATGACCATGGTCATGACTGCCATGATCACCATAACGAGCATGATCATAAACACGGTAAGTCATATGGTTACAAAAGTAAGGCCTTATTACTTAATACATGAACTGAGATTAGTTTGCTTCTGAAACAGCAGAGCATCAGCATTCTCATGATCACACCCATGACCCTGGTGTTGCTTCAGTCAGTATAGTTTGCGAAGGAGACTTGGACCTCGAGAAGGTATAGCCCACACAATATGGCTCCCTAAGTTGTATAGCAGATGATACATTAAACTGTAGCATCTGAAGTCTATTTAAACTATAGATGTGCGATTGTGATTACCTGCATCATCTAACCTTGAAAATGTTTTGACAATGGATCAGGCTAACATGTGGCTAGGGGCGCTACTGTACCAGCGTAGTGAGGATATCTACAGAATGAAAGGTATCCTCTCTGTCCAAGACATGGACGAGAGATTCGTGTTTCAGGTAACTAGTCTCTTATCATTATTTTGATATCTTACATCATTTCGACTAAACCTCAAAGCATCGAAGAACTCCTTTGATTTAGAATTCTGTCTCATCGTCTGTGGGTGTTTGATGGTTGGGACAGGGAGTTCATGAAATATTTGAAGGATCACCAGACCGGTTATGGAGAAAAGATGAGACAAGAACCAACAAGATCGTTTTCATCGGCAAGAATTTGAACCGGGAGGAGTTAGAGATGGGTTTCAGAGCTTGCTTGATTTGATTATAGGAACAAATACCTACCAAACTATTCCAATTTCTATCAGTTTTTCTGTCAGTACGAAGCTAAGGATGAAATTATATGTAACGCATCCTCAAAACAGAAAAACCGTTAACTACAAAAAGCTGAGTCAAGCAAGAATATAAAAAATAATGCTCTCATCATTAAAGCCTTCAACATACAAAGAGTGAGTCCCTCTCTTTCTGTCAAAAAATGCAAAAACGCCACAACACAAGCATGGCTAATAATAGTAATCCAAAACACCATGCATGGCTCCATTGATACATTAGTCTGCAAATTACCCAAACATATTTGGGATGAATACACCAAAAACCTTCTTTTTTTTTTTTTTTTAAACAGAGGACTTCCAAAAAGATATAACTTTTATTTATTTATTTCGAATCTAACATAATCCACCAAATCCTACAACTTTAGTGATTCTTAAGATGATGATGATGATGAAATCTCTTTCACCGGAACAACACCATTGTTAAGCAACTTCTGCTCTGTTTTCTTACCAGACTGAACCTCCCCACCAAACATTTGCTTCCTGTAAACCTGATGCAATCTCCCAAACAGCTCCTTCTTGATAGACTCAAACGCCATATCCAATCTCTCCAACTGTTCAAGAGCATTCTGGTTATACATAAACAAACCATAGTAAAGCTCGAAGCTATCACTCGACGTGTTCTCCACCAAATCCAGCAACGTCTCGTAACCTTTAGTATTAATCGGCGAAGACTCAACTCCAAACTTCTCCAAAACCCTTCCCATTGTATGCGTCACGAACTGCGACCCAGCAGCGTGCTTGTCGTGCTCCTCACAGCTCATCTCCACCATCCTACAACCTTCGTTCTCGAAAACCCTCAGAAACCTCTCACACCTCTCGTTTCTCGAAGCTTCGTCTCCGATCCTCACCTTGTCGTAGACGAAAGGGAGGCCTGACCAGGAATGCTTCCCGCTCTCCGGACCGAACATTGGGTGAGTGCAGAGGATGTCGAATTCCTTGGGGAGGTATTTGAGGAAGAGGGCTTTCGGGAACTCCTTGACGGAGAGGACGTCAACGAAGAGCGTGCTGCGGCGGAGTCGCTGGAATGGGAAAGATCTGAGGACGGACTCTGTGGAGAGGATTGAGGTGCAGAGGAGGACGACGTCCGGGTGCTGTTCGCAGAGATCGTGAGGGTTGTGGAAGAAACGAGCGCCGATTGAGTTGGCTGCGTCGGAGTAATCGGATCGGGAGTGGGTGATTAGGTCGTGGCCGTGTCGGATTAAGGTTTTGGAGAGGAATTGGCCGAAATTTCCGAAGCCCAAGACGGCGACTTTGAGAGCAGAGGATCTTCGGTACTCGGATTTGAGCTGGGTCTCGTAGTCGAAGATCTGGGCGGCGTCGATTGCGCGGACGCGGAGGGATCTCGGCGGAGAAATGAGGAATGCCGGTGAATTCCGGCGGAGATTGGGTGGAGAGAAGAGAGGTTTCGTTGGTGAAAAATTGAGCAACATTGTGTGGTCGAGAAAGAGACTGATGTTAATTTGGGGAGTGAGGTTTATGCAAAGCTGAAATCTTTAAGCTCTGGAGCTGAGAATCTGTGAGAATTGAAGAAGAAGGACGAAGATAGGAGCCCGGGCCTTCCAAATAAAGGATGAGATTTCTGAAGAAGAATTCCATAACAAAAACGTGATGATGCTCTCAATACACCAACCTCAAGGACCATAAAGGAAATGAAAACATGAGGTCAAAATTGAAAGCTCGTAAGTATATCAATTTGTCTTAGTAACCCGCAATTACTGTATGTAGTTATGTTTTGTCCTAAAAATCGGTTCGTCAAAATTGATCAATGATGCTATCTGAATCAAAGACTATCTATGTCTCTTTCACGAACTTATTTTTGGTAAATGATACTTTCCTCGTTGGAATTTACATAATAATCCCTCATAAACATTATAATTAGAAACAACCCCTTAAACTCTATCCAATTTTTCAATTTCAATTTTCTTTTCTACTGAAGAAGGAAATGAATGAAAGCTTAAAACTTTCTTCTCCAAAACAAAATGGCCGGTTCGATCTCAACCTCGTTGCTCTTATCATCTCCGTCGAATTCGAAATCGGTTTCGAGCTCAAACTCAAATTCTCTTTCTTTCCTTGCCAACTTAAAACCATTCCGATACTATCCATTTCAATCACAGAGCCCAGATCGGATTTCATCGAGATCTCCGTTTCCCTCAATCCGATCGGGAATCCGGGAGCTGCGAGAACGAATCGACAGTGTGAAGAACACGCAGAAGATAACAGAGGCGATGAAACTCGTGGCGGCGGCTAGGGTTCGTCGAGCTCAAGAAGCAGTCATCAGCTGTAGACCTTTCACCGAGACCTTAGTCGGGATTCTCTACTCAATCAACCAATCCGCTCAATTGGAAGACATCGATTTTCCTCTGAGCAATGTTAGACCCGTGAAGAGAGTTGCTTTGGTTGTGGTAACCGGTGACAAAGGCCTATGCGGTGGTTTCAACAACGCAGTGATCAAAAAAGCTAATTCACGAGTTCAAGAGCTGAAGCAGCGAGGAATAGAGTGTGTTGTGATAAGCGTAGGTAAGAAAGGGAATGCGTATTTTAGGAGGAGAGACGATGTCGACGTGGATAAATGTATCGAAGGAGGAGGAGTTTTCCCGACGGCGAAAGAAGCGCAAGTGATCGCAGACGATGTGTTTGCCTTGTTTGTGAGTGAAGAGGTGGATAAAGTCGAGCTTGTTTACACAAAGTTTGTGTCTTTGGTGAAATCCGATCCTGTGATCCACACTCTGTTGCCGTTGTCGATGAAAGGAGAGTCTTGTGATGTGAGAGGAGAGTGTGTTGATGCGATGGAGGATGAGATGTTCAGGCTGACGAGCAAAGACGGGAAGCTAGCTGTGGAAAGGACGAAGCTTGAAGTTGAGAAACCTGAGATCTCGCCGTTGATGCAGTTTGAGCAAGACCCTGTTCAGATTCTTGATGCGATGATGCCTCTGTATTTGAACAGTCAGATTCTGAGGGCATTACAGGAGTCTTTGGCGAGCGAGCTCGCGTCGCGGATGAGCGCGATGAGTAGTGCTACTGATAATGCGGTTGAGTTGACGAAGAATCTCAAGGTTGCTTACAATCGGCAGAGACAGGCTAAGATCACTGGGGAGTTGCTGGAGATTGTGGCTGGAGCCGAGGCTCTTCGAGATTCTTAGTTTAGAAGAGTTGTGTTTGCTGTTTAACCAATCATTTGTTGTGTAATAAATGTCATTGAAAGAATTAATCAACCATAGATCATGAAAACGGTTTCTCACTTTCACTCACCTTAAAAGCCGACAGAGTGACTGATAATTAATTCGCATTCGTCTCGAACAAGACAAAAAGAATTCAAGGGAAAAATAAAGCAGAAGTCTCAAATACTCGGTGGATTTCTAAAATCTAGATAGTACAAAAAGAGAGAAAGAGACAGATAGAGAGAAACATCATTTGGTTGGTTCTTTAACTGAGCTTCAACAAAAAAGGTTCTGTTTTTTTTTTACCACCTACGCAAAACGAAGATAAGAATGGTAAAAAAGAGAGTTTTGAATCTTCCTTCTTCATCATCATCATAGTCATCTTCTTCTTCTTCCCTCAGGGTTGAGTTTAGAAGTACTTGAAGAGGATACCACCGTGAGTGGCGAAGAAGGGAGCAAAGACGAGAGACTCAACAGCCATGAGCTTGATGAGAATGTTCAACGAAGGTCCTGAAGTATCCTTCAAAGGGTCTCCGATGGTGTCTCCGATCACAGCTGCCTTGTGTGGCTCTGAACCTTTTGGTCCAAGGCTCTTTGCGTGCTCTGATACACCCGCCTGCAAATAAATAACCCCTCGACGCATAAGGATGTGATTCATCTCTCAGAATGATGATTATACATACTTAAAGAAAATTTCATTCTATAATACCTCAATGTATTTCTTGGCATTGTCCCAGGCACCGCCAGTGTTAGATGCAGAGATGGCGATCTGTTTATAATAACCGAGAGCATCAATGAGCATATGTTTAAGAATAGCTAGTTATTCAATATTCACAACAGAACTGAGAAAAGATTAGATACCTGAACACCAGAAACGAGAGAACCGGCGAGAACACCAGAGAGGGTCTCAACACCAAAGAAGAACCCAACAATGAGAGGTGTGAGCATGACAAGGCAACCAGGAGGAATCATTTCCTTGATGGAAGCATCGGTGGAGATCTTGACACATGTGGCATAGTCGGGTTTTGCGGTACCTTCCATGAGTCCAGGGATGGTGTTGAACTGTCTGCGAACCTCTTCAACCATCTTAAGAGCGGCACTTCCCACACTCTTCATTGTCATGGCTGAGAACCAGTACGGAAGCATGGCACCGACGAGCAGCCCAATGATAACCTTAGGGGTCAACACATCTACGGTGTGGACACCTGCACGGCTCACGAAAGCACCAAACAGAGCCAAGGAGACCAAAGCAGCAGATCCAATGGCAAATCCCTGATCACAAACAAACCAGAATCACATGTCATGTTACGTTCTAAAGCAAGCAACCCAGCTGAAGAATGCGGTTTAAGATGACACTTACCTTTCCAATAGCAGCAGTGGTGTTTCCAGCTGCATCAAGAGCATCGGTTCTCTCACGGATACGGTGGCTCATTCCAGCCATCTCAGCAATACCACCAGCGTTGTCACTGATGGGACCGTAAGCATCAATTGCCAAACCAGTGGCGATGGTACTGAGCATGCCTAGAGCAGCAACAGCAACACCATACATAGCAGCAAAGCTGAAACTGACGAATATACTGGCAGCAATGGCAAAGATTGGAATAATGACGGATTTGTAACCAAGAGCCAGTCCGAAAATAACATTGGTGGCTGCACCAGTTCTGCATGAATCTGCAACATCTTGCACAGGGCTGCAAGATAACGGGCACATTAGAGTTTGTCATACTAGCTGTGGAGAAATATTAGTAATCAAATATGGTGAAAGTAGTTTCGTACCTGTAGGCGTTACTAGTGTAGTATTCAGTGACGAAACCAATAATGAGTCCGGCCCAAAGACCAACACAAACACACAGGAATAGTTGCCTGGAATCCAAAATTATATCACAGAATTAGAATAATGCAGGGAAGTAAGAACAAAAGCAACCATACAATATATTTGCAAAGAAAGAGCTTACCAGTTCTTCACGACTTTTTGTGCTCCAAAGTTGAAGATGGTAAAGGAAGACGGCAAGCCAACCCATGAGACGATAGCGATTCCAACAGTCATGATAGCAGTTGAGATGATGAGCTGGTTCTTCAACGCTGGCTCAATCTGATTAACAGCCTTAATCTCAAAGAAGTCAGTGGCGAAGAGAGTAGTGATCAAACAAACCACGATACCCATAGAACTGATGAGCAATGGGTAGCACATGGCAGTGAAGTCATGGTTGATTCCAAAGGAAGAGATGGAAGCAACAACAAGGGCGGCACATGACGCCTCAGCGTAAGACCCAAAGAGATCAGATCCCATACCAGCAATGTCACCAACATTGTCACCCACATTATCAGCAATGACCTGAAATATAACCAACAAAAAGTAAGTTCAGAAGCAAAAGCAGGTTCTATTCACACACAGTTAAAAGATGTACTCACAGCTGGGTTCCTTGGATCATCTTCTGGAATATTCCTCTCAATTTTGCCGACAAGATCAGCACCCACATCAGCTGCCTTAGTGTAGATCCCACCACCAACACGGCCAAAGAGAGCCATGGAAGACCCACCAAGACCATAACCAGTAATAGCCTCAAAGAGACCTTCCCAGTCATCACCATAATAGATCTTGAACACATTGATGGTAATGTAAAGGACCAACAGACCACTGGCGGCAAGAAGGAAACCCATCACAGCGCCGGACCTGAATGCAACAATGAACGCCTTTCCAACACTTTTCCTTGCTTCCAAGGTAGTCCTAGCATTAGCGTACGTGGCAATCTTCATCCCAAGGAATCCAGAGAGAACAGAGGTGACCGCACCAAGCACGAAAGCAATGGTGCTGAAGGCTGCAGTGGCCAAAGCAGGCTTGCAAGTTTTGGTGTCGTCGTAAGTGCAAGGCTTGTTCTTCGTGCTGAATCCCTCGACGGAGCCGAGGAAGACGAAGATAACAGCAGCAAAGAAGATCATGAAGACGCCAACGTATTGGTACTCGGTGAACAGGAATGAAGTTGCACCTGTTCCCACACAGCAACAGATCCCAAAGTTTAATTCACTTTTTTCACAAAACTATATTCCAATAAACATACTAAGTTAGTCCTAACATTCCAAAACGTCATTATCAATACAGGATTCAACCTTCAGTCACCTACCAATATCCAGGAATGATGAAACAGAGCCAGATCTAAGCAAAGCAGAGTGAGATCTGAGAAGAGTATCACGAGATCTTACCTTCGGAAATAGCGGTTTGAATCTCGGCGCATTTGGCGACGACACTCTGCTCGTTAAGACCTTCCTCCTCCTCGATAAGGTAATCCCCGTAGCCATTCTTCCCGTTGTTGGACCCACCGGAAGACGATGCGCCGCCGTCGGTGGTGACTTTCACGCGAGAGACGATGAACCATTGGAGGAGCGAAAACGCGATTCCGATCACCGCACAAACAGGGACAAGTATCTCCGTCCAGAGCTCCGGCAGAAACGCTGTCGCCACCATCTCTTCTCCAATAAACAGAGAACGAAGAAGAAGAAGAAGAAACGAAGATAAGCGCTAAGCGCGAGACAACACAGAGAGAGAGCAGAGAGAAATGGAAAGTGTTTCAATGAGAGGAAATGAGGCCTAAATCGGTGAGGATACCGTGTCGTTTTATAAGACTGACTCTGCTCCTCTTGGATGCTCCCATCCACAACGGAAGTTGGAATCTGCTACGGTTACTTACACGGTTCTTTACGATACACCCTCGGTTTTTTTAATTTGGGAATCTATTAATTAATCAAGACGAGAGACGCGTGGAGTCGACGCTCTTAAGTGTCGGGATTGTGTATCTCGTTCAACTTTCATCCACCGGTGGTTATCGGACACGAGCGCAGAGTAACGCTCGAAGTCCATCGTCACCGTCCATTTTAGGGCGAAAGTGACCTGCTTACGTGTACATCGACGCGCTTATATCCGTCCGATCTTGGTGTACAGGATTCACGCTCTTCTCATTCGTAGTCAATAGTCTCTACTCTCTATACGTGGTAGAAAATAATTTTAATTATTTTTTACTAAAGTCAGATTTTGGTAAGAAATTAATTAAATTTATGATTATCCATTGGTATATCCGAGTATTTATAGACACTAAATTAGTCAACAAAATCTAGTCACGGTGTATTTGGTCTAAGTATATCATTAAATTCTTATCATATTTTCCAAAGAGAGATTAAGTGCAAATATTTTGATTAGAATTTACAAATATATCATATGTATTCAATTGATTATTTACAGATCATAAATGCTTGCTATAATTGTAAATACTGTGAATATCAGAATTTCCAAAGAGAGACTAAATGTAAATATCAAGATCCTAAAATATTAATCACATAATTAAGATGAGTGTAAATACACAGTCATGTTTTCAGTGAAATTCTAACACTTTGATTAGAAAAATCTCATATGTATACAATTAATTATTTACATTCCAATATACCATAAATGCTTGCTATAAATGTGAATACTGTGAATATCAGTACTTTTTAAGAAAATCATTCATGTAGGATTTAATTTGGGGATATGACTTTTTTGATAAAAGATAAATCCAATATGCATGTGCGGATTAATATCTAGGTGTCAAATAAAGATACAAAAACATTCCAAGGAAAAAAAAGAAAGAAAAAAAATCAGTTTACGATCAATGTAAAGTGGAATAAAAAAACTCGTATTCGTCAATTGCGAATCGATTCCATAGCACTTTCGCAGTTTGATTCGACTTTGTACTAAATTATTTTTGGCATTTGTTCGATAAGGTTGAAATCCTAAAGATTGATTCTACCTAATCTTCATACGAGGGAGGCGTGTAGCAAGATACGGTGCACCCTACCATATGTAGATATTTTCAGTGAGCAAAATACAACAACAATCAAATTTAAGAGTAGTGAGAGGATATAGCGGAAGCCTTTTCGAGCGGCTATGACGTAATTATGTGTATTGAATGGTGTGCAATCTTCCAATTGGATAAATACTCTTTTATTGATTCTTAATTTAATTTCATTTTTGTGGATTTTTGTTAGCATTAAGTGCTCTTTTTTTTTTTGGTATCAGTGAGTGAGTAGTGACCACTCGTGCTTTATCTTCCTCCCTCTTGTTCCCTTTTGCAGGTTGCTAATGAGTCTGGAAAATTACCACCACGTAATGAAAACCTTTCCTAGTTACGTGGCTGACATTAGTACTTCTTCAATCTATTATCTTTAATCCACGATTTAGTTTCCTTTAGTTACATTAATTAGTATTTAATCAGATATGGCAAAGATTATCCAAGTGGTGAGATGTAAACGTAGAATTCAAACCAATCCAACCAATTAAAGTAACAATAATTGAATTTAAAAAGATGAGAATGATTTTACACGGTAACATAACTCGGACTTTCCATCATAATTGAATTAGATGATCGTCACTGTCGTAATTATAATGTTTTTCTAATTAAGGCAAACAAGCTCACCAAAATTTGGTAACATCTCTACGTGTGATTGACAATGCCATGAACGGTGGTGATAAGTATCAATCTATCTTATGAAGATTCATATAAACTCCATCAAAAAAGTGACACTGTAGTAAAAAAAAAAAGATGCACAGATATGAACTGATGTAACTTAGTCAGGGTCTCAGGGAATGGGTCATTTGTTTATAGTTAAAATTTTGAATTATTTGATTTATTGATCTGAATTATGTGGTCCTTTATTTTATTTTTTTTATCCATTGAGCAGTGTCAGATACTTACTGGTATCTGAAAACGTATAATATCTAGATTTCTTTTTATATAATTTTGGCGTAATGGAGATAGCAAATCTTGGAAAATCATGTATTAATATAATAACAACTTGGTGTTATCGCTTTAGCTTGAAGAGAGAAGGGAGGGATTACTACATTAGTGATTAGTGATCACACACAGTACACCAAACCAACTGACCTTGCAAGAGTTAAGGAGAGCGGTCCCATAATATTCCTGCGGGTAAGTGGGACCCCGTTGCCACCTCAAATAGATCGCGACCCTTGGATTGGTGGATGTTTGGGTCCCTCTCATCCAACGTCCCATATCTTCTCTAAACAATTCCTCCGATTCAGTCTCACCGACAAAGGTCCGGGTAACTTGCTTTCTCATTTGTCTTGACAGAATCATACTGTCGTAAATTAGTAATTAACTTGCTTCATTTGTTAAAAAACCCAGAAAATGTTAAGAATAAAAAAACAAAAAATTACGGGTTAGTCTTAATTGTATATTCAAAACTGGAATAGTAACAGCTTGTTTTCTGATGTAAACTCAAATGTTTGTCCCTCTTTTCTTTTGTTTCGTAGTTTATGAAAGAAAACGAAATGACAGGTAATATAAAGGAATATTCGAGATTCGTTGGCATTTGCAGAAACGCCCGCCAAACCATTTATTCGTTTATTTTTACATCTTGCCACTCCCCTTGACTTTCATTTTCATCTTAAACGGGCCTATATCTGACCATTTATGGGCTTTTGCCCATAATATTTGGGCTTTAGTGACAGAGTGAGTAGTAATCTTATTTTATAGGGCAACGCATGTTTGTGAGATCACTTTCTAACGTCTCATGCCATGGACTATACTACAATTTAAGTGAGCATGGGAAAAGGAAAAGATATTTACTACGTTAATTATGCTGAAGTAAGCAAACCGGTTAAAGGTAAAAAAACGAACTATAACTTAAGCTAATTCAAGAGTAAGAAGGAGAACAATCAAATCGTGTGTGCATATTATCAAACCAAGATGAAAAGCTGAAGAAAAGAGAGGAAGCTGAATCTGGTGATCCAGACACTCTAAAGGACTTCATATTATTAGTAGAACGATTGTTAAGTCTTACAATCCAACACGAAATCGGACCAACATATCACATCGATACATTTGTCCTTTCAAGCTTCATCTTCGATGGATCACATTGGGCCTTTTTGGACCCCATTAAATCATGCAATTTCAAGAAGATCATACCGCTAATATTAGTCACATCGCACACACACAAAATGTAATATCAAATCAACAATACATTTACAGTCAAGGCTTATAACTTCTTTTACTTATATCTATGGAATATTTGTACAGTCACGCAAAAAAAAAAACCGACCAAATTTTGCGTCATTTCGTACGAGCGACGTCTCGAAAGATTCGAAAAACCTCATTTTTATATCTCCAAGAAACAACCAGTTTGAACGTGACCTTCATATTTCTCATGCGTTTCCAGTTTTACCCATCGAGAATCGCTCATATCCCACGTATACCCTACACTTGGTTCACCATACCGAGCCGAACCGATCACGACCAGCTTCCCAGACCTCCTTACCGCCAAGTAAGATACATTGCACACGTCAGCAGGTATATTCCCCACTTTCTGCCACGTGCCACCTCTCATCACCATCAGATCACGGCGACAACAAGCGTAGAGATCTCCATTTTCAGCGGCCGCACACACCGGAGGCCACGTAGTCATCCCGGAAGAGAGGAAATCGTGCGCCAGCGGACCCCACCGGAACGTGTTGACATCAAATGATTCAGCAGTTTTACTAAATTGTCCTTGTTCCTCCGTGGCGTAACCACCTATCACGTGGAATTTGCCACCGTGGAAAACCCCCGTGCACTCGTCTCGCTCGCGGGACATACCTGGCAAAAAAGCCCACCTGTCTTCTGCCACGTCATACGTTAAAGCTGACGTCATAGCGTTCTTGTCTTCGTCGTGCCCACCCGCCACGAACACGTTCCGTTCAGAATCCGAAGCGCAGGCGAAGAAGGAACGGGGTCCACCTGGCATGTTCGTCCCCTTGCGCCACGTGGAGGTCAAGAAACTGAAGATGAAGACCGAATCAGAGGTCCGCCACGTGACCGGGTCAAGCCCGCCCAAAACAACAAGATCAGATCCGACAGAAGCCAATCTGCAAAACAGAGGCAATCCGTTGGATTTACCGGGAAACGGAGGAAGCTCGGTCCACAGACCGGAATCTAACTCATGAACCGAGACTCCGTACACGGGCGTCGGGATGGCTTTCCCCAAACCGAGTTCTGAAACCGGCTCGACCCGGGCTTGAGACAAGACAACAAGCTCCTGGCTATGGCCTGAATCTTTCCGGTGACGGAAAAAGTCAGGGAGGCTGATTTCTCGCTGCCAGAGTTTGCAAACGGATGCGATCAGAGGGAATTGCTGGTATGAGGCGCGTATGAGACACTCGCGTGCTACGGTTTCGGGGAGATCAGGGATAAGCTCCATGGTGATATAGATTTGAAGATGAAATGAAAATGAAAGAGAGAAAGTTTGATATTTTTAGAAAGAAAATATTCAGGTTGGGATATGAAATTATGAATGATGTGAGAGAGAGAAGAGTGTGGCCACTTTATAGAGGAGATAAAGTCTTCTAGAAGATAGAAACCGTAAGTGGAATATTTAATTCAATAATATACAACTTTTATTTGGTTGTGTTTTGTGTTGATTGAATAATGAATACACATGGGTTGATTTATGGATAGCTAAAATATGGTTAATTTGTGTTAATATGTTTTTCATTATTCCAAGGACAAGTAAAATGGTTAGACGAGAGATGTGAATTAAGTTATAGAAGCGTAAGGGTTACGTTTTTTTCATAAAAAGGAAAAGTTATACGTTGTTCGAATTCTTTTGCTTTCAGAACTCTTTCATTTTGGAGAAATACATAAGATTGTTCCATAAACGTATTTGAAACTTTCACCGAAAGAAGACGATAACGGAATTCAGGAGATAGTAACGATCGGTTAATAGAAATAATGTGCGGTTTTTGTTTTGTTTATTTTGGATGGAGACGTTGTACCGATCTTTGACTTGAATGATTGTGATGGCCGGATGATTCTGATTTGCCACAGTTTTGTAAGCAATCTCATTAGCTAAAGGAAAGTCTGTTATTCTAACTGTCTATTTTACTGATTAATTAATCAGGCTCCACATGTCTTATTCTTTGGGATCAATTGTCGACTAATTGTGTATTTAATTCGAAAATTTACGTACATATAAGGAGATGATATGTTAATTAACCGACCTCTTGGTGAGTAGAGATAGGATTTAAGATGTTCGACGTGAGATTAACGTCACCGTGTCCCCTAATTACCAAAGAGTGTGTAAGCAGTTAAAAGAATCTTTAAATGACGTGTAACTGAAAACAGTGTTATTATACCACGTACGTCCGAGCTTGAACGGAGACAAATAAAATATTAAGAATGTATATACAATGCAAAGATCTAAATCAATGCTAGCTAGATTACAGAATATAGTAGTTAAAATATTCGAAATTGTTTAACGAAGGTCCATGTGATCCCATGTGGCTTAATTATTCACTAAGACATGCTAACCAATAGCCATCCATACATTATATGCTAGTAGCCATAAAGTCCATAATCAATATTTCCTCCATTTCCTTTTATTTGTTATTTTAAGAGATTTCACGCACATTAATAAAATAAATTAAAAGTTCTATTATATCCTTAAAAGCAAATTGACTATTAGTATTCTTTATTAGATCAAAACTAAAATATATATTTAATACTAAAATTTGCATTAGAAAATGAGAACGACAACTATTTTAAAAAATAAAAATAAGGCTAGAACGATAAGTATTTCGAAACGGAGAAAGTAGTATATTATTATATCAATCAATATCAATAAACGATTTATTTATGAAGGTTTGTATTATTATGATCATTGTGGCATAGTTTAACTTCCAATTTGGTAGTAGAATTTGTAAATATGATAGTTAAGTTTTGATCATATAGATTTAGCCAGAGCATTTTTACGGCTTATAAGCACAAAGTATTATAAAATTTTGGGATACATCATACATATATAGGTATACAAAATAAGAACAACTAATCACCATTTGATTAGTTTTAAGTTTTTTCTTTCCATGGTCATTCCGTTCCTACTCTATCATACATCTGTTAGCTTTGGCTTTAACCAAAACAATTTTTCTGTCCTGTCCGAACATTGAACGTTTCATCTTTTTAGCTGTTGTTTGCTTTATAGATGCCTTTTATATACGTTTTCTAATTAAGCATATATAGGATATATAAAGACTGTTGTTAATGGCTACTGCTAAATAAAAAATAGTGTAGTTATCAATAATAGCCAAAGTTTGTTCATTTACGAAAATAAAACAAATTCTAAACTATGCTTAATATTCGATTAGAAATCTCTTTAGAGCTTCTTTATCAAAATAAAATGATTCCTTTACAACCATTTGTTTTGTCTTAGAGAAATCTCACGCTTGGTAGTAGAAATTGAACACATTAATATAATGTTGTACAAGAGTAACAAGACACGTTTGAGTTATGCCTACTTATAACAAATGATAACCTTTTAATACGATACATATGTATCTATACTATTAAAACGGCATCTCCTAACTTAAAAAAAATGTTTTATCACAAAACATATATAGTCAATGACAACGACAAGAGCTTGGCTCTTTAATGTCGCCTTAATGTACCTTCTTGATTCCGTGTTAGCATATCCTAATTTCTGTGACATGTGTTCAACTAGACCCAATCAAACGAAAACATTATTTTTGTTAGCATATCCTAATTTCTGTGACTTGTTTTCAATTGTACTATTGATTTATTGTTATTCGAGGGTTCCTCCCTTCCACTTTGTTTTCCTTTATTTATTATTTTTAATTATGATTCTGTGTTTTTTCTTTATTTTGCTGTGAGGCATCAAAGATGATAAAGTGTGTTAATAAATTGATAACAATATAGATCATATACGATGGTTAAGAGAATAACGTTCTTCCATTGAATAAATTAGGTTGAATCCTGTGACAAAAAAGGAATAAGTTAGGTTAAACTTTAATTATATCTCGAACAGTGAAGATTAGTTTCAATAATGTGGGATGTCTCACAATAAAAGAAAAAACCATCAGAGTCGTGATAATCCTCCGCAAGTAATGTTTTCACCGATAATGATGTACGAAACATAATTATGAAATAATGCAAATAATTTGGGGAAGTGGTATGTTCCATGCAACTTGGACTCGTTCTATGATGGTCCACCGCATCTCCAAGTCCACGAACATATCCGTATGCATTATACTGTGAGTTCAATAGTTTCATACATTTATTTCCATACAAAATGTCATTAAATAAGAGGAAGAAAAAAAAGTTTGATAACCCCACTCTCCCATATCCTCATACCTCATTTATGATTTTACCATTAGTCTAGACTCTAGACCATCCCGTTGAGAATCTTGAGATTCACAAAAGTCGCAACATACTAATCTTTTGCTTTTCATATATTTTGATTTTGAAGCTATGAACTGATATGACGATGCACACAATGGAACACAAGGAAAGCGAAACGGCACGGCAGCTGGCTGCGAAGCGTTGGAAAAAACGACACGGCGTTTAGCTTACAATAATTGGAAAATAACAAGCGATATTCAGGTGTCGATATCCTAAAGGAAAGCATAGTCGGCTGGTTTTTCATGTCAACGCAATAAACAAAAAGTGAATCATCATAGATAAAAAAACAAGCAAGTTTAAAACCAAAAAAAAAAAAAAAAAAAAAACAAGCAAGTAAAACAAAATAAAAATATTTATTGACATAAGAATGAGACTGAATTAAGATTTTAAAATCTAGAATACGTCGACGACAAAAAAGAGTAAAAAACTGTTCAATTCATTTTTCTTTAGTCAGCAGAATACGTGATAGTTTTTAACTATTTACATTGTACGTGACAAAAGGACGACCCATATTTGTTTTGTACGGTCGACATCATATTGATTTTGATAAAGTTGTAGATATCCCGTGAATTCCATCAACTTGTATTTTGGTTTTATACATTTATTTTATTTGCATCGTTATCCAATTTGGTGACGTGTATCTCTTGGATTAACAGTAAAATTAGTGAGATAATTTTGAAAGGATCGAGCATTTTTCTGTCTCATTGTTTCTGTTAGGCTAATCCTGAAGTCAAGCGTAAAAGCCGGACGGCGAACTTCGAGAAAGGTGGTGACTATAGACAGAGGCGGATTTACTCAGTTGCTATTTAAATACTTTTATTCGCATAGACAATTTCAGGCGTATAAAAAAAGTAGTATCGTCAAATTTTAATTATGTTCTTCCAAATTTGTGGGTTCTTGCCAAGATTAGCATTTACCTGAAAAGTAAAATGTTAGTGAAAAAGTAAAGGTGCTACTTCTATCAAAACATTAGAACTGTACTCAGCTCAGTTTTTATATATTCGCGACACGATCCAAGAAAAGTGGATCAAGGTTGGACGAATTTAGAGTTCCAAGTAAAAAATGTCTAAACAGCTGAATGTAAGTAGCAAAGTGTATTTATTTATGTCCCAGTTCCACGGAGACAATTCATTTTTTTCTCGAGTTTGAAGTTTATAGAGTCATGAACTATTAGAAGAAAATTCGGTTTTTGTTGACCCACTATTTGATTTTTGGTTTGGTTAATTCAGTTTGAATCAAATAACCACCCTCAGTTAACTTACAGTAACTAGATTTGAATAAGAGATTATGACAAAGGTCAAGGCGGCTTTTAAGCGAGAGAGAGGTGGGGACAAATAGTGCCTTTAAAAGAATACCAAAGACTTTGAGACTAAATCAATGTGACAACTTGACAAGTAATATCGAAACTGGAGACGACCGTTTGAAAGTTGAAACTACAGGTTCCGTTTTCGAGAGTCTAAAACAGTTGCGGTTTAAATGAAAGACAGTGACAAGTTTGGACCCAAGTCAGACACAAAAGCACCATCATTAGAGAGTTATGATCAAAAGAGGATGCAAATTTGATCACTTATGACTCCTAGGATTTTTTACATAATTCTTATTCAATGCAAAGCGACCGAATCAAGCAGCTCTTTGTACTCATCTGAGACAAATGATTTGACATTCATATCTCGCTGCTTTTCCCTCCTGCCCTTCATGTCTGGTGATGCAGTTGCATACTTTATGCCGATCACAGTAGTCAAACCTTTGGAGAAACACAAAAGAGGAATTATGAATACACAAAAACAGTCAAAGATTAAAAAATCAATGTGGTAAATAAAAGAATATGCGACTTACTCTCGTGAATGCGTCCGAACAAGAATCTTTCACCTTTCCAGTATTCAAGTGGTCTCGACTTGATCCTTGTACTTCGTCTCACACCAGAATCCCATTTAGTACCAGCACCTGAGAGAGAGAGAGAGAGAGAGAGAGAGAGAGATAGAGAGGCAAAACAAACAAACATTAAGTGTCAGGTTTAGTATTTTCAATCGATAGAGCTTTCAAGAAGAATGAGCAATTGGAGTTAAGTTTCTATGTACCTGCAAGGCTTTTCCTACGAGAGAATATTTTACCCTCGCGTGTTACTTTTTTCATTTGGTTCTTCTTCTTCTCTTCTCTCTCGTTCGAATTTCTTTTGGGTTGCTTCTTTGCTCCACTGTCACGTGTGACAGTTTCCATTCGCTTGTCTCCCTCGCTCTCATTATGCACGGTTTTGCTTCGCTTTTTCATATTGCTATCACTAGATCCTCCTCTCTTTCTTCGTTCACTTGTTTGTTTCTGAGAAGAGCTGTGAACCTCCTGCTGAAAAAGAAGTCAATAAAGAACTCTTATATTCGTCTTTGTTAAGTAAGAACTAGCCTAAAGAAATCAAATCCAACGAATGTTCGGTTCAGTGTGTAATTTTTATCATGGATTTTAAAATAAGGATCTAGCATTCAGAGAAAAACCTTACGCGATTTGCAAAGGATAAACATATATAGAAAAGATGGCCGAGTTTAACAATCTGAGACCACGTATAGATGAATTGGCCTTGACTGAAAAGAACAGACAATGAAGGAGAAGGGGAACTAACCTGAGCATTTACTTCTTGAAGCCCACAAGCTGTGTCTGTGTTGTCCTTTTCCTCGCCATGTTGACCTTGAATGTGCTCTGCATGTTCAACGGATCCATCCATTGTGTTGTATTGTTCTGGAGCTCTGTTTGGAGATTTTGAGGATTCATCTGCAGGCAAAATAAAGGCATAATAAAAATCTTTGAGACAATTTTTTTTAAGTGAATTGAGATTGTTAATGAAAAGTATGTACTAGTAAAGTTGGGAGATATGTTAATTTGCTTGCTTAGTTTTTGAGTTTTCACTATAGTAAGCAGGTCGAAAAGGTTAGATTACCTTGCTGATCTGAGATGTTATCCTCTTCTACAGTGAAAGGATCCATTCTTGCAGCCTCTTTAGATGCATATTCCGCCTATATCACAGATAAATTCACAAGAGAATGTGACCAACGAGAGGTCCAGATATGTTAATAAAAGGTCATGTACAATCAAGGAGAAACTAACCAGGTTGTCTAATAGTTCAGTTCCTTCATTGATATCAGAATCGTTTTTTCTTCTTCCAGTGTTTCTGTTTGCTTCACTTTCACTCACGGGCACATCTATCTCATTTCCTTTTGTCTGCATATCTACATTCACCTCTAGTGTGACTGAATCTCTGTTTGTAATGCCATCGTCCACACAATTATCTGCGTCCCCAACTGGACCTGAATGAGATCTATGGATGCCAGAATGAGTATCAGAACCATCTTTACAGGAACTCTTCTGCACAGAGCTGTTAAAATCGCTGGCGACGTATGAGGTGTCCAAATTAGACGGGGATGCACTAGTTATAACTTTATCGACATTGTTGGCCACTGAAGATCTGAAACCGGCATTCAAATCCTTTACTAAATCAACCTCTCTAGACTGTCGATCTCCTGGAACCAAATAATGACTCTCAGGAACTGAAATGTGATCCTCTGGTGGAATTGATGATGATGACATGCTATCTTTTCGAGCTGCATCACTATTGATCCCTTTTGGCAAATTCTGTATATTTGACAGCGCAGTCCTTTGGTTTGATGGGTTCCTTCCAGATGCCTTCAAGTCCATTCTTCTAACATCTGGAAAGTCAGGAACTTCAGGGAAGGAAAGCATTTCTTTATCAACGGGTTTGATATTCAAGCGTTCATTCAAAAGCTTGACACCAGCATCCCCCTCAAGCTCATCCGGAGAGCAAGAAAGCAACTCAGTCAAAATATTCTTTAAGTTCTTGTCTGCGTCTACGGTTGAAGAGGAAGAAGCCGTCGCCGGTACTCCTACAGACGTCGCAGTCAACTCCGGTACCATCGCTTCCTGATGATTTACTACTGAGTAGCTTCGCACGCATCTCCAGATTACACTATCCGGCTCTCTCCCTCGTCTCCAAGAGCTTCGGGTCTCTCCTTGCTTCGCCGGAGCTTTACGAGACCCGATCCTTATTAGGCCGCACCGAGAGTTGTCTCTATGTATGCTTAAATTTCTATCCTGACCCTAACCGTCGCTGGTACACTCTCTGCCGGAGGCCTAATCGAGCCCTAACCAATGACGACACCAGTGAGAAGATTAAGAAGAAGAAAGAGAAGCCAAGTCGCCATCTTTTCGTCCCAATCGCAATCCCCAATGCTCCTCAAGCTCATTGGCAAAGCGTGGTTACAGTTGGTTCTACTATCTACGCCATTGGCGGACCAATCGATGATTCGCCTTCTGCTAGCGTCTGGGTTCTAGACTGCCATCGTCACGTTTGGCGCGAGGCTCCGAGCATGTTGGTGGAGCGAAAAAAACCCAGCGGCAAATGTCGTCGATGGGAAGATATATGCAGCAGGAGGAGTCAACAACTTCAATTCCTCAAACTGGATGGAAGTTTTCGATCCAAAAACTCAGACTTGGGAGTTTGTGATGTGCCCTCTTGCAGAGAGATACTGTAGCAGTAGTGTAGACAAGAGCGCAGTGATTGAAGGAAGAATCTTTCACATGTTTCGGAACGAGAGCAGTGTGGTTTACAGTCCAAAAGAAGATAGATGGGAACTGAGAAGTGGCATCTGTATGACTATTTTGGATTTAGGTTGGTCATGGCTCTCGTATTGCGTGATCGATAACGTACTCTATTACTGTGATATTACATCTGGACTCAGGTGGTTCGACTTTAAGCGTGGCTGCTGGGTTAATCTGAAGGGATTGAAAAGACTGCCTAGGTTTGCTGGTTATGGCTGTGTTAAAATTTCGGATTGTGGTGGGAAGATGGGTGTTTGCTGGATCAAGTATTTCCGTGCTAGCGGATATAAGGAGTCGAGGATTTGGTGTGCGGTCATTGCGCTTGAAAGACGCAATGGTGATGAGGATGAGGAGGAGATTTGGGGAACGGTTGAGTTGATTGATCCTGTTCTTACAGTTCCAAACTCTTGTAGAATCGAGTGTGTTCTTGCTGCTACTGTTTGATGGACTTACTCAGGGTTAGTGAGGATTAGTTTATTTTGTGCTTGACTCTGTTAGCCAAATTACTTATAAAACATTGTTTTGGTTGAATAGAATGGTTTTCTGCATATTCATGAGAACTCTTTGTTCAATTCCTTTAGTTTGCAAAGGCTTTGTTTGGTTGCTTAACTTGCTTCTTACAATCTTATAAAGTTATGTGCAACAAATCTTGCGTTTGGCATCATCATGTTCATGGGAAGTGTTCTCTGCATATTCATAGGGAGAGTAGTTGTAACAAGATGTACCACTTGAACAGAGTTTGATCGTGAAGAAAATAAAACTCTTTATTATCCATAGGCTTTGCTTGATTGCTTGATTGCGTTAACGACATATTTCAAGTGATGTGTAAGGTTTTTGCCTTATATTTTACATCAATTTCATTCAATTTGTTTTACACGAATACATCAGAAATATAAGAGGACCTAAATGAATACATCATAATATAACAGACTCAATTTATAATTTTTAACTTTATGTTTTGGTATATTAACGGTTTAAAATGTACCAAAACGTAAATTAAAAAATTAAGAAAGATGGACGATGCGTGACAGAACGTATGGGCTAAGGCCCATTAAGAATCATTACCGAGATAATTCTCAGAGGTAGAAATGAAAGCTTTGATCGACGGCAAATTCGGACGGACGAAACTGACCACTAATGTCGTCGCCGCCGCATAGATCTTTCGGCGGAGAGCCAATGATTGAGAAGACGAAGAGGAAGAGGAAGAGGAAGAAGCCGTCGCCGGTACTCCCCCAGACGCTGCAATCGACTCCGGTACCGTCACTTCCTGATGATTTGCTTCTGAGCAGCTTCA